CTTGGTTTGTCCCTTAACATTCCTTTATTAGAATATCCTTGTTTAAAACGTAATTTAATATCACAACACAGAAAATATAAAAGTAGTGGAATGCAATACATAATGTTCTTATAACTTCATGTCCAGTCATTATTATTCACTGCACGTTATTAATTTCAATTCAAATTTCTGAATAAAGATATTAAATTGTAGTGAATCCGTGAATAATTTTAAAAAATCATTCCAAAATACTTATTCATTGGTCAAATTATTTTTCTTTTTTTGTAGTTCTTTCAAATATCTGAGGAGTCTTAATAGTACAGGAAAAAACCGTATAATTATCATATATTGTCAATAATTATCAGCCTATCGGGTTTCTATAACGACGAATACAAATTTATATGTTATTTATATTTAGTAGCTGTTACCGACATTGATGGTCTGCGTTGATTATGATTACTAGGTACATTTTATTCAACAACCAAAAACCAATTACACAATTCTGAGGAAAATTATAAGGAACTACTGCGAGAGTTAACTTAATCGAATTATTGAAATCCATTTAGTTTTAGCATTTGATTTCTAACGAGTTAAATTCTCTATTCATCATCATCATCATCGCAGCCCGGAAGACGTTCACTGCTGGACATAGACCTCCCCCAAAGATCTCCAAATTAATCTCAAATTCTCTATTATTGCCTATTTATTACAACAATAAGTAGGCTTAACGCCATGTGATGTTTTTTAATGAACTAAACTTGTACTAATAAAACAGTCATTTTATAGGATCTACTAACTAAATGTACATATTTTGTAAACTAAATTATAACATTAAATATGTAGCCTATCCCATTGGATTCAGTGAAATGTGACATGTCAAGTATTGTGATAGTCGACTATGCCTATGACATCTGACAATGCATCCATGACGATTTTTTTATTTTATTTATTCATCCCAAACAATATAAATTGTGTAGGATATGAAGCCTAAATCATAATAGTAACTCAAAAAGTAAATTTTGTTAAATTGTTATAATGCATTAGGTCAACTGATAGATTACGAAATAGTAATATTTATCCAATAAACATGAATAAGGTAATTATTTAAAACTAGATTGAAGTCATGATGTTAAACTGTAATTTAATTGGTAATTTATTAAATATTTTTAATGATTGCTATGTACCTACAATGCGTGAATTCAGGTACTGTTTGGCCCTGCAGATCTTTTCTCCTCGTACTTTATTCGTCAGTCTCTATCTGAGTTAAGATTTTCAGCAAGTTAGATATTTAAAAATTTTATGTTTTCAGAAATGGCTACATGATTACGATTAAATAGTCTGCTTACATCTTAATGGCGTATAATTAAATGGAGATGCCATAGAAATGAAAACAATAGAGCGGCCTATTGTGCCCATTATTTGTGGATATAATTTACTGCCGTTAGCAATTTAGGTACAAATTGAAATATGTTTAAACGATTATGACTTGTATTTCACAAAATTGGCGATATCTCTTCGTGTAGGCTGGTGATCTGTAGAAGTGACATCAAAATAAAAAAAAGAATAAAAATAGGAGAAATAAAACTGTGGTCATGTTTTCTTATTGGTCTTCAATTAAGATGATAGGTACAACAGCACTAAATCCATACTAATTTGTTTTTAGATTCTAATATATTAAGTCGCGTTTTTGTATCTGTTTGATTATAATTTTGTTACCTTTTCATGTCTGAACGGAATCTAGTTTGAATTTAAAGTGCTCAACACTTGCACTGATATAAATAAATAGATACATTTTTTTCTAAATGTATACATAATATACATAGAAAATAACGAGACCGATACAAACAATCATACTCAGGAATACAAATGTTTGTACCTTGCGAGGAATTGAACCCGCGACTTTCGGAGGTGAGGCGCTGTGCTAATCCGCTAAACCACCGAGGCCCATGTATCTGGTTTATGTATGTATGTATGTATATGGTTTAGTGTTTTTTTATTTCTTCAAATATTTTTTTGTAAATATAAATAGTCTACTATAACAATATGCCAATCTAAAAGAACTCCTTTTGAAGTCCTTTGAAAAGAAAAGGACACTTTATGCGTCTAATATTCCCTTAAGCTTCAATCAGTTCAGATGACTGTTTTTCTCAGTCTATTTATACTTTGATATCAAATTTTGGCTCAAACGATAAAAGATAACAAGCCTCCAAAAATACGGATCCTCTCGCAAGTAAAAAGATAAAGTTAACAAGGTACAGAAATAGCAGCCATCGTCAAGGATTATTCGGGCGTGAAATACATATTTATTATGTTTATATTTAACCATACAGTATATTGTAAAATGAAGCTTATTAATATGCGTAAAAATGCCAATTTTGTCTAATAGACATTCTGTTTATCTATATACTCTCTTTTTTCGATACTACAAGTTTAGACTTTGTAAAAAGTCTTCTGCGTTGGATTCCTTAATCAGACATACTGCAGCCGCCAAGTAACTTGCTTTTTATTGGTTAAAGTGTTAGAAAGTGAAAGTATATTTACACATAATAGTTCTTAGGAGTAGCAACGCATGAGTCGTATCTATATATATATATATATAGGCGATGGTTACCACTTACTATCAAGTGGGCCGTCAACTCTTTTCCCAATTCATTGACTTAAAAATATCGATTCCGATAATATTTGTAATAACACTACGAATTAACAGTGTTAAGGGCATTTAAGGTTATGTCTTATATACAAAGCGTTTTCTCATCACACTTTTAATTACATCCGCATCTTCCGTACTTCCCGCTTAAAACTTAGATAATAATAAAAGTATTGGAACATAGCTAACAAACTCGAGCGACCATGTAAGCGGATTCAGTGCTTGCTCCGCACACTTAATTAATTGCCCATAGAATACGCTGTAGTCAGTAAATCCGTAGGTGCTGTTCTCATGTGCTATAATCTCTCTGCTCAGTAGCCAATATATAATAGATATCTATGTGTGTATATAGGGATAAATGTTTGTTACTCAATCACGTTTGAACAACTAAATAAAAATGTACATACGTAAATAAAAAGTTTATTGTACAGAAAAATTAATAAATATAAGACACAAGCGACTTAAAGAATAAATGCTTACAATGGCGGACTTATCCCAAAAGAAGGATTCTAGTCACCCTTAGAGTGACTGAAAGGAATTGTTAAAGCTTTTATTTAAGAAAAACTAAGGGTTTATCATTTGAGAAATAATTGACATTAGTATATTAACAGTATATTTTCATCATAGGACGTTTGGAATTTTGGAATATCGAGACATAAACATTCTGTGTATTGAACGCTTCATCCCTCACGTTTTATTTTGTGACTTTTATATTCATAGACAACTTTTCAGCTTCGACGTCAAACTCGATAAAGCGCTTGCAACAAAATTTTGGTATCAGAAATTACCACCTATGTGGTGACAATGCATAAAGTTCGGGATCGATAATAATATAGGCTACAGCAAACTATTATCGCAACTTTTCATCATTTAGTCCACCAGCTTACTGTTTCCTGGGTATAAAAATATCAAGCGATTATTAAATTTAATAGTGTTAATACATTACAATGCATTAAAAGACTTTCAGAAATTAATATATATGCCAGGAAAAGCATAAAGCGTGAATATTTTACAGACCAAATACACGAACATTACATGCAAATCAGCAACAACTGTGCTACGTTGCCTACTATTAAAGAAATTACTCATTTCTGATGCATACAATAGAGGACTTCGTTATTTTATATCTAGATAACAAAACAGTGTTTCGCACATACCTACATTATATTAATCAAAAGACATTTTTACCAATAAGTAAGAATTTTGAGTACATTCTAAATTGATCACGTGACAATGAAGCTTTCAAAAATTATATTTCATTTTTCGAATTTGTCTCTTTGTTAATAAAAGTCGGTTTCGTGGTCTTTAACTCTGCATAAACCAAAACAACCATGATAACAAAACCGTACTAGTTATATATAAATATTTATAGAATGAATATAAAAATAGTACTGATTTTTAGCAGTGCAAACAGTGCAACTCTTAATTCAATTTAGCTTTGCAGGCGACAGATCAATTTGCATCATCGTGTAGCAAGTAATTAAGTAAACAATAGTATTATATGATAATATTTATATCTTTAGTGATGTAAGGTTAGCTATTTGCTATTGAGAAACTATCAGTCAAAATATCACATTTCAAAATAAAAATAGTACTAAAACTGGATACTCAGAAATTTGTCCTTATAAATATAATTATTATGATAGTTTTTAATTAAACAGTAATGAAATTAAATGTTATAAAACTAAAACTTCTACTACTACTTTTTATGAGATACATGTGAAGAACTGATAACCGCGACATACTCATAGATAAATTGAATTTAGAATTTTCGAATCTAATGTTTGAATGTTATTAATATATAAATGTATTGTATAATTCGAAATAATTGTTTCTAATAATTAGAAAATATGAAAACCGAAAAACTATTCCAATAACACCGAAATACCATGCGTAGCTACTCTTGAGAAATTTAAATTTCGAATATAATTTTCTTCACTCTGAACCGTTCGTAATCAGCCAGGCCTGCATCAGATATAATATAATACTTTTAGTATGAGCTGTGTAGACTCTTTTAAAATGTTTTTTTAATACTGCAGGTTGCATAGACTACAGATTCAACTCTAAAATGTATAAAATTCTTTATTCTAAAAATGGTGCCCTCAATTTGGAAATACCAGTGTATATACTGAATAACCTTTTATATCTGTAGCAGCATATATACGTTAAAATACCAATCGCAATTGAATGTGCATTTTCCCGGCGTAATTGAAACGGCATAACCGTAAAAACTACATAAAACGGTCATTCAGTCACTTCGTATTTGCAATAACAGGCAATGTCTGCATCGCTTCCAACATGCATAGAGTGCACGGATTAGCTGTTAATAACTTTTTTACGTACCAATGGTTCATTTTCGTTTTTTTTGTTACAGATACTGAAACCGCCGATACAGATTACTCGATTTATGTAGGACAATGGACTGACTGCACGACTCAAGACCCAGGGGAACATGCTGCCAAATCTATTGATATGTAAGAAGTTTTTGTATTCTGAATTCGAAATGTTGGTGGAAATAGGTAGGACAATTATGTCAACATGAGGCAGTTATGAATAGCTTTGTAAATTATCTACTTCTTACATATATTCTCATTTCTTCAGGTCGACGACACCTATTTGAAATTCAATAAAGACGAATAGAGCAGACCGAGCAGGCATTTTACTTGTACTGAGTCAATACAGTACCGTCAGTAGATTTCCAAGCTAAATATTTTTATATAATTTAAACAACTAATATAAATACATACATATTATACACAGAAAACACCCATACCGATACAAACTATCACAATAATGAATTCAAATATTTGAAATTCAACCGTGCAAGGAATCGAACCCGCGACCTTCGAAAGGCGATATGTTAAACAATTCGACCACCGAGGCCATCTAACTATGTAAATAAATACTTTATATAATTTATATGTTCCAGGTACAACTTGCAAAAAGAGCCCGACTCGTTAGTGCATACGCCTCGGCTCGGCCTGCAGCGACGGCAAGTACAGTGTCGGAGAAAAGATGGACGTTTCGTTGAATCGATGTAAGTGATTCTTTTTTTGATTTGATTTGTGTTTGTGGAGTACGGTATCTTTATTTTTTTTAAGATAAGTTTTACTACGACCTATCGCATTGGTCGCATTGGACTACGTTGTAATTTTGTTAAAGAAATCTTAAGTAAACTATAGTTTTTGTTCTGTTGTCGGGAATTCTTATTTTGTACGAATACGTCAGACACCTACATTGTTAATGAGTTGCAATAATTTCTTAATTGAAAAAAGCAAACGTTTCCGATTATATATTTTTGTAAATATTTTGCAATTGTTTTTAACATTGACTTTTTTATTTGTACTCTTCTTGTAAAAGAAGAAGATACCAGAGGTAAAGGACAGGATCGTAAAAAGGCGAAGGAAAGGACTACGGAGAAAATATTAATAAAATGTCCTGCATAATAAATACATTATGTTTTGTTTGAATTAATTAAAGTTAGTAGTAATTTAAGCTGCAAAACGGATGTATGATCAATTTGTCAGTTGCAAATACTAATGAAATTGTACGGTATAAAATAATCGCAACTGTGTTACGTAATCCTGTCTCATATGTTCTATCGTAAATGTATTAAGTATGTATTGTCGCTGACCGATTTAGTCGTCAATATTTCATTCCCGTCTTAAAATTTTACCGGCTCATATCTAGGCGGATCGCGTGCATTCTTATGACATTACCAAACTAGGTCAGTCGTGAACATTGATCGAATACGTCAACTTTTATGCGACGAACTGTTACCATATTTATTTCTCGTCTTAAGAATAAAAACATGAAACTCTACTAGACTCGGTAATTTAAGTTAAGTTGTCTGACTCTACTAGACTCGATTATTTAAGTTAAGTTTACTGACTCTATTAGACTCGGTAATTTAAGTTGTCTGACTCTACTAGACTCGGTAATTTAAGTTAAGTTGTCTGACTTTTCTAGACTCGGTAATTTATGTTAAGTTGTCTGTTTTTGTAGACGTATCTTAAAATTCATAGCGCGGACAATATTATCTGATTGCACTAGAGTGCGTAGTGGTTTCTATGTTGATTATCGCATGCCTTTTACTTGTTATTATGTAATTATTTATTTTAAATAACTTCTATTCAAAGAGCATCGCACAAGTTTCTTGCACATTCTTCTTGTGATGAGTCTAGGTTCCGAAATAAAAAAAAGACTATTCAAAAGTGCTTGTATTCAGTTTATTTGAATAATGATTATTCAAATTTAATTTCTGATTATATTAGTCAGTCTCGACTATTTCCCTTGCTTTATAAGTTATGTTACGGTTACAATGTGAGATCATACAGTGAAATTATAGCATAAAAGGCATTAACAAAGACAACTTAGTCCTATATACGGAATGGCACAACACATGAGCGCTATCAATCTCTGGAATAGCAACGTATGAGCGGCAACTGGGGCGTCATACAATGACGTGTGATGCCAGCAGTGCTGTTTTTTTCCGGACGATTCTAATGATGTTGTCCGCAGCTAGCCTTGACAGCATCACCGGACGATAGAGGGTGAGTGCAGATGGTACTCCAAACACGCGGAGGGACTTATGGAGTAGCTGAAGGCCAACTTCCGCCTGACAGATACGACTTTAGTCTGAGGGCATCGTTAGGGCTTCGAACCTCGGCTCAAGCCGTCATAATTTCGATCCATGTTTGATTTGGACGGAGAATCGATCGGAGGGGAGTAGTGCTGTTCACCTCATGTAATATATATAGACAACGGTTACAACTTACTATCAGGTGTACCGTCAGCTTAATTGTTGTTGCAATTGCATTAAAAAATTGGTCAAGTTGATAGCTAAAACAAATTGATTAGACGTTTCGCGTTTTTATGACTTCGGTTTTAAAGCATAGATAGTTAATAAATGATTTTTGTCTTTCCAGGTACTGTGGTTCGGCTCTGGCACATATGGGCACAACCAGAGTATGCATTATGAAAGAAGACTGTTCTCTAGCTGAGTGGTTACCATGGCGACCACGAACTGATGGTGCTCTTGTACGCATACGTAGATTAAAACGTTTACCACAAGGTAAAGATATAAACTATAAAATTACTTTATATAATACTAGCTGACCTACGCAACGTCGTTTGCACCATACTTAATGGACATTTATCATTATATATCCCCTAATTTACATAATATAATATAATTTATAGCCTATGTGTTCTGATGTAAAAGCTATATAGCTGTAAAGTTTCATCAAAATCCTTTAAGTAGTTATGGCGTGAAAGAGTGACAAACATCCATCTATGTTCACAAACATTTACATTTATAATATCAGTAAGATTATAATATTTGTGACCGGAGCGAGATGAATGCTCGAATTAAGAAAAATTATACTTATATATTCGTCTCATAACGAAATCATATAGCCTGTAGCCTACCTCGCTAAACGGACTAGTCAAAACGAAAAGATATATTTAATTAGTAAAGTAGTTTCAAAGTCTTTGTTGAACATAAGTTGAAACATTTTTTGTGTTTCATATTTTTCAGTAGGGCTGCTTTATTATTATATTATTTCGCTGCTGTACTATAAATCTGCGCGTCAAGAACGTTGTCATAGTAACCGTAGGAGGAAAATTACTACTAGAAATCCCAACTGGCCAAAACACCGACAGCAATATTATAACAGCATATTTACGCCCCATATTTATTGCTTTCAGCAAAATAAATATTTTTATTGAAAAAGAAAACCTTATATGTGTCTTGTTATATATTCTTATTGGTTTTTGGTACCTATGGGACCGACTTTTCTGTGGAATTGTTTTGTCAGAGAACGAAAATACGTATTTATGTACCTAAATTTGTAAAGGAAACTAATATTTTGATAGATGGGTGCAATGTATATGACACCTCTTTGTAGATTTTTGATTTACTATCTTTATGTGCTAGTCGCAAATAGCTTGGCGTTATAACAAATGTTTTTAAAATAAGATATGGTCAGCTACACTTATATTGTGAAGAGGAAAGATTTGTATTTGTATATGTGTTTGAACAAAGAATCTCAAACTACTGTACCGATTACAAAATTCTTTCACCATTACAATTATACTTTATCCCTGAGTACCTAAGCTATATAAGCCTATAGCTATAGTAAGCTATATCTAATATTTTATAAAAAATTGTGTAAAAACGTCATAAAATGTATTTCATCGGATATCGAGACGGGCCAGTCTCTATACATGTACACATACTTATATGTATAATCGTTTCTTCAGACTGATTTTCATCAACGCACAACCTAGAGGTAGGAACTTGAAATTTTGTGAGTTCTTTATAAATACAGACTTATAATAAATTAAATATTTATTTCAACAGGTGCTGGAAAAGAATGTGATGTAGTTGAAGAAGTGAGACCAGCAGTCTTAGAACCGAGCGCACACTGGGTCCCCGGACAATGGAGCCGTTGTATCATCACCACTGAATCACCAACATTCTCCCGTATCCCACGTAAGTACAAATGTTCTTTTTGCTCTCAGATAATTTTAAGCTGTAATGTAGATTCGAATAATAAATTAATTGTATAAATAACTGTACTACAAACAGAGGATATTATGATGGATTAAGGAGAACAATAATCCGGGATTTATTTCTTGTTTCTATTTGTTGTATAAATAAAAAAAATTCTATCCGCGATTTCATTATTTCGACGCTCTACTTAAATAATACAAGTACAATAGATGTAGGTACTCTAGAAACCACAGCTTACTGTGCTGTTTCCGATTCAATTACAATGAAATGCACCATTTCGCACAATTATACGTATAGTATGTAATATCACAGATAACATAACATAGTAATATTATCTTATCTGTGGTTGTTATATATATTATAAACACGATATGTTTGTATAGTTTAACACAAATATTGACTGGTTTGTACTGAACAAAGGGTAGTGCAACTATGCCGCGATGAAAAATAACTGTGACACATATGTGTATATACAAATATTGTGTTCCTTGTGACGCAGGTCCGAGGTGTAATTTAAATTGTTATTTTTTCTACTTTTTCCATTATGTTTAGTTATAGCAAGGTATGTATTTATTAGCCGCCAGTTACAAATTTCTTATTCCAAAAAAATATAATTACTGAAATAGACATATTAGGTTCAACCCCGTCTTCAAAGTGGAAATGTCTTTCAGAAGAGCTTAATATCATTACTCGTGAATTATTCGCTTTGAAGTTAAGTCGATACGATGGCTATTTTATGATATACATGACCCTATCATAACAACATAATATCAAACCATAGTATTTTTATTACCTTACCTTTCGCTATCAAAGGAATTGATTTATTATCCTTCTCAAGCTACTGGTCGTCAAGTACCATATACCTTACTCTGTGTAATATTCTCTTATAAATAATAAAATAAATATACAATACGATGACTATATTACCTAATATAGGGTAGTCAGAAGTATTGCCAATTATCGATTCGTCGAGTGTGATTATTTTGGATTGGCATGACGAACCTACCAACGTCTCTAGATTTTTATTTTCTAGTTAATCAGAAAAATAATGTGACTTATAAAAAAAATATGTGTTAGCCAGATTTGAACATAGAATCTTTTGCTCTAAGAGTGTCAATAACTTTACCATGACGGTCTCTTATCTGTGCTTACTCTACACTTACAGAGTTTCAAGTTGATATACATAAGTATACAGATTATGTATATAGATTATTGAAAAAACTGACCTAAATTTCAATGAAATTATAAGCTATTATTACGGCCTATATTTTTTGTATACAGTTATTGTAATATAGTACAACAGGCAGGCGAACGCACTAAAAGCGGTTTTACGATTCAATCCTATAAATGTCGACAACAATAAACATTTAAAACCCCAATGTTGTCTCATCCCCCTATAATAGGGCGCTTTTAGTCTATTGCTGCGAGAACCATTATGAATATAGGATTTTACTTTGATTTTTTTCACTCGCACATTAAAGTATTGGAATTTAGTCCCTTAGATATAAATAGAAAGGAATTTAGATATATATAATACTTAAAGAGTTTTATAATTACTTTTTACTTTACTGTCTAATCTTGCGATTTTGTTAAAAAGGTATAAATAATATAGAGTTATAAATTACATTATTGTATATGTTATTGTATAATTATAAAAGTTTATAACTATATTGTTTGTAAAGTAGTTGGAATGAAATAAACACTAAATTGTAAGTTAAATAAACCACAATATGCTAGTAATATATATATATATATATAGATTCTTAATAATAACTATTATGTCAAATTTAAAATATAAAATTATTATTATATAAATCTAAAATCATAAAAATGTTCAAATATTTATAAATTCATAATAACCCTACCGGTTATAATAATGATAATAATGTATATGATGATAATAACCAGCAAAAGCTGAGAAAATGCGTCAATAGTGTAAATAATAAATTTATAAATTGAGCTACAGTATCTGTCATTCATTAAAATATTCATAAATGTTTTTTAAGCTTTTAAAATTGCTTTTATAAAGTTCATCTTTTAAACCACTCGGAAATTTATTAAATATTTTACAGACTGATAAATCAATAACTATTGCAGCAACTAGCGATGACACTGATGACGTTGACAGCGATGATTATGATGGCTACGACTACAAGGAACCGGAAAGTGAGGCCACTTGCGGAGGAGGCATACAGAGAAGAAATGTATTGTGCGCGCGCGCAGATGGTCGAATTCTGCCGGAAGCCCAATGTGAACACACGCCTTCGCCGACACTTATGCAGCCATGTGAAGTAAGTATGACTATACTATTCACGTTACATCATAGCTTTTTTAGGTTACTAAAATTGAAAAAAAAAAGCTAAAGGCCCACCTGATTGTAAGCGATAACTGCCGCCTATATACATATTATGAACCGTGCTGTGATATCATGTTATCATTTAACGCCTGTGATACCACTCATGTGTTGCCATACCAAAACATGAAGGTGGTATGCTCATATCCTGTACTTCCACTGCCTTTTTTCACCCTGCAACCGATTGGTGATCAAATTCCGACCGTTATTGAGTCTACACGCATATTGCGACACGTGTTTCGCCTGTAACGGAGGCATCATCAAACATTGAATATAGCTCGGATATAGATTGGAAACCTATCCAATCTATATCCGAGCCTATCTATCATAGATTGGCGACTTCGATTAGTAACAGTTTATATAGATAAAGATTATTTCTATTTTGTGAACTTGTTTTTTAATTGTGCACAGGTACCATGTCCCCGGGACTGCGTGGTCGGTGAATGGAGTGAATGGGGCGCATGCCAGCCCACAGACGGGTGTCCTTTGTTCCCAGTACAACAACTTACTACTACCGGTTAGTTATATTGTCATTATAAACCACTTTTATAACATAGTTTATATTCCTAATTATGGCATAGCATATAGCTACTGATATTACTATCCTTTTTTTTTAATTCGTTATTGTAGACCACGAGCCAAAACCTAAAAATACGTCAATCATATCCTCTCGCCCCTAAAATTCTAAAATAGTTAAGATAGTTGTATTATAAAGCCTAGTATAGGTCAGCTTCGGTTCCGTGGATCAATTCGGAAGAAGTAGTAAATCGCTAACGATTGAAGTCGGCATTTTCGTAGTTTATACTTTCAATAAGTAAATTGACAAGCATGTAATTATTAATATAATCAATTATTATATGCAGATGAATGCATATGATGGTGTATGTTATTGCAGTTTCATCAAAATCCGTTCAGTAATTTTTGCGTGAAAGAGTAACAAACATTCATCCATCCCTACTCTCAAAGTTTCACGTTTACAATAATGGTACATTTTATGCTGTTTGGTTATCCACTTATAAATAGGGATACAAAAAATAAAAAAATCTTTTACAATATCTGTATAGATGATTATTTGAATTTATAGGCTACAGTGTACGTCGGCGACGCGTCAAGTCCGCAGCATCAGGAGGGGGTGCTCCGTGCCCTCCTCTCGAAGAGAAGCGGCATTGTTCCACTCCACGGTGCGCCGCCTGGAAGACCTCCTCCTGGGGACCCTGTATACTCTACGATTCGCACGACACGTGCGGCCGTGGGAAGAGAACGAGAGAGTTGAAATGCATCGGTCATGATGGGGTAAGTACGAACAGAAATAGAATAGATAGATAGGTTTTTTTTAATGTATAATTATGGAATGGTGCACCCATCCTCACTAACGATTTACGCAGATGATATTGTGGTATAGTGATGCAAATCAGCACGTTCAATAAAAGATTGTGCGAGTGTACGTTTTGTATAACGACACGTAGGTCACGCAGTACCTTATATATATAGTTTATGTAATTAGTCTAAGCTAGAGTATTCAAGATGTAACAGTTAAATATACAAGTTACACCCTACTGTGTATGTTTACTCTCACCACCGCTCCTGTCATCACATGGCGACCGTGACAAAGAAGCTGCATAAATGGATCAAGATCAGACTATACTCTGAAGATCTTCGGGCAGCAAAGAGGTATAAATTATTTATCCTCAATATATTGTACGGTGGAAATTAAAGTTCCTAGGCCATCGGTGTCCAATATCCTCAAATAGAGGTTCACCGCATACCTGTGCCTAAAAAATTGATTGAAGCATCCATAGATGGAAGTATAAAGATTGAATAAAAGGGTGCTAGCGGTCTACAAATGTTGTAGTGATTATTGTGCCGTGATTAGTGTCATTTCTGAAGACATTTTTATACGTGTTTGGTGCAGTGAAAATATAATTTCGGGACATATTAAGTGGTATATAATATTTGATTGTGTATTTAAATTTAAGTCACTTATTTTGAACAGGAAGTAGGCAAACTGTGACAGGCCACTTACACACTTTTTGAAAGAATTTTATATTAGTCTGTATATTTTAAAAATGGCCGCATTTGATTTAAAAGCAGCTTTATTGCTATTACCTATAGTGAATCGGGATGAGGAAATTATAAAAGCCTTTTAGACGGCATTGAATTTTACAAAACTATCCTCAGGCCTGATGACCACCCCTTACTAATAAATTTTATATTAAAGACGAGACTTTCTAGTTGTGCCAAATTAAAATTAAAATCAAACTACGATAATATTAATAATTTAACGGAGGATATAAGAAAAATTCTATTACCAAGTAAATCGTATACATTCATTTTAACGCAACTACAAAAATGTAGGCAGGGTAATAGAACAATTTTAGAGTTTGGGGATGAAATTGAAAGGTTGTTTGGTGAATTAACAATTGCCCAAGCGGGGGGTTTGAACACCGCGTATGATATTCTATTGCCCATAAATGAGAATATTGCAATTAGGCAATTTGCATACGGGCTAAACGATAGTAGGTTGACAATGTATATAATATGTAGAAATATATCAAATTTACAAGAAGCTGTCAGATCAGCAATAGAAGAGGAGGAATTCATTCCTAAGAACTTCCAATCGTGTTTAATAAATAAAATAAATTATGACGCACGAGAATTTGATCGTAGAACAAATCAATGTCAAGCGAAGCGTAATAATACTAAGGCACGTAGTCAGCAAAATACAATAATGCATAGTAAAGAAGGTCGCGCAGTTTGTTATAGTAAGCATATGAATTACGTCAAAGCGTCAGCTGATAGTAGGAATAGCGAAAGAAAGACACCGTTAGATTTTGTTCATGGAAATAAGAATATCGAAACTTTAGCTTTTAACACAAATAATGTAGTTAAATTTAATTGTTTTAATAATGATATATTTTTGATAGGAGACTCAGGAGCATCAATGTCAGTTTTAAAGTATGATTGGTTAAAAAATTTGCCTTCAATTAAGATCCATAAAGATAACGCTATAATAAAAGGCGTTTGTGGTAATCTAGAGGCAATGGGATTTGTTTACCTGAATCTTGAATTTCAGAAACTGCAATTTAGACAAAAGTTTTATGTATTTAAAGAATTACAGTGCAGTTCCCAAGGTATATTAGGAGAAGATTTTTTAATACAATTTAAAGGTATTATAAATTTTGAATTGGGCTGTTTAAGTGTAAAGCCCCACGGATCACTCGATAGGGTCCGTATACCTTTTCAAAAAAGAGAAAATGGTATAAAATATGTTAATTTTCCTAATAAAAGGAAAACTGATTATATTGTGGAAAATGGCAATTGTGCGAAAAATAGAACAACGGACGAATTATCGAAAATAATTGCAACGTCCGATGAGTTAAAAAAATTAAACTCATGCTGTTCAGGCGTTATTAAGCAAGGTCCAATTAAAAAAAAACATAAATGTCCTCAAGTGAAAATAAAATCTAGTCCATCAAAGATGGTAGAAATTACTAAAAAATCACAGTTTCGTGTGAAATTAAATATTTGTAATAAGGAGACATTAGGAAAAGTGTTAGGTATGCATAATATGCATGATAATGCGTGCAATGTAGTTCTATCCGGATCTATAATATATTTAAATCAAACGTCTCTATTAACAAAGGTGGGCGTAGATGAATCATTAAGAGAACTTGTAGAGATATGCAAGGATCATAATATTATGGAAGTTATAATTATTAAAAATATGTACAATAAGTCTCAAGTTAATAAGTTCTGTCGGTATATACAGAAGTATGATGAGTTTTTACGATTATGTAGGTATACTGTAAAATGTATAGATAAGTATAGTAAGTTAATAAGTACAGATAATGAAGTGAGCATTGTCACATTGGCCAATAATGTAAAGCATAAAATTTCTTAAAATTGTTATAGAATAAAAGGCCTAATTTTAATTTTTGGTTACTACTTGTTTAGTAGAAAACAAGATCTGTTAGATGATGACAAATATGTATTAACAATACAATGTAATTATAAAATTTTGTATTTTTTGTACTCAGGTATGATATACCTTGAGAAATTGTTAAATTAATCCTGTAGTGCTGTTTTTTTTTGTCTTTTTGTATGTAAATGTTTAAATAATAAAATTGTCTTTGTAATGTTAAACTTTCAGAGGGAGGGGACACCCTCACCATAGACACCCTACTTTTCAGGGGAGGTGTGGTATAGTGATGCAAATCAGCACGTTCAGTAAAAGATTGTGCGAGTGTACGTTTTGTATAACGACACGTAGGTCACGCAGTACCTCATTTATATAGTACTCTCACCACCGCTCCTGTCATCACAATATAGATGAGCATGAGGTCAGGTCAGTTAGCCTATTGTGACAAATTCAACAGGAATTTATTACGATGGTTTCCAGGGAGAACCGTGTGGACGTCAACCTGACGGTACATTGCTAGCAATGGAGTAATTACTTCACATTACTAACAATCCCTTCCCCCCCCCCCCTATTTCCATTTCTTTTATTATATGCCTTAGGGATAACCCTAGTCTCATTTGAGAATACATCTTTAATAAACCAAGAAAATCTTTATAGAAAGAGACAAAACTTTGCTACGAAATGATTATCATAGTTCGTGGCTACTTTTACATTCTATAGGCACCAAATGCTGCATTTAGCTGAAAGTCAATGACAAATTCATTGATTTTTTGCTAAATAAAACTAGTGTATATGACTATTCTTTAACTTATATAAATGTATCAAAGCAGATGAATTTATAAAAAAATTCTTTAACAAAATTGAGCTTAATTTATGTATTAATTTAAAACGAGAAAGATAATTTTTATGGACGATAATGGTATGTTGCTAACAGTGTAAAGATAATCACATAGATCGCCCTAGATACGATTGTATAATACTTAATTTCTACCTTAGTACTACATATAAAGACCCTACATGCATTACCTATCATCCTCCACTGATTCTCTTCCAGCGCATATCATTAACAAAGGCGAATGCACTATTCTATTTTCATAGATTAAAAACTGAAGGTTCTCGAAAACATTATACGTTTATATATATAAGTAGTGTAGTGTATATATAAGTTTTATCTTCTAATTAAATGTCATTTTGCGGAAGTCCATTTCACTCCTTAATGGATTTATATTACTTTGTCCAACATGTAGAAGACCGCATTGAAATATCTTATTTCTCACATACCGACCGACACTTTTTTATTGTTAATTACGTATATTATTTTTTCAAACATGTTTTTAGTGTACAATAATTTGAAGTAGACATTATTTAACCCCTAGATTTATTTCAATTAAATTGACCACGGGTGGTCCCAACGTGTAAATTTTGTCGTTTCTTTCGTTGCAGAGTGGGTTCTTTCGTTAACCCACCGGTGGGCATTCTGTGTTTAACATGTTAATTGTTCTAAAAATAAGTGTATATAATAGAAGGAAGCGCAACGCGGATGGTGTGGGGGAGCGGGTGCGCCGGCGGCCAGCGAGCGGTGCCGGATCGCGTGCGCGGGCGACTGCGTGGTGTCCGCGTGGGCCGCCTGGTCGACCTGCACCGCGCCCTGCGCCGCCCCCGCGCGCCCCGCGCCCACCCGCACTCGCCACCGACACGTCCTCGCCCATCCCTCTCGTGGTAAGTTATATACTAATTACTTTTACCCAGGACATCATAAGAAGCAAGAATTTCTGGCTTCTTAATGATGCTTGTACAGGACATCACCATACAAGCATCGGCATTTTACACCACTCCGCGTCCATATCCCGCCCAGGCATGCCATTTTCCCTTCAGTACACTAAATAATCACAAGCAAGCATCGGTCCACATTCATGCAACGTGTACTCATTAAATCAAATTGGTAAGTAGTCCGGACTTTTATACATCATAGCATCCAGATTGTGTGGGTCACAGCAGACGCATACAATGCTCGTCAAATTTTAAGAGGAGTCAATCCCATACAGGTGGCACGTTTGCTCGTGCTCATACCGGGCTCTTCCAAATACACAGATGTTCGACAGTTTGCTCGCTTTCCATCAGATTGACAACTTGCGTTATCAATAATACCAATTCGCTTCAGGTAGTTTTTATTATATCCAAATCTAAAACCGTGATCAGTATTTTGGTATTGAACGCTCCTTTCATCTCACCCAGACACTCACAGAGCATGGATATAATAAAAGCTACCTGAAGTGATTTGGTAGTATTGACAACAGAAGTAGCACGTAGCTGTTTTAGCGGCTATTATTATATTGTGTGTTCTTTTAGTACAAGCAGTAGTAGGAAAGGAGGAGGTGAAATGATGAATCCAGCGGTGGTTATTTACATTATGTATTATATATTAATTAAGTATTTACAATTGGTATATATACAAGAAGCGATTCGGTCTCGAATGACAGGCTTGTTCTTTTATTGTACTATCGTAACTAAGCAACGGTGTTGTTGAGTCATAATAGTAAATTCGCCACACTGTATTGCGCAAGACCGACAGATCGACGATCTGGTTAGATTGCTGGAAGGCGATGGATGAGAGCTACGCAGGACCGATCGTCGTGGAGATCTTTGGGGGAGGCCTTTGTTCAGCAGTGATGATGATGTATTACGCAAAGTATATGTGATGCTACACTAGTAAAAACCTAATTATATTATATAATATTTTTCAGGTGGATATTCGTGTCCACCAGAACACGAGTTGGTACAAAACGAGACGTGTAACAACCACGGATGCGCCACATACTCGTGGCTGGCGACGCCCTGGGGCCCGTGTGAACATCGCCATCAGGACTTCATGGCCACTGCCAACTACACTGACATATCGGTACGTATTGACATTGTACCCAATATGTTTACTGCCATATCTCGCCCCGAACCAAAACACAGCTTTCAAAATAAAAAATAGTTTGTATTCAGACATTTTAACTTAAAAATGTAAAGTTACAATTATTTAAAATGATTTGTGTTATGATGACGGACTTTTCCGAATGAACGGTAGATTAAAAAATATATATGATATTCCAAAGAGAATATATGAATATTATTTATTCTATATACATTTATGGCTACACATATAGGGTACCCACGCAAATGATTTTGTACAGTCCTTCCTGTGCTCAACGCATAAAAGAAATATTCATTGTTCATGCAACACTGCTTTGCAGGACGGAGAACCATTCAATGAAAGTGATGAGGAAGAACCATGCGTTGAAGAAGGAGTGATGGTGAGACAGGTGATGTGTATCCAGAACAACGCTGACGTCGTTCGTGGAGGACTGTAAGTTGATTTACTTGAGAATACCAATAATTATAAACTACATAAGTACATTTTTTTTCTTTGTAACTTATTTCCACTCTTGCACCGCCAACATTTTTTTTATAATTCTCTCCGAAGGCTGTCTAGAAGCGATTCGCGAAGCGAGACGCCTTTTGTACCTTTTTTCTGCACTATACTTTTTTTTTTTCGTCAATTTTTTTTTTATTGTTTCCCTCCCAGTCCCCAATATACAGGCCTGATCTAATTTTAGGACTACCTATAAGAAAATCAGATTCTAATGTAGTAAATAATTAATGTAAATCTATGACTGATTAAATCCACGTTTTAATTCCAAATAAATGTAAGTATAAATAAATATAACTAGATATGTTTATATTTACAAATATATTGTATACGTAATCAGATGTGCACCTCTGCATAAGCCTGCAGCAAGACGCGCCTGCACCGTCCGGTGTCGGCGACGTCCGTGCAAAGTCGACGATTGGATGCCTTGGTCACCGTGCCCCAATACATGTGGTTAGAATTAATTCATTAAATATATATATATATATATACTGCTAGTATATATAATATATATATACTAGCTGTTCTCGCGGTTTCACCCACGTTAAATTTCTATAATAAATATAGCCTATATGTTATTGTGATGCATAAGTTAGTTATTACTGTAAATTACATTTTTCGCCCCTCTGTATCATAATTTTCGATTTCTTGAATAAGAATATGTTAACCATCTTGGGCTGCATTATATTTATTATAGTTATTTATATAAATTCTTTATTGCTTTCACTCATGTTTCATTTTGTATTAGTTAATATTTTTAATTCTCATGTCAAGTTTGTGTTGTCTCAAAATTTTTTGTAACTCTTAATACCCGTTATAAAACTATGTGGACAGAGCCTGGACAACAAACTCGTGTTCGAGTAGTCCACGGAGGGCCAAACTGCGGCGCACGGCAGGAGTCGAGGGACTGTCCAATCGCACCATCATGTCAGCCGCTAGACTCCACCTGGGTGGCGGGAGAGTGGAGCACGTGCCGCATGCCGCCCTCACAACGATGCGGCGTTGGATACAGAGTCAGAAGTATGTCATATTTGAGTATTTTGCCTTTAAAGCAGTGTTTTTTTTTAATTAGAACCAACGGCGTTGCAATTCTATTTACATTATGTATGTGGTAATATTACAGCTACCATAGGTTTCACTTATTTAACACCAAGTATATTTTATTGGCTTTCGCTAAAACAAAAACAACCAAATAGGAAATGAATGAAACCACTGAAATAAATGAAAGAATTAATTAATTTGGAAGCTATACATCTCGTAAATTGTCATTGTGACTAATGAATTGAAAAATTATTATAGAAATAAGACACTGGGAACATGTGTTTTCCAACCTTGTTGCACCCACCTTAGCCCTTCTAAAATATTATGCCCTCTAAATGTAAATGCCTTAAAGTGATTGCGAAATATTTTTCATTCAAACAATCGTAACAATGTTTAATAAAAATACCTTCAGAACTGTTGTGCTTCAAAAAGATTTCTTGTCAATACTCGGCACCCTTCCATTTCTTTACGTATCCACATAACTTAGTTCAATATAAAGTCAGTCCACCTTACGACCCCGTTTGCGTGTATTGGGAAGTTTCAGAAATGATACGTCAATGCAGCAGTACTTTTATTTTATTCCTTTTTCAAATTACACTCCACATCAATTGCGTCGCTGTGCATTCACGTATGGTCGTCTCAGTCGCCTCGAACAAAGAGAGAGCAGCCCGCTCCCTCCTTGTTCCCGGCCTCTTTTTCTCTACCACTATTGGAGCGGCATAATCGTGCCGCCACCAACATCACGTGACTCGCTATGGTTTTAAATTTGAAATGTGAGTAACAAATTAGTCATCTGAGTCTTCTTTATGTATTGGAGCTAACACGTGTGTGTACCCGTCACTAACAGACCACGTAGCGCATTATGAAATAAACTTACTAGTGAAGTTCAATTACTACACTTGTATACTCACTACCTAGATGCTACAGGAAACATAATACGTAGCGACACCTTATCACATCATTTATAACGCATTTACATCAAGCAAATTAAGGACAAATTTGGAGTCATGTTGTATCAACATTTAAAAATAAGCTAGAAAATTATGGGAAGTGGCAAGAGCCTCAGCAACAAAAAGCATGTCTCTTAAATTATGAATAAACTAGCTGACACACAGCTTCTGCGTTACATTTTCCCCATTTTACAACATTTTTCATTCCAGCTGCGCTTCTATTAGTCAGAGCAAATGAGTCTTATCTAAGTGAATGCGCGAATTGATAAATCCAAAATATTTGCAAAATATCTAACATTTTCTATACAGTTTTTTTATTCTTTGTTTTGTTAGAACCTTCATTATATATTATAAGTTATGCCGCGGTAAAGGGAAATAGAAATATTTTTTTATATTGTTTCAGGTATTTGGTGCGGCTCAGAATCGAATCGAGTGGAAGCAGGTTTCTGTGCAGGCCAACTAGTCCCGCAGAGCGTCGCACCTTGTAAAGTGACTTGTGACTTCACAGCTCCTCTCACATGTGAAATGATTTGTGCCAATCCATTGAAGTAAGCTTTTTCTTTTATATCATACTAACTGACCTGCTATGTTATCCAGCGCCACATTTCCTCTTTTTACAATATTTTTCAATACAGCTCTGCTCCTATATTCGATCATAGCTTGGTGTTATGTAACCTCCTCTATTAATCTCGATTAATGTGCTATAGGTATGATGTTATTACTTTACAGATACTTAGATGCAACAGAGCCGGATGTACCAACTTGTGTTTGCAAGAATGTGTCCTTGGAACTCTTGCCAGCCGATTCAGACTGTATCCTACCATATAGGTAAGCATGTTCGATGACCTTCGACTTCACAAGGGAAAAAAAGTGTTATATGTTAATGAGTTATTTGTACTTTGACTTAAGTTATATATTTCACTAATGAGGAGAGTGCCATGTCAGATAATGAAGAAGTATAAACATTAGGACTAACGTTTTATCACGCTGCCTTACTTTCTGATAGTCATAGCTTCGGTCACTGTCAATATGTTTATTGGTTGATATTGATCTAAGAAATCTTCTAACTACATAGTGTAAAAATGTATTTAATGTATTTACTAGTCTGGGACTAGATGATGCTATGTTAGTTATTGAGCATTGTTTATTTATTTTAAAATTGTTATTACAATTATTACAGTAACGATTGTGGAGAAGGTAAAACACTGAGGGCTGCCCGTTGCATGGTCGGTGGTCACGATGTACCGATGGACGTTTGCAAGAAGTATCATCCGCTTACGGGTAAGATCTCCTTCGGTCGCATCTCCTTCCTTTTTGTTAATACTACAGGTTATAGGCCCAAATATAAATACGTTTCCGAACTCTTACAGGAATGTTAATCGTATGTAGTTAATTCAGAGAAATAATAAAAGGCTGTAAAAGCGTAATAACCTGGTCGAGAATTAGGGATAACCGGCGGTGGCCCTACCGCATGCTACATTGCATTCAAAATAAACTTATTGAAATGTGGCCATGTCAATTATTGGGTTCACCACAACAACGACAGATGAACATGCCACTGACTACACTATTTAGGATAACAGTGGTAATGGTGTGTTTGTTTTTTTATCGCTCAGGTCCAAATCGCGTTCGTGAGGCATCCACCGATGGATACACTTACGACGGTGATTTCCCGTCTTTGTTGCGAGGCGCGTGCACGGTGACGTGCAGGCGTGACTGCGTGCTGGGATCCTGGGGCGAGTGGGGACCCTGCGCTGTGGAGCCGGACTCTAGGGCTGCTTTTAGATTCCGCACCAGGTCAGAAAGAACTTTTCTTTTTTTTATCGTTAGTAGTTTGTATTAATACGTTTCAACTTAAAAATGTTTTGGTTTGGATTTTCATTGCGGAGAGAGGATTGGGCAGTCTAGACACTGCATTACCATTGCTAGCTGTCCCTAGGTTCCTATTTTGCACCTAATGTAAAAATGCGGCCGAATGCGCTAAAGTCAAATAATTAATGCGCTAAAGGTAAATACATTTAGTTGTCATTGAAACGAAAGAAGAAGAAGATTTAAAAATGTTTAGTTACAACAATTATTTAAAAGATCAAAATGCAAGTTTCTTGCTTGTTCTTCTTCTTGTAAGATAGCTTTCTGAATTAACGGTAGATAAAAAAAAATAAGTGTAACTATTCAAAAGTGCTTAAGTTTATTCAGAGAAATAATAAAAGGTAGTTTATTTAATATAACAGGGAGAGCTAAAAAATATTAAATAAACATCAAGTGAATAATGTACGATTGGTATGGCAAGGGTATATGGTATGGATAGGTATGGTATGGATAGGTATGGTATGGTTGTGTGTGTGTGCCGCCGCAATATAATGCTAACGCGACACCGGTATCAGCGGTTCGCTGAACATACCATGAGATTTTAAAGTGAGTAAGAATCTCACACACTGCCATTCCTCTCCAGTGAGGGGATTTCGTGAGGGTTTTTCAAAATGTTAAAGAATATTGTGTGCGTATGCAGGGAGGTGATACAGGAGGCGTCTGGCGGCGGGCGCGAGTGCGGCGCGACGCTGCAGCGCGCCACGTGCACGGTGCGGGCCCCGCGCTGGTCCGCCGCGGACTGGCCGCCCTGCGCGCCCAAGCACGCACTCTGCGGACGCGCACTCGTCAACCGTAGCGTCACGTCTGTATACATTTTTTTTTTCAATCTTATTGTAATAGGCTCTATTGTCATTTGGGCCTGTTTTTTTTTCTGTAATTATACTTGTCTTATAATAAGTTTTTCTAGAAAACATTTTGAACAGAGTTGGAGTATCAGAGGCATTATCATATTATTATCTAGATGTCTTAGTGAACAGCGTGGCAACATCCAATTAAGGTTAAACGTAATAAGTTTTACTTTTGATTTCAAAAAGGCCATAACAACGATAGGTCCACCCCTATCGCTATTTTTTTTCATTAATTTGGTACGTTATCGGTATTTCTACAGAATCAGTCAAATATTGATACACATACGTGTAATTCCAACTACCAGTCCACGAGTCACGACGAACGATGAACGATCCTTAAATATCTCATTTTCTTATCTTTTTTGTTTAGGTGCATAGACTCGGAAGGCAAGATACTCGACGATGCAAACTGCGAGGCGAGTGGTGCCGGCCCGGCTCCACCGCGGGAGGCTACGTGCCGAGCGCCTTGTCCGAGAGACTGCGTCCTAAGTGCTTGGTCCGAGTGGAGTCCTTGCGAACAGGTAAACGAAGAAATTGTTTACTAATTCAAAGGATTCTTAACAATTCAAGAATGTAAATGTTTATTTTCTCATATTCTGAGTATAGAACAACTTAAAAAAAATGTTATTTCAAAAAATATTGGTTTCTAAAACAAGGAAAGAAATATTTTCTCTGCCATATGGAAATGCATTAAATAAAAAGATGATAAAAGAAATAATCCGAAATGGGACACAGACAGCGAACAGAATACCAGTTATCATATATCGGCAATGATAAATATATATAATAAGATTCCCATCTCTAAAATTGATGTCATGAAAACACTTACGCAGACGAAGTCTGGTGGACGACGCGATCGTACACGCGCAGTGCTGCGGCCGGCTGCGCCCGGCGGAGCACCCTGCGGACATCTGGTGGCGGCTGAGCCCTGCGCCCCGCACGCCCACTCCTGGCACGTGGCGCCCTGGGACGACTGCCAGCCGCTAGGTAACCCTCGCCGACCTGCGACAATGCGGGCGCCTGCAGGCGGCCGAGCAATATACTCTTAAACTCTAGTGGGACCTAACAATCTGTTTCCAAAAATGTCATGTCATGTTCTTTGAATATTTATTTTATTCTCTATTTAGTTTCTCCAAATATTTATTAATAATAAAGCGCTGACCTACTTTTATAGGAGGTTCGCCCTGTGGTGAAGGTATCAAAAGGAGATCGGTTCGGTGTCTCAGAAGCGACGGGGTCTTTGTCAACGACTCATTTTGTCCGGTAAGTGTACCTTCTATGATTGTAATTCCTTTCATATTTGAAATAGTAGAATTGAACTGCTCTATAAATTACCTGATCGATTATTTTAATCATGTACTACAGAAAAAAGTCCAACCTTGTAATGAAACTCGTAAAAATCTGTTGATGGAGAATTTTTCTAATCCTACGAACAAATTAATAAATAATTATTGCTTAGATCTTAAAATACGAAATGTCTCTGTACGTAGATAATATCTATGATAATTTAAAAATAGTCAAACAAGTGAATCGCAATAAGGTCTCTTAATAAATAGCATTTCATACAGAATACGACAGCGACAGAAGCAAGCGAGTCGTGGTGCTACGTGCCATGCGGCGTGGACTGCGAGCTCACTCAATGGAGCGCATGGGATACTTCTGCGTGTGCCTGTGGCGATTCATCTTCCACTAAATATATGCGTCGTACCAGGTATATTTATCACGTGTAGTTGTACAATTAGGTTATGTAAATAAATTGATATATTGAATACATTTATCATTATTTTAAATTATTTATATATCATAATTATTTATAATATGCCCGATTTTTTTCTAATGACCTAACTATCAAAAAGCACTTCCGACGTAACGTCATTTCAGGACAAAGTTAAAAATGATTACCTACATTTATTTTTGAAAATACAATTGTATAAATAATGGAGTAAAAAGTAAAGTGTAAAGATATTGTAAAGACATTTTTGTATTATTCTGCTAAATCTAAGTAGGTATTTTAAATTATATTTAATAGGTGTTTTACATAATTTGGATGTGTCAATTTGTCCCTTTCCAAGTAACAACTAACAGTAACAACAACAATAAGACTATTATTGTTTTTAACTGATTATTTCATCAATAAAAATGTATATTTCAGAGACCATTTAACAACAGTAGTGTGGCCGGGTCGAGCATGTGGACCTACAGAACACCGCGCACCATGTCCTCGGAAGCCCTGTTTGAGACTCGTGGCGAGACCTTCTCTCGGATGTCACGTCAAGGTATCATAACAATAAATACTTTTTATATCCTGTTACAGTTGTAATTATTGCCGATTCTTCTCGACTGAAGAAAACAAAAGAGAATTGTTCATTCGACTCGAAGGACCATTTCTTTAAACTCTAACAAGATCTCCAATTAAAATGAAGTGTATTTTAAATAGGTTTATATTATGCTTGATAGAATTAGCTGCAAGATGTTGTAAGATATATTGGGTTATGACAATACGCGTTTTCGTGCTGTCCGAGGTTGAAGTGAAGACAAGCCGCTAATCGTGACAATTGTGGTTCAGCATACGTTTGATTAAATAAAGGTTATTTCAATTGCATTCTACAACACGAGTAATTTCTAATAACATTTTCCTTACATTTGTATACTTATAAATTACAAAAAAAAATACAATCTTGTAAACTAGTCCTCATAAATGGAATTGAAATAAATATTTTCGTATGCAGACCTCTTCAGGAGAAGAAGCAGATGCTTGCGGCTGGGGGGTAAAAATATCACACGTGCGCTGCGAACTCACCACTGTTGGTGATGAGCCTATGATGGAGGCATATTTAGAACCCTGGCGCTGCTCGCCTGCACTACCTGGAAGGATTATTTCCCCACAGATAACTTATCAGGTTAGCTTAAAATATAAATTGCTTGAATTTACCTCATATATTTTTTCATTTATACTAGGTAGTGTTATTATTTAGTAAAGCTAATATTTATCAGATTTAATACATAATGTTTTTCCATCTTTATACATAATCTGAGCCATTATTAAATCGTAACTAAATTTTAGTCTTTGTGACCTTGCGAAAAGGACGACACTTGCTTACAGAAATGCCGGAAAGAATTTCAAATTTGATTAATGATAAAAAATATATTATAGTCGAAAACTAAGTGGTATCTGAGAATTGTTTCTGAATGAAAGTAGCCGACCGCTAACTAAATAAAATATCAATTATTTTTATATTATAGTCTCTATAGAATCGCAATCATGTACTTATTTAATAAAAATTAGGATGTGTAATATATACCGAGTATGTCATAACTAGAACCCAACAAACATACTACTGAATGTCTAATTATCTTATTCTTCTTATTTTTCCAAGTAACAAGAAATTAATCTAAATTAAACTTGTTACTTGGAAAAATATTACGCCTGTGAAGTACTTCGTTTTCAAAAAAAAAAAATGTATTTTCTTAAAAAATTCATCACTTTATTTCACAACTCAACTTATTTAATACTAGCGGTGCCCGCGGTTTCACCCGCGTTAAATTTCAATATAAAATATAGTCTATGTGTGCTATGTTACTGTAAAGTTTCATGAAAATCCGTTCAGTAGTTTTTACGCGAAAGCGTAACAAACATCCATACTCACAAAATTTCGCGTTTATAATGTTTTTAAGATAACCAGATTTTTAATACCAATTCATTCTGTACATCATAAGGAGGAAGATGTTTGCGAGGCAGACTGCGGGTGTAGGGAATCAGAGATTGGACAGCCGGGACCGTGGGGCTCGTGGGGATCGTGCCGTGGGGGAGCACGCTCCCGCACTCGACAACTGGTTCTTCCTGCGCGTCGTGCTTGCAGAACACCATCCAGGTATCATCCTATTACCTACTACCTAACTCATATTACCTACTCGTATTGCAGGACAATGTATATATTCGGAATACGTCGTGAAAAACAATTTTGAAAAAATCGCACTTGAAGCCGGTTGCAGTCTTTAATTTTCTTAAAAGTATAAATAAATAGCGATTATAAATAAATAGAATTATAGTTTACGATATAAATAAATAAATAGTATTAGTATTATTTATTTATTGATATCATACTAAGCGATATTTTTGGGGGAGACCTTTGTCCGGCAGTAGACGTCTTTCAGGTTGAAAGATGATGAAGCGAGCTTTACAATTTCCCAATATATTCACTTTTGAAGATTGTACATATATATAACCTACTGGCATCCTACGAAAATCCAGCCACTTACAAGTAAACACATCTAGGAAATCTTATCAGACCGTTGACAGACTCAATGCAAGAGAAATAGAAGCCTGCTTGGCCAGCTCTGTTCTTCTTCATAGAACAAACAAGTATCGTGCTTGTATATAAACATTGAGCGCTCTTAGGGACATTGGTTATGTTAATACCACTTGATCACATTTTTCACCCTTTTCATTACAGATTTCATTAATACAAAATTTCTATTTTAACGTTCATGTATGTACCTAGAGGTCTATTAGCCCCTAAAATAATAAGGGTAGTTAATTACTTTTGGCATCCTAAGAAATTTTGAAACACTTTTAATTCATGCTTAATACAAAATAGATTTGTGACCATCGAGTGGGCCAACTGCACGGGCGACGCCGATGAGATCCCGGACCTCCTCGCTGTAGAACCTCGTAACGACAAACCGCGCCGCGCCTGGCTTGAGCGAGATGTGTACCATGATGGATATATTGGTATGCCTCGGTTATATCTACTAAACTAAATCCAAAGTAGACTGGTAGACTTTTTTTATAGTTGAAAATAGAATGGTGCACCCGTCAGGGCTAACGGTTTACGCTAGCGGGGTACTAGTGGAAGATGATACTATGAGTATGAAGTCGATGAGCATGAGGTGAGGTCAGTTAGCCCATTGTGATATTTTCACCAGGAATTTATCATTATGGTTTCCAGAACCGCGTGGAGATCAATCTGACAGGGTATATTGCTAGCAATGGGGTTATTAACCCACATTACTAACAATCCCCTTCCCCTCAGTGAGAAACTTTGTACATAGTCATCTGGGAACACCCCTGTCTCGTCTATAATAAAAACAACTTGCTTTGTAAGACCTGCTTCAGTTGATGGGTCAGATATATAAATTTTATATTTATACACGTGTATTCGAAATATGTGATGTGGATATATAGTTATTTTAACTCACATCTCACTATATCGTTGTATTCTATTATTATTGTTACACTTCGACCAGACTCGAGTCTAATCGCTTCTCTCCATCCTAAGGTTGGCTAGAAGAAATTTACTTTCAGCGAAACGCCGCCCATTGTTGCCTCTTTGTCTTGCTCATTGTTGTATGTTTATACATATTTATATTTGTACATACATAAATTCTTTGAAGAGAATGGTAAAGAATTTTTCTTTTCATATGATAGTGAAATTACAGGGTACGGACTCAAGAGATCTTATCTCCGGAATGGCCATACATGATGTTCACGGGTGTTGCATAATAGCGTGATATCCGTGGTGCTATTTGTATATACTGGCGACGGTTGGCACTTACCATTACGTCTTATTTGCTATATAGTTCCCAAAAAATTACTTTGTACAAAGTCCCTAACAAAGTGTTATATAATAGATTATCAGTATGACATACAAGCAGTGTATTGTTGATCATTTAATTTTTTCCATAGAGGGAAGCACATCAGTGCTAGCGGTGGTGTGGACTGCAACTATCGTGCTCAGCTTCTATGGAGCTTTTATGCTGTACCGTGGATTTATCAGGTATAACATAACATGAATTTATGACGAATTTAATGGTGAATTTAGAAGAATACCGTCTTCCGTATTACACAATAAAGTCGTGCCTGAAAGATTTTCTGTAATTCCAGGTGTCTCAGAAGCAGGAAAATGAGATCCATCGCCAAAGTCTAAACCATCAAGTGACCATCTTCTGTGAGAATCTCATTCGCCCGAGCGGACTGCCGTACTCGGGTTCTATTACTCTATGGACAATACTGTTCCACATTCTGTTGTCTGTTTCGAATACTCTATACATAATATTAATTATTCTTTGAAAAAAGAACTTACTATATTGTTTATTTATGCTATTATCGATGACTAACGTTATCAATATCATCTTCTTTAAGACTATCAATGATTGATCTCTATTTACCCAATCTCTATCAATCTATTTGTAAACTTCTATATAATAATACAACTTCTCTAAACGAAATGTATTTTATCAGCGATATCGCTAGTATAGGAAAAAGGTTCAAATATATGTAGTATATACTATATTTACTTTAATATAAGTATTTTAACTCATTACTATATAACCTGTACGCATAAATTGTCCTTTTATACTAGCAATGTCGCCACGTACTGTGTCTAGTGGAAGTTTAGTATCGTCAGTTTACTGAAAGTATATAGCATCAGTGTCTATTAATATTTAGTCAGTAAATATTGTAACAAGTTTATAGCCAGCAAACAGTCTGTCCGCAGGAGTGCTTCCATGTTTTTACGACGTAATTACGCTAAATTAGACGGTTTGTATAACTTTTCCTTGCTATAACGATTGGCCGCGTCGCAGTGAGGCTTTGGAATGACAATATTAATTCACGAATAGTATTAGCTACTTCGTTAACTTAGAACTGGAGGTCATGTTTGAGTAATGTTAGGGTATAGCCCTTAGTTGTTTCCGTATTGACAGGTCGTCGTGACTCTCGAGGCAATGTGAGTTAGCACAGAGCCGTCCATTTTATTAGTCGTCTACTGGAATTGAGGATGGCCAAGTGAATTTCACAAATTGAATGGAACAGTTGGACAGTTTATTGATTAACTCTTTTTTTTCTTAAATTATCAGACGTGAAGCATATTTTCATAATTTCATATTATTAATACTATTTTCATATGAACTTTATTAATTTCCTTAAATTTTCGCACAAACAGTATTATTAATCTGCTATTTTATATTAAGTAATAGATAATTACTCAGATTTGTGTAGGTAATGGCAATTGTTATGCTAGTCGATGATTTAGTAGGAAGGGTGTAAGGGACTGCCTAGCTTTGAGACTTGTATGAGCTTGTACGCTCCAGCGACCAAGTAAGACGTAACACATCATACCACACATATCAGTGTTTAAATATAAATTATGTCGTAATTAGACTAGATCGTCTTCTGCAATAGCATTCTTGATTTGGTCAGATCTAACATGGTATTTGGTATTATTATGTCTCCGTAAACTATTGCAGAAGGTAGTTTAGTTACAGTGCTTATATCATCCGAGTAGAGCTTTGGCGCACAAGATATCTACCTACTTAATGAATAGATTGTAAGTGATAATTGTAACTGATGATACCGTTTTGAGATAATAATCGTGTATAACACTTTTTGTAGGTTTTGCATTTAAGCCCATGTATTGTGACATGTATCTACATATTTATAATGTGAGTGTGTTCTACGTCTCATCGACTACTCTCTTATACTTTCACATTCCGTTTCCTCTCACTTTGTGACTTCTACATTTCTATTGCTAATATAGATTTTGACATTAAATTCGTAATCGCCTCATAGTTTCAAATTATTGTTTCGTTGATTTTCCACAGCTATTATATTAGATAATTACTTAATATCTTGACTGCAGAGTATTTGTTTTTAAATAGATGCTTGTGCTTTATAGTTGCATCAGCATATTTAAGTGATAACATATAACAGTTCAGGACTCAATATGTTTAATAGCATGCAAAATAAAAGATTAAAGATGTTTTACTTTAATATAATCGCTATTTTTTTTTATTATTTACAAAATCATTCGATCAATGATATTTAACTACTTTCATGTTCCTTTCTAATAATAACATTTGTTCACTAGAAATCACTATATTTTTGGTTACATTATTCTGTCCTACTTTGTATCACTCTATACTTTCGTGTTTACGATGTGTATTTGTAACCGTATTATATCATTACCACGATATTGATGTGAAACATGATAGTTAAGGAATCGTGTTAGACAATACAATATTTGATATTTAATAAATTTGATTGTGTTTTTATATATACAAGTTGTTATTATTTTACCTACCATGAAGTTTAGCATTTATAACACGTTTAAAAACTAAAATTACAGATTCCTAATAAAGTAATAGATATAAATTTACGAATTACTGACTACCCCTTTTGGAACAACAGTTGTAAAGGTATATGATGTAATCATTCCACGAATCTGTAATAATTGTAACAAAATATAAAAATTTTAAGAGGTAAAATATTGCCATGGATAGCTATTATAATTTAGTATCTAATAAAATATTTAATGTAATAGGATTAACAAGACATGAATATTTTAACTATGGCAATATCAAAACATCTTGTGATTATCTATGGTTGGTACATACCACAACCTACTGATTACAGTACAATATGATGGCCAAGGAATATAAGAAACATCAATCTACCAATCCTAATCAATGAATGACAATAAACATGGATTGTATTTTTCTTAAATTCAGCTGCTACGACCTGATGGAAGTCACTTAACCTGTGTTCTCAAACTAGCGAGCACTTTAGGCTCGTATTTCAAATCGGCCAATCCTTTTTGTACGACAGAGTTTACCCTCGCCGAACGGAGCTGCCGTCTGTACCGGGTCACGTCTTTTTCCGATGCTGACAAGTTCTCCAAATTGTTGAGTAATACCTGAAGATATCAGCTTATTAGAAACTACGCTAATAAAATGGCGACAAATCTTGACACAACAATAAAATTGTAGCAGTACTTGGGCCAACAATAAATTACGTAACACTTTAAGGCCCTTCCTTAAAGTGGATCCACAAAGTTTGACATTGTACGATAAGGGTCCTAACCTCTGTTATACAATATCAAATGATACACAAACTATGTGTAAAAATATCATTAAAAGAACCCCTCCCACTCTCCAGGGAGACTTAAAGTTTATGCATCACATTTAAATTTTAATATTTGTACCGTACGAGGAATCGAACCCGCGACCATTAGAACTAAGAAAAAAACTTTTCGGGCATTGGCCAGTCGTGCAAGTAATCTAATATTAATTGCGACTGCTATTGCCCGAAATAACATGAAATTTTAATTATTAAATATACTAATGTAATGTGCCCTGTTTGGGCACATTACATTAGTATATTTAATAATAAAACAAAAAAATAAAACAATACTGTTATGTTACATAATTTATGAATGGCCCCTTGTCAAAAAACTTTAACTTAACAAAGTTCAGTGGCTGTTATTTATGTAACGCTGTTAATAACAGTTCTCATCTAAAACCGATAAAATTTTAACTAGCAACTATGTACGGACTATTTATCCGGAAATAGCGAATCGAGCAACTTAACTTCCACGGTTACTCTTAGCTGATTAATATAAAAAAAACCTTTTTCAAAATTTCTGCACATAACTACTAGTATATTTACCGTTTTAAACGGATCGTATTTTGATCATATTTTACACTCAGATGGGTCGCATCCTAACTTAACATGCCTTTAATTCATACATAGTCAATTTCAGTTTATTTCATAAATCAATTATAATAATTAATATAAAATAGAAACAAAGTAATTAATAACATTTATATCGATATTAAAAGAAACTGTTAAAATACTTCTATAACTAAATACTAGCATATGAGCAGGCAGCGAGTTCTCCAGCAGCTTTCTGTGCCTTTATCATGGTAGGTGAATTATAAGTAAACACGTCTGAACAATAATACTCCTGCAATGTCTTCATGTCCACATCTAACAAATAATTTTCACTCTCTCCACTCGACTTTAATAATGGGGGCAACAAATCCAAAAATAATTTCTGTTGATATTGATCCAAATCAACGAAATTAGGGCTTATTTGCAATAGTCTTTGACATAAAGAATAATGATCACTATAACTTAAACAAACGCCGCTATACTCAGCTAAGGCGCGAATTATTTTCCAGTCATGACGCGCCTTACCCGGTGGTGTCACCGCTGGCATGGCATATTGAGATCTACCTTCCATATTTAAATATAATCCACCAGATTCTGTATAAGCACTCCCAGGTAAAATGACTGCAGCATTTTGCGCGCCGCGATCCCCTTGAAATCCTATATATATCACACTACAATTTGCTGGTGGTGTCCAATCGTAAAATATTTCGTCTGCCCCTAGAGATATCAACACATTTGGCGGACATTTCTGGACAGCTTCAAGCGCTCCCGGCTTCCAACCAGCTTCCAAAGCCCCAGCGAAACTCGCCTCCCTCGTTAAAACATTCAAAACTTGCCAGTTTCTTAGTTTAGTAGCAGGCGCTAATTTAGTTAAGATTCTCATAATCTCAGGTCCAGCCGCAGTTTCCAATTGAGATACTCCTACCAGTATAAGCGCTCTCTTAGCACCTTGCATAAACTGACCAGCATTGGCTAATGCTTGAATATTGTCACCTAAATAATTGACGTAATAGTTATAGTCGCATTTTGGACCGATGGCGTAAATATCGCATTCATTAAAAATGTATGCTTGGCGAATTCTTGCATTTAGTACAGGTGCTTCGAATCGTGGATTTGTACCAACAAGTAAGATTTTATCTGCTAAAGCGATGTCCTGCATATTTATATTTAACAAGTATCCAGCTCGTAAATCCATCCCCGATATAGAATAATATAACCCACGTTCTACGTATGTGTGTTCTGATCCAAATGTATTAAGAAGATCTTTGGCTGCTACCAGTGTTTCAACATTGCAGTGCGGTCCCGCTATAGCCATGACGTTATCTGGACAAGTACATCTAATCAAATCACCTGCTAATTTCAAAGCAAAGTGCCATTCTGTTTCAAATAGACACTCTTGAGATCTGTACATTGGTGTTACTAGTCTTTGCATTTCAAGTGAATCTATCGCCCATCGTCCTTTATCTGAGAGCCACTCTTGATTTATTTCATCGTGCTCTCGAGGCAAAACTCTTAGTAAGCGATTAAATCGATAGTTTAATGTAATATTTGTTCCTGTTGCATCAGTAACATCAATAGAATTTGCTGTCCTAACTTCCCAAGGACGAGCTTTAAACATATAAGGTATAGCCGTTAAAGCCCCAACAGGGCACAAATCAATAATGTTCCCAGAAAGTTCAGATAGAAAAATTTTATTGACATAGGTTCCAACAAGCATATCTGTACCGCGGCCTGTAGTGCCCAAAACATCTAAACCGCAGACTTGAGACGCAAATCGAATGCATCTAGTGCAATGAATACATCGTGTCATCTCAGTACGTATCAGTGGTCCTAAATACTTATCTTCCACAGCACGTTTACCGTCAAAATGTATATCTGTAAATCTAGAACGATCATTCCCAAACTTCATTGACAAATCTTGAAGATCGCATTCACCTCCTTGATCACATATAGGACAATCTAAGGGGTGATTAATTAAAAGAAATTCCAAAACTCCTTCTTGTGCCATTAAAGTTGCCTCGGAGTTGGTTCTTATTTTCATACCTTCATTTATAGGGGTCGAACAAGCTATTTGAGGCTTCGGTATGCCTTCAATCTCTACAAGACACATTCGACAGTTTCCAGCAATAGAAAGTCTTTCATGGTAGCAAAAAGTTGGTAAAGTCACACGTTCACGACGCAATGCCTGCAGTACTGTGAAATATTTAGGAACAGTAATAGATTTTCCATTAATGAATATTTCAACATCGTTACTTTTTTTATACCGCTTTTGTGTGTTTTGCATTAAATTGCGGCATTTCAGTAGACTACAATATGTTCTAAACATCATAACTGTAATAACAGTTTATAATTTTATTACAGATGTCAATAATAATGTCACTAACAGAAAAAATAACAAATCATGTCATTACTCATAAATCTAATTGCAAACTTTTTTATTCGCTACTAATTTCAGAAATTTGTAGGTACTAATATATATTTCTATAATATTTACTAAATAAGATATTTACGTAAAGTTTTTTTTTACTTTCTACTATAAATAACAAATAGTTTAATCTTATTAGCATAATTTTACCTATGAAAGGATGTCATTATAATTGTTATAATAACATTGTATCGTGTTTAGTTTCAACGTAACTATCGTAATAAATTAAATCAGTTGTACTAAAATTGTATATAAAATATATATATATATATATATGTAGGTAGTATTAATAATTTACCTTATGTATAGAATCTATGAGTTGTACCAAAGCCTCCTTAAACTGTACAAAAATCTCTGTCGCGCGTTGGTATCTGAAAATAAAACGAAATTAAAAGTATCTAAAAAAATTGTGGCATGATTTAACACAGGAGGATAGTTCACATATTGTATATGTGAATTATCCACGGAGCGAAAATCTTTACAATTTCATCATAAAATAATTTCTATTAGGCTGACCACTGAAAGTGAAATATATGAAATACTAGCTGCATCCGCGACTTCGTCCGCGTAAAATGACGATACTTCCATAGAACCTTTAATATTCACTTTCAACCCCTTACAACCCTTTTTTCACTTTAAAAAGTAGCCTATGTCCTTTGTCAAAGTCTAGACTATCTGTGTACCAAATTTAATTTAAATCGGTTCAGTGGTTTAGGCGTAAAAGCGAGACAGACAGACAGAGTTACTTTCGCATTTATAATATTAGTAAGGAGTATAAGGGCAGAGGAAGGCCAAAAAAGAGATGGATGGACTGTGTGAAAGAAGATATGGTAAGAAAGGAAGTAAATAACGCGATGACTGCGAACAGGGATGAATGGAAGCGAAAAACATATTACGCCGACCCCAAATAAATGGGGTAAGGAAGAAGCAGATGATGATGATGAATATTAGTAAGGAGTAAGGAAGTAAGAATAAAGATCGAATTATGAAAATAAAAAAATCAACTGTCAGAATTTAAATGAAGTTAGCAACGTTTGTATATTCATTACTTGATTACAGTCACCGGAAAAGTATCATCTTAGCAGTATGATTATAGTACATACCAACACTATAAGTGACGTTTGATGGCCGTAGGAGACGTTTATTTTAATTCTTACAAATTACACACAATTACAATGGACAATACATAGATGTACATAATATTAACTTGATAGTTCGTGTCATTATGTGTGATCCGCAGCAACACCTATTTCACGGTCACTAGATATAGGTACAACAGAAATATCATTTGTTTTACTTATGATCATGTAAAGTGTCAGTGAACGCGTAGTCCAGTGCAAGTCTGAGGGTTCTCGCTGCGCGTGGTGCGGCGGGCGCGGCCAGCACGCGGCGTGCGCCTCGCTCCAAGCAACGCGCCTGCACCAGCAGCCGGCATGACTCCGCGCAGGCGTTGGTGCGCTCCCACCCGCTTCTACTTCACCAACAACCGATACAGAACAATCCTTAGCTACCGTAATAGTTATTTCCATAGAATTCAGTTTAAGAAACTAGGACATAATACTATATTCATTACTATTTATCCGTCCATGAATAGGTTCAGGTGTTATTGGTTCTAGAAAACTGATATAAATACATAGATAATTTTTAAATATAATTTTTAGAAATAATATTATACTGAGATGGGTCCCCGGGCATTCAAATATTGAAGGCAATGAGAATGCCGACCATCTGGCAAAGTTAGGGGCAAAAACCGTCCAACTGGGCCCCGAACCCTTCTGTGGTGTGCCTCGTTGCCTAAAACTGGGACATCTCAAATTAATAACCAAACGAGAAGCACTAAATCACTGGCAAGAAATGCCAGGATTAACACATTCAAAAGACCTAATATCGGGCTTCTCGACCAAATACTCCAATAGACTACTGCTATTGAGTAAAAACAACATATGCATGATGACTAGGGCCCTCACAGGACACTGCAAATTAAACAAGCATATGGCTAAACTAGGCCTATGCACGACAAGTATCTGCAGATTCTGCCAAACTGAAGAGGAAACGCCGCTTGACATCCTATGTGGTTGTAGCCCACTCATGCATAAACGAAATATCTCCTTTAGAAAGTTTACACTCTTTCCTGAGGAGATAAAAACGATCGCTCCTAAGAATATCCTTCAATTCTTGTCCCTGACGGGTCTAGGTAGCGAACTCTGAAAAGGGCGAGCACAATAGATCTATGTAGGTCGTAGTGCTACAGGTGCCACACATCTGACAATAGCCCAAACAATCCAATAAAAAAAAATAGATAATTTTTTGTAAATACCTACATATCGTTATATTGGGTCTGTATAGGTATATTCAGTCTCGATGTTTTTTTATAAATACACACAATCATGTTTCTGAATACAAATGTTTGTACCGTGAGAGAGATCGAACCCGCGACTATCAGAACTAAAAAAAATCTTTTCGGGCATTGGGCAGTCGTGCAACTAATCTAAAATTATTTGCGGCTGATATTGCCGCAAATAATTTTAAAGCTTACTTCCAAAGCTTTGATGAAAACTACATACATAGGTTGATAGAAATAATTTGTTGTAACTAAATTAAACAGAAGAATTATACAGAATAATATAAATAAAGACACGAAAAAGAAGAAATTGCTGAATTAAAAATATATATCATATATATATAAAGAAAAATATATCGAAAAGCCATGATAGTATGATCTATCATGCATACACTTTTCGATCAGATTTACACAGTTCTGGATTCAACTTACTTGCCAACCGAAGTTAGTTTCCAAGATGGAAGCGCATCGTCCAACAACCGAACGGCTGCGTGGGCGTACTCAGCGGCCGCTCTTAGACGGACGCTTACAGATGCTAACGCATCCCGGAGACTACGGGCGCGAGTCAACTCACTCTCCAGAGGCGTGCCTGGCCGTAAACCATTTCCCCATACGCTTTCTGTAATATTGCTTTTTCAGATGATACGTGCCATAGATACACAATAGAACTCTATATAAATGGTTATGGATATCTATGGTTCTCCGTAGCTAATCTGTGCCAATATACAGTCATCAGTATTATTCTGTGTTCAACTCTCTTCACTCTCCATACATCTCATACTTTATGTCTAACACCACATCTTATTGAAAATAATAAATAAAATACTTCTGGAATGACTACAGTACAACGGATGCTTCTTATAAATATTTCATCTAAATATTTGTACAAAAAATAAACAAAAATTCATCTTTGTAGTGTACTGGGCAAAACACATTTATGGGTAAAGCTAGCTGACACGCAAACATTGTTTTGCATTATAAATTAAAATCGCTATTAAAAAATAGGTGATTAAAGAGTGAAAATTTAGGGTAGTATGTATTTTTTAATGCCATATTAAATTTTCCAATAAAGTCAGGCGGTGACAACCCTTATCACTTAGGGATATGAAAAATATATAGTAGCCGATTCTCAAACCTTACTGAATATGCATATAAAATTTCATAAAATCGGTCAAGTCGGTAAGTTATTGATAACAAATTCATCGTTACCACACATCAGAAACAACATGACTCCAAATACAGCTGTCTCTATCTACATATCTCATATGATCGCAGTGTATTTTTCACTATCATTATCCTGCCGCGTTATTTATAATGTCATGAGATGTCGCTACTTAATTTATGCGTTTCTTGTAGTATCTAAGTAGTAAATATACAGGTGGAATGATTATATTAGCAAGTTTATTTGATAGTGTGTTACATGGCTTAGTAGAAACGCGAACACTCAATGCAGGATCGTAATGTGGACTGACTTTACACTGAACTTAAATCTAAGTTATGTGGAGATGTAAACAAATGGACGAGTGCCGAGTGTTGACAGAAATATTAGAAGTGTAGGCACAATCTCTTGCATCCGCTTTTATTCTTTACGCGTAAAAATATGATATAATACCAAGTAATTGGTGCAACTGTGCGTACAGCGACCGTATGCGCAGGATCTGTGCGTGCAATACTCGTCGCTCACGTTGCAACTCGCTGTGGCGTACCTTCAACCAACTCAGTTCGAGTCCACGCATCTCCTGTTGGAGAATTCAATTAAAATACAGATGACCCAATTTACCAGACGATTGTTAATTCACTTTATTTGATCAAAAATAAGCCCAACAAATTGTCTCCAAATACTTGCCATATTGATTATTTTCAATATAGGTGCAAGAAAATTTTACATTTTAGTATATTAACAACAGATTAAGTGGAAAAGTTCAACTTAAAAACAAAGAAGTCAATTATGTATGTAGAATATACACCTACATAATTGACTTCTAATATATAACACGAAATATTAATTACAGTAATCGATTTTTGCAATAAAAATATTTTATTTAATATAAAACATATGTATAGCATAGCTCAAGAGCCAGCGGCCAATGTGACCAATTTCTATTTTAGATGTTTTCGGCGTGAGGAAATCATTACCGAAATTAGGTGTTGGCACGCTGACTGTCTGCAAGATATCGACGTAGCGTTCTTATTAAAAAGAGATTCTTGAAATTGTATATGTCCTTACCTTTCTATTTACATTTGCGACAAAATCTTCATTCTCGGAGGCTAACATTGGACGTCTGTACAGATCTAGACTTACAAACAACTGAAATACAATGTATACTAGTTAGTATCTAACTAGTAACTCATTTATAAATATAATATGAATATAAAAACCATTAATAACTATTTAATATTTAATCAACATTTGATATAAAAATATAGATTATACACATATTTAATCCTTATTTTACAAATAATTGTAATTTAAAGCACTGACCTGGTGAATAGTTTTTGCATATACATCTTGAGTTATTATTGTAGGCTTAGTATTTTCTTCGAATGTATTGATTTCCTTAACAAACGAAACAAAACACTCTGATAAAATATATAACGTAGAAGTAAAGTAGCTTAGATACATATATATATATATCAGTTTTACGTTATTTTTTCATAGAAACAATTGTCTCGTCTGGATACAGACTCAATTATAGAATATATAAAAGTCCGAATGTAAAGTCATGGGTCATTTACCATATAAGACAAGTATCCGCGCTTTTTTGACCAATCTCTTATCTCCAAATGGAGAAATGATGTCATATACCTAACACTATCATCTTCAACTATATCACTATACAGCCAACGTAGAGTTGTTATCCCTAAAAATCTCATCATCTTTAAAAACAACTAGAACAATCATGAAAATCCTAGGTTACGAAGTTTAAAACCGCGTTTACCTACTATTTTTTTAATTAAAATAAAACATAATTTACATTCTAATTATTCTCTGCGAAGAAATTGTGTAAGCAATCATTAGAGGACTTTGGCAAAGAATTGTTTTATTTATTTTATTGCGCCAGTCGCATACTTGAATACTTTTATACCTGGACAAATGACAACCAGCACATGCCTGAAAAGACGTGAAATATTATTCAAGTTTCTCACCTGCTGCAAACTTTCCATCTCAGCTGTGATAACAGCCAGCCTCGCCGCTGGGTATGCTTTCTCGCTCTTCGCGATTTCGTCGTCTAATCTTACTAGAGCCGCCACCACTGTTTCTCCTTTCACCGTTACGCCGTCCCACGACACTCGCTGAAGTACAAAAATCAATTATTTATAATTTCATCATATATTGCATAATATCTGCACCTGCCCTACTAATATGCTGTCCACCTTCTTGATGGATGACTACTGGTCGTAAACAATAAAACATCAACATCAGTGTCGCAAGCATAGAAATAATTAATCTTGTTATTATTTTATATGTATGTTAGTCTGTAAAATATATATGGACAAGCAATAGTAGCAACAAGACAGAAAAATGTATTGGACATTTCAGCATTGTTTTTTTATTTATTTATTAAAACTTTACTGCACAAATGCATAAATAAAGGCGTACATACATTTATAATACTAGTATAGACATAGGTAAAAGTAAACCAGACTTCTATTATTAGCAACAGCTATATAGTTACTCACACTAGGAACTGTGGAAACGTTAATCCTCTGGGAACTCGCCATGCACCCCATTCCATCGCCACCACACATATGAATTGTATGCGGAGAGACTAACAGCTGTCTCCAAAACTCTACCCCTTTATAATAGTGGCAAATGTGCCAAGGTTACTATGTATGGAATGCTCAGAAAATGATTCACTTTCGTTTGAATGGGACCGTTTTGTGTGAACAATACGGGCGAGTACGGAGCGGCACCGCGGTGTTGTTGGTTTTTTTAAATCCATTATTTACGTACATGGAGCTATAAACTGTAAATCGTAGTTGAAATTGGATTAATGATACTTACTTATACTTACTTACTTATTTTCTAAGAATTCCGTATAAGGTTTCGTATAGATTTTCATGAGAATTTACAGTCGACTATTAAAAGAAATTTGGGTTGTTTGATAATGGTGATCCAACGGTGCCTGCTATATTTGATTAACCAGTATAAAAGTCGTATATCTTTAAATAAATAAATAATCATAAGTTACCAATATACCTATTATATATAGTACGTACATAGTAATGTAATTTATTGTAGCACCAATTTTTTTTATGAGATGATAAATAAACCTTGGCATACATGAATAGCACTACGGATATCATGTTAACAAATCCGCCCCTACTAAAACACTCATTGCTATTCCAGAAGAGTACGATGTCATGATTATTACTTTGTAATTATCCCACGCTTCAACCGAAATACATCTCACAAACCAAGCTGCTTAGCGACAAAATACTATAATACACCACGTATGTACGTCATATTAATATTATAAAAACGAAAGTTTGTGAGTATACTGTATACATGAATAGATGGATGAATGGATATTTGTTACTCTTTCACGCAAAAACTACTGAACTGATTTTGATGAAACTTTACAGTAATATAACTTATACATCAGAATAACAGGTTAGGAAAGGTGTATTAAAAAATACTATATATAAATATTATTTGTTTCAGTGTACATTAAGGTAAAATATGCTTATATATTCCTACATCAGCGTAACATGATTATAATTAGTCACTATCACGACACGTCATTATCAGCTTTTGGCACGAATTGCTACATGCATCCATATTCGCTGCAATAGGCTCGCAGCCAATACGACAATATTTTCTATATACATAAAAATCTATTGCCGATCATAAAGGGCATCACTTCTGAATAGTTCCGATTTGAATAATTCTTTTTTCTTGTGCTTGTAATTGTCAGGTCAAGGTTTGTTATGAAAAAAAAGTGAGAATCTAAATTCTTTGTGTAAAAATATTGTATACTTATGTTTAATGGTTATTTAATTACTTATAAGATAAATATGAGGTCAAATCAGTTATCCCATCGTGACCAAATAACCAGGAATATAGCACGATAGTTTCTAAAGTGGACCGCGTGGAGATCAATCTAACATAGTACATTGCTAGCGATCGGGTCAAAGGTACACATTAATGATAATCCCCTTCCCGCCGGTGCTATATATTAGATACTATATAGCAGCAAGTATATCGTACCTACCACTGTTTTTTATAGAAAATGATGTAATGTCTTTACGTGTGTTGTGTCTAACGGTGTGTGCTGACTAGTAAAGAATGCTAAGTTAAAAATTCACAAAGACATTAATGACAACGATATTTCCAAGGAAAGTGAAAGAGGAATTATCAAATAAAACCAGAAACCCCTAGATATATTGAAATCCTTCAGTTAAAGCCCTTCCTATTAATACAATATGTTTCCCCATCATACTGTATACCTATTATTGTATAGGTATACTCGTTGTGTATGGCGGTTACACACGCCATTTAATTTTAAAGATATTGTTATATTTTTACTGTATCGAAAGTAATAGATAAAATCAATAACGTAGATATTATTTGATCCGCGGTATATATAATATTATAATATTATCTTGAAATACTTAAATTTTCCTATGGTTCTATTTGTCCTTTATAGGCGAGGCAAAGAGGACTGTGTCCATACAGCCATGTCTGCATGTTAAAATGGAGATACTTAAGTTAGTGTGAACAAGTCGTAATGTCAGTGTCAAACGTCAAATCTGCCCATTTTTACCTGTTACGTACAGTTGTAGGTTTAGGTTAATTTCTGTCTGTGCTACGTACCCATTTACCAAACAGTCTTCCTTTCAAATCAATTTACTTAACCAAAATTCATTTTGGTATACTGTAAATTATTTTGAATTTGTTTTATTCTTTTGTATTTGTTTTTATCTTACTATCACCAAAATAATTCCAGGTAAGTCAATTTTATAAATTGGTATTAATCATATGTGATTTCTTAATAATGTTCCACATCAGTTTCTGAATACCTACATTCATTTCTCTTGTAATTTGCAGATTTACTAATTTACCCTAAGGTAGGACCTTAGGCTTCGGCCTAAGGTCTCGGCAACGAGACCTTCTGAAAACATCATAAATTAATAATAGAAATTTTGTCAAATACCACTAAGTGTTTCACAACTTGCACAAAAATGAGTCAATGGAATAATTCATACGTTTACAACAATCAATATCAAGGTGCTAATAGTTGGAATGGTGATCTTAATGACCAATATACAAACAGAACTTATTACCCTAATGTACAACAGGATGCAACCAACCACTATGTTAGCTTTAATGAGTTTCTATCTCAGATGCAGGGCAACAGTATACCAACCACCAATAATACCAGCTTTAACAATCCACAATACCAAACATATGAACAATACAACTACCCAAATATTCCATCCACTTCTCATAATATTCAGCCCGATAGATATTATGGAGCAAATGCATCTAATCAAGGTAATAGTTTTAATCAGAACCAACATAATACCCAATTAGCACAACCGGAACCAAATGTGTATACAAATGAAATGATACTTAATTCTAATTTGACACCTACTGCTGTGGAGTTTGTGCCAAAGAGTTCAAGTGTGAAACCATCAACCAGTGCCCAAAGTATTCCTGAGGCCTCCCAAAGCAGCAGTAATGAATGTGTTACAGAAAACAAAAAATATTACAACAGATCATCAGCTGACACAAATTGGAGGGAAAGATCGAAGCCAGCACAAAATAATGGCGATTCAAACCATAGAAATGAACTAGTTAACCGTCAGGATAATTATAGGAATAATGACTCTAGATACCGTAATCGAAATTACCATGACCAAGGAGGTCGATATGAGTCTGGCAGCCAAGAATCTGGTAATCGTAACAATGATAGAAATCAATCTAAATCTAATTCCAAAATTAAAAATAAGGACTCTGATCCTGGTCGCACATTTTATAATAGCACTATTAATAAGAATGGTCAAGAGGTAAGAAATGGGAAAGAGGGACCATCAGGAAGAGGCAGGAATTGGGCTGGTAGCCAACGAGTGAGGACTGCCGAAAGAAACCCTACTGAAGATGAGCAGTATGCCAACAACTATCTACATTATAAAGATGAAAAGTCTGAAAAACAAAATCAAATTTTGAAGACTGAAAATACTTACAGCCCTCTTAAGATTAAGAGTAAGAATTCAGAACAAGGTTTGTTTTCATCCATTTTTATTTATTGTGATTGTTTGATTTTATTATTTAATTTAGAAAAGTCTTAATATATTTCTTTGAATTAGGAATATTGAAAGTGATTGAAGAAAATAATTAAATCTTTCTAATTATGTTTTCCATCTGTATTTCATTTTACTAAAAAAACTTCAGTTTCTTTTTTAAGTACCTAGTAAATATTGATAATAATAATCTCAGGACAATTCACCTTCTAGACCCAAGTTAAGCCAGCTAAAGCTTGTGTTATGGGTACAAGATAACTGATACAAATACATTGATATTTCTTTTTTATAAAGATATATACATATTATACATAGTGCACACCCAGACTGTTACAAACAATGATACTCATAAATACAAATGTTTGTACTGTGCAAGGAATCGAACCCACAACCATCAGAAGTAAAGTGATGTGCTAATCTACTAATTAATGTTTATTAAAATTAAACTTTTCTTTTAGTTCACTCTGAAATGACTCAACGTGAGAGGCTCAGTGAACAATTAGATAAAGGTACCTTAGAATGTCTTGTGTGCTGTGAAAGGGTCAAGCAAACAGACCCAGTATGGTCATGCAACAATTGTTACCATGTGCTTCATTTGAGATGCATCAGGAAATGGGCTGTGAGCAGTATGGTTGGTGAGTGTAGTTAATATTCAAAATTCTTAACTTAGGTAACACAATTTTTTCTACATTCTATTGTTGTTAAAGACTTTTAAACATAAAGATGTCCTATCATATCATATATATGGAATACTAGCTGTTCCCGCGACTTCGTCCGCGTGGAATTTACCTTTTTTTTCTAAAATAATAGTATCCAAAGTTACTCCTTATTACATTAGCTACTTGCCAAAAAAGTCCCGTCAAAATCGGTACAGCCAGTTCAGAGATTAGACGGAACAAACAGACAAAAATTGTAAAAAATGTTATTTTGATGTATGTACCATATTTATATTCATATGCATGTAGTAAAAAATGGTTATTTCAATATTACAAACAGACACTCCACTTTTATTTATATGTATAGATTATCATTATGTTGTGAAAACCTTGTCATAGTATACTTTTAATATATCATCATTTGCTTCTTCCTTATCATATTTTTTTGGGTCAGTGTAATATGGTATACTTTTTATGTGAAATAAATACAGCCTGGTATAGGTATTTTATTAAATTTAGAGTGCATCATTCATTATTCATCATTAAAAATAAAATTCTCTGTTCTGTTACTTAACAGCTTAAAAGTTTTTTTTTCTCTCTGGCAACACTGCCGATAACAGTCTTTGTCAGTTGGCTCTTATTTATTTATTGTTTTTAAATTATTATTTGTGAAATAACGATACTAGTGTATATAATCAGTGAGTTTTAGTCATAAGTAACGTTGATTATTGTTGGTGTGCAAATCTGTGATTTCTTTGTGGCAAAAATCTACGTTACAAAATTTGTGAGGCCGCCAACTGTCAAAGTACTGGTAACTTACAATAGAAGTCTTGGATTTCTATTGATTCCTTTAATAATTAACTAAAGTTATTACACTTCACTATTACTATATCCGTTTACAAATAAACAATAATATTAAAGTCAAATATTCAATAGTGAAGATCGGTTGTTGTTGTTGAGGAGAGGAAAAAAAAAAAACTACCCACTAACATAAAATATCATTGTAATAATTATAACTCATAATATTTATTTATTATCATATTGATAATATATTAGAAAGATCTGTGTGACTATACTTATGTATTTTATTAAATAACAATACAATATTAGTAATCCATAGCCATTGCTAAATATCATATATAAGAAATTGAGACATACTTACTGTAGTGGTAATATACAAGAAACATTTTATTTTTAAACAGTATTGGTATTTAAAGTTTTATTTAACAGTTTACTAACAATTTTTTTTTTATTTATTTAATATTATAATATTTATTGTATTATTTTATTGAAAGGAAATAGCGCACTTTCATTAATAATACAGTATGTATATCTAAAGTTATTGTACCACCAACAATGTTAACCACAATTTTTGTTCTACAACATCACTAATACATAGTGCTTAGGGTACAATTGGTGAGTAAAAATATAAAGCAATTTACCAAAAATCAATTCAACAAATGTAAATATTCTGCCAACATTAAAATGTAATATGTGTATGTAATATTTTATATTATTTAGGGTTACAAACAGTGCATACAATGTAAATTACTTAATTAAGAATACATACCAACAATGTTAACCACAATTTTTTTTACAACATCACTAATGCATATTGCTTAGGATACAATTAGTGGGTAGACATATGTGTATAAAAAATTTTTTACTTTTAATAATTAAAAATAAAATATAGTTTTAAATTTCATCTCTTACAGAAGCTAAATGGCGCTGCCCAGCCTGTCAGAACACAAGTAAAGATATTCCAACTGAATACCGTTGTATGTGCGGCGCGGTCCGGTCCCCTGAATACCAGCGTGGGTCCAGCGGGGCTCACACCTGTGGGAAGTCCTGCAAGCGCCCGAGAAACTGTCCACACCCTTGTACATTACTTTGTCACCCTGGTCCATGCCCACCCTGCCAAGCTACCATTAGAAAGTTAGTCAAACTATGATATTATTATATTATTTTCTCTGTGATATATTTTTGCACCCGCCTGTGCCATCGTTTTACGCTAGCGGAATACTAGTTATTACAACGGTTTCCAGGGGGAACAGCACAATACAATATTTATTTACATTTAGTTTATTTACGTTTTATATAGCAGATTCTTCTCAAGTTCAAGCCACGAAATCTTGATACTATATTCAGAATTGACATTATATTTAACTGTATAAAAATATCTTTAATTAGACTACTTAATGAATCAAGATATTTTTTGATTTGATATCATAGATGTAAAATATAAATTGTGTAGAGAATGCGGTTGTGGCGCGGAGACACGGTCGGTGCTTTGCAGCAGCAAGCTGCCGCAACTGTGCGAGCGGACCTGCAGCCGCACCCTCGCCTGCACCAAACACGCCTGCACCCAGCAGTGCCACGAGGGACCCTGCAACCCATGCACAAAGACAGTCACACAAGGTCAGACATAACTTCTAATTTTATTTTTATTTTTTGCAACTTGGAGCGGCCGAAGGCTAATGTATAATTAATAATATAATATTTAAACAAAAAAAATATATAATTTAATATGTTGACACACCCTTAAATACTTATGTCTTTTATAAAACTGTAACACATAATTTTACTATATTCTCAATAATATTGGCATTGTCACTAATTATTTTTTTGTTTTTTTATAAGTTAGGTTACATTTAAGTTTTCATACGGATCCCGAATATTTTAAGAATATTCTATCGCCTATGTACATCAGGAATAATGTAGGGTTCTAAAAGTAAACGAAATTTTCAAATCCGTCCAGTAGTTTCAAAGTCTATTTAATACAAACACAATATAATCTTTCCCCTTTATAATATTAACTTAAAATTTGGTTTCAATTTTCGTATATTTAAACTAAATTTTAAGTATTGTTATAATTACTAGTGACAGACAGAGCAGATACCCTGCCTTTTTTTTCGGACTACTCTAATGCTGTTGGCCTCAGCTGGCCTTTACAGCTTCACCGGACGATAGGGGGCGAGTTATATGTAGAGGCGATAGATGGCACTCCAAACCCAGAAAAGGACTTATGTAGCGGCTGAAGGCCAACTCCCGCCTGACGGATACGAGAGAACTTTAGTCTGAGGGCACCACTAGGGGGTTCGAACCTCAGCTCAGGCCGTCGTAATATCGATTCCCGTTTGAATTGGACGGGAGATGCCCTGCCTAGTTTGATTGTGTTTTTTAAACCATCCAGGAACCCACAGATGCCCAAAAGTCATACAAATCAGTCCAGTCGTTTAGGATAAGTGACAGATAATATATAAGATTACAACAAAAAAAAATTACATTTTGCAAATATAAGTTGCAAATGATGATTACACTTATATAAGTCCAAATAATGTGGGGGAATTATAATAATTCTAATAGATTTTGTTGATTATTTTAATTGAAACGATACTCCCTCCTCGCATAGTTCCAATCCAAATTTCGTCAAGATTTATGTGCGATTCTTTTTGTGAAAGGATATCTCAAATTCGTTATATTAAATATTGAATTTTATGTAGTAATTAAAAATTAAATGTAAAGTGAAACATATTGCATAATTAAATTGTTAAAAATGATATAATAATTATTATTGCACAATCAATAAAATCGTATAAATGTCGAATGACTGACGTCATCTCACAGTCAAGGAAATAATAATATATGAATGTGAGTGAATTATAGTTTATGACTTCTGTTTAACGTAATGATAAGAGTCTGTCTTATCTTATAGCAGATAATGTTGCGACCTTCAAGTCGCACGATAGGTACGTTGACCGTGACATTTACACAGATGTGCAAAAGAGATCATAGGTTCTACTCTCAATTAGGTCAGAGTAGAAAATGCTGTTTATATTTTTAAACTAACCGTACCCGCGACTTCGTCCGCGTGGAATTTAACTTTATTTCTTTTAATAAAAGAATTTTTCTAAAATAATAATATAGCCTAAGTTATTATTATTACCCTTATTCCCTGACGGGTCTAGGAAGCGAACTCTGAAAAAGGACGAGCACAATAGATCTATGTAGGTCGCAGTGCTACAAGTGCTACAGTCACCTGACAATAGCCCAAACAACCCAATAAAAAAAAATACTCCTTATTACATTACAAGGACATTTTTTGGCAGCTCTGACCTGCCAAAAAATGTCCCGTCAAAATAGGTCCCGCCATTTCGGAGATTAGCCGGAACAAACAAACAGACAAACAAAAATTGTAAAAAATGTTATTTTGTTGTATATACCGTATTTATATGCATGTAGTAAAAAACGGTTATTTCAATATTACAAACAGACACTTCAATTTAAATATAAATAATATTTATAGATTTATGAAGGTGGCAATTTGAATTGGTACAATTGTATTTTTGTATACTGATTGTAAAATAGTTTTTTAATTATTCAAAATTTACGGAACGAAAAGATATTATAAAGATATAAGCCGGATTCAAGTTATCTGTGGTGCAAAGAAAACGGCATTACGAAAGGAAAACAGAATATAGATTGTGATGATTTAGAAACACTTTATTTATCTCTCCGTAATTGTTACACATAGACATTACATAGGTGTAAAAAATATAAGTAATTGCCAATATTTCCATAACATTAATAAGCTAATCACTAAAAGCTGTCTAAGAAGCTCTGTGTAGGTACTTTTACATTTTTAAAATCTAGTAGTTACATATTGGCTGAATGGAGGATGATAGAATGCAGATGTCAGGACTGTTAGCCTGTTGCTGCAAATTAAGCATCTACGATTATTTTGAGAAGACTCTGTGGACATCTGCCTAATTCCCTTTATTGCTAGCAATACTATCACCGTCTGCTATTCCCTCTTCCTTTCCCATTTCCTAAGCAATAATTTGCTTTACACCACACATTCTTATACGCATGATCAGGAGCGCGCGCGATTTAGTTCGGGAAAGCCAGCGCGCGTAATCGTTAGGATTTGCATTATTTTTGCTCCGTAGTCAGATGTCCGCCATTTGTCACTAATTATTAAAAAAGGCGCTATAGCACGAACGATCGATCGCATTGCGCAATCAACCGGCCGGCGCTGTCTACTCGTTGTCTTTGTCTACATTTACGTGCACATTTTTGCCTGCGTGATAGACTATTCGCGAGTGAAAAAGGGTACGCGTAAAGAGGTTAAGCTAGTGGTGATGTTACAGTGTGCCACTGCCCGGCGGCGGAGACGCGCGAGGCTGCGTGCAGCGACGCGGCGTGGGAGGGCGCGCGCGCGGCCGCGTGGGCGTGCGGCGGCGCGTGCGGCCGCGTGCTGGCGTGCGGCGCGCACGTGTGCTCGCGCGCCTGCCACGCGCCGCCCTGCGCGCCCTGCGCCCTGCGGCCCGGCAACGTGCCCACCTGCCCCTGCGGCAAGAACAAGTAACCTCATTTTATATACTGTTCTAGTACTGTCCGCCGCAGCCTTCCTTTACAGTATCACCGGACTGGACTATACGTCACCGGAGGTTGTGGAGACTGATCTGTTCGCGTTACAGCCTATTTCCTATTGACAAAATTGCATTCGTGGTCACTCTATTATCCATAAATATAAATACGAATATTTTAAGTATTTTTTGTACATACGTGCAAGCTCATTTGAAAAGATCAGGAGCTAAGTTTCTTGTCACGTCTTCTTAGTTCGAATGCACTCCGAAGGTACATTTATAAGCATAGCATCAAAGTTTATAATGACCTACCTGAATAAAAATATTCTGATTTGGTTTGATTTGATAATGGGGCGAGTACAGAGGGTCTCCACACCCGCCGATGGACTTATATATTGTGTGTTATTTTTTTGTTAATTACTTTAATACTGATTACAGGTTAGAAGAAAATAAACGCAAGACGTGTACGGATCCTATTCCGCTATGCGGCAACATATGCGCGAAGCCACTCGCCTGCGGCCCAGCTGGGGATAAGCACTTTTGCAAAATCGACTGTCACGATGGTTAGCGTTCTACCTTAATTTTAATGCACTTCTACTAAAAAAAATGTATGAAAATAAATAAAAATATTTATATACTAGCTAATCAGTACATAATATCTTACTAAAAACTACTGAATGTACTGAACGTAGCCACGGTGGGGCAGGGTGGGGCAAGCGCTCCACCCATACCACCGTGGCTCTAACCTGTAAAGTACCTAATTAAACCTAAAAATTTAAATTATATAAGTATTAACTATGATACTTAATATCCATAAGAAAGTTCATACTTGACAGTCGACACAAAAAATGACATATAGGTACAGGGTGCTATAAAGTGGGACCGTTTTGTGTTGTTGGGCATAGTTTGCTAGTTACATAATATTTTAGACTGCCCTTCCCTGAACCCATGGCTGGCTATGGCCATTCTGAATGCATTTTAATTAAAATTTCCAATAATATAGATTATATATCAGAATAAAACATAGACTATAGATTCCACGCGGGTGAATCGACGGGCACAGCTAGTATATAATATCTATTGCATTTTGTTATATTCTTTTATCTTAGTTTCTCAATTTTAATGAAAGTGATAGAAATCTCCAATATTTGAAATTATTTGTACATTTTAGTTCGATTAATGATATGAGGCAGTGGATTTTTTAAATTAATTTTAGTCTATCTAAAAGTGTGTAAAAATTATTTTAAAATGGTATCTATCCTTTACAGGTCCATGCCCTGTGTGTCCTGATAAAACGTTACTGCAGTGTCGCTGCGGACACTCCAGTCGCGAGGTGCCTTGCTCTGACTTGCCAGAAATGTATAATAATGTATTGTGCCAGAAGAAATGTAATAAGGTAATTTATGTAACAAGATGTATTACATTACGGATTCGAACTATTCACTAAATTTTCAAAATTAATGTGAGGTATTGTTGGTTAAAAATGATTACTTTTAATAATTCCTAATTGGGTCGTTTTGCAATTAAGGTTTATTTATTTACTATTATGTTTAATTAGTAGTAGTCCTAATTACTAAAAAGTTAATTATTTGATTTGATTAATTGAATTGTTAGATTTTGAGAACTTACATCATCACAGTGTACATCGTAATATATGAGTAGGTATATGAAATTGAAAAAATAGTATTCATTTCACACACTTGACCGATTTCTATTTTTATTATTCTCAATACAGGAATTGTTACTAAAAAGTATCTAAAGCTAAAAAATAGAAAAACTTAAAACAGTATATTACTTTTTATGGAAATCGCTACTTCGAACAATATAGAAAACTGTAATTCAATACACAGAATGTGATGTCACCACTAAACGTGTGTGTGTGTGTGTGTGTGTGTGTGTGTGCACAGAAGCTGTCGTGCGGCCGTCACCGGTGCCGGGCGGCGTGCTGCGCCGCGACCGCGCACCGCTGCAGCGTGGTGTGCGGCCGCTCGCTGGCCTGCCAGCTGCATCGCTGCGAGGAGTCCTGCCACACCGGACACTGCGCGCCCTGCCCGAGGCTCAGTCAGTACCGCACTACCTAACGTTACCCTTCCCCCACATCGCACTAACTTTTTATGCTTCGACAAATATTCGGCAGCTCCTCGAAGGGGTCGAGGAGCTGCGATAATTATGCAGTTCAAGACATCCAGGAGCTATGGTGCGCGTGCGGCGTGCAGGTGTGGCCGCTTCAGTATGTATGTGTGTGTGTGTGTGTGTGTGCGTGTGTGAGCGTGCAAGTTTAACCGCCACGTATGTGTCAGTGTGTGGGCAGGTGTGACAGCCTCAGTATGTGCGTACACAGGTTTCGAGGAACTGCGATGCGCAGGTGAGGTCGTCGCAGTATATGTGTGTGTGTGTGGGTAGACGTGGTCACCGCAGTATATGTGTGTGGGGGGGGCAGATATGACCGCCGCAGTATGTGTATAAACAGGTTTCGAGGAGCTTCGGTGAACAGATGTCCCTGCCTCATTATGTGTGTGTGTGTGGGCAGATATGACCGCCACAGTATGTGTATACACAGGTTTCGAAGAGTTGCGGTGCGCGTGCGGCTCGCAGGTGACTCTGTCGCAGTAGGTCTGTGTATGTGTCGGCAGGAGTGGTCGCCACAGTAAATTTGTGCGTATGGGCAGATATGACCGCCGTAATATATGTATACGCAGGTTTCGAGGAGCTGCGGTACGCGTACGGCATGTAGGTGTGGCCACCGCGTATGTGTGAGTGTGCGTGGGCAGGTGTGACCATTGCAGTATGTGTATACGCAGGTTTCGAGAAGCTACGGTGCGCGTGCGGCATGTAGGTGTGGCCAGCGTAGTATGTGTGAGTGTGTGGGCAGGTGTGACCATCGCAGTATGTGTTTACACAGGTTTCGAGGAGCTGCGGTGCGCGTGCGGGTCGCAGGTGTCGCTGCCGCCGGTGCGGTGCGGCGCGCGGCCGCCGGCGTGCTCGGCCCCGTGCGGGCGCGCGCGCGCGTGCGGCCACGAGCCGCTGCACTCGTGCCACTCGGGGGACTGCCCGCCCTGCGTCGTGCTCACCACCAAGCGCTGCCACGGCGGACACGAGGTACGCACGTACCTTCTATATCAGACCTGGCGGCCGCCGGCGTGCTCGGCCCCGTGCGGGCGCGCGCGCGCGTGCGGCCACGAGCCGCTGCACTCGTGCCACTCGGGGGACTGCCCGCCCTGCGTCGTGCTCACCACCAAGCGCTGCCACGGCGGACACGAGGTACGCACGTACCTTCTATATCAGACCTGGCGGCCGCCGGCGTGCTCGGCCCCGTGCGGGCGCACGCGCGCGTGCGGCCACGAGCCGCTGCACTCGTGCCACTCGGGGGACTGCCCGCCCTGCGTCGTGCTCACCACCAAGCGCTGCCACGGCGGACACGAGGTACGCACGTACCTTCTATATCAGACCTGGCGGCCGCCGGCGTGCTCGGCCCCGTGCGGGCGCGCGCGCGCATGCGGCCACGAGCCGCTGCACTCGTGCCACTCGGGGGACTGCCCGCCCTGCGTCGTGCTCACCACCAAGCGCTGCCACGGCGGACACGAGGTACGCACGTACCTTCTATATCAGACCGGGCGGCCGCCGGCGTGCTCGGCCCCGTGCGGGCGCGCGCGCGCGTGCGGCCACGAGCCGCTGCACTCGTGCCACTCGGGGGACTGCCCGCCCTGCGTCGTGCTCACCACCAAGCGCTGCCACGGCGGACACGAGGTACGCACGTACCTTCTATATCAGACCTGGCAAGGATACGGGCCGCGTCCTGCCCCCGGGCTGTAACGATAAGGTCCGCGACAACTGTGTATTATATAATTAAACAAATATAAATATTCAAATAATACAGTAGTAGAATCTGGCACGCCTACACATTCTAAATTTAATATTTAATGAACATCTACAAAATTGAGTTTGACACCTTTATTTTATAGTATATGACTAATAATGAATATTTCGCTTATTTTTTTTTTTAATAAAGTGTTTTGTTATGCTGTAACATTATAATTGTAGTCTAACAATGGCAATCAAATAACTAATAAATTAATAAATATGTATGTATAATGATACAGGAAAGGAAGACCATACCATGCTCACAAGAGGAGTTTTCTTGCGGCCTACCATGTGGCAAACCTCTACCGTGTGGCAAGCATACCTGCATACAGACCTGTCATAAAGGACCTTGTGATACTGTCAAGTGAGTATTATGCAGTTAGACATTGATACACCAGAAATTAGACTATGTGCTCCATATGATGTATACATACGTATATATACACTATTGACTGCAAAAAAGTAGCCTGTATAGGCTATTTTTCTGTGACATACAGAACATACAGTAACTTAAATAAAACTGTATGTGTGCGTGTTTGTAATATTTCTTACTGTGTTTAATGCACGCCTAACAGATTCTGGTTAGACGCTGATTACAGATTCAATTAGTCTATTAATCGTCAGCTTTCTCGATCTCGTGATAATTAGGCCCTATTTATAGATGGGCGACTAAGCAATAAAACAATCCAATCGGAATGATAACGCATGTGAGAAATCAGGTATTAAACATGCCGACGCTGGTGACAAATACAGGGTAAATCGTCCAAGTATTTGTCAGCAACGTCAGGGATGATTTAATTGAGCGTGGAGATAATAATTTGGTATGTGTGTGTGTGTGTGCGTGCAGGTGTACGCAGCCGTGCGCGGAGGCTCGCGGTTCGTGCGGGCACGAGTGTGCGGCGCCGTGCCACGCGGCGGCCGGCTCCACGTGCCCCAGCGGCGCGCCCTGCCGCCGCGCCGTGCAGGCCTGCTGCCCGTGCGGCCGCCGCCGCGCGACCCGCGCCTGCGCCGACAACGCCCGCGACCACGCCAGGTCGGTACCAGTACTGCACTACGCGACGGCCGACGCCATGAGCGCCTGCTGCTTCTACGGCCGTCGCCTTGCCATCACGTCAAGTCGGTATGTCTACTGTGAGCAGTGCACACCACGCGGCGGCCGACGCTATGTGCTCCTGCTGCCCGTGCGATCGCCGCTACCACTCCTGATAAATACGTGTAATGCAGACGACGACCCCGCCGTGCGATCATGCTGTCCTTTTGGCCGCCGCCGCGCCACTCTGTCAGTACGTGTCCTGCGGACGACGCCGTGCGATCCTGCTGCCCTCGAGGTCGACGTCGCGCCTCCATGTCAATAGATACGTGTACTGCGGGCTACGACCCCGCCGTGCGATCCTGCTGCCCTCGAGGTCGACGTCGCGCCTCCATGTCAATAGATACGTGTACTGCGGGCTACGACCCCGCCGTGCGATCCTGCTGCCCTCGAGGTCGACGTCGCGCCTCCATGTCAATAGATACGTGTACTGCGGGCTACGACCCCGCCGTGCGATCCTGCTGCCCTCGAGGTCGACGTCGCGCCTCCATGTCAATAGATACGTGTACTGCGGGCTACGACCCCGCCGTGCGATCCTGCTGCCCTCGAGGTCGACGTCGCGCCTCCATGTCAATAGATACGTGTACTGCGGGCTACGACCCCGCCGTGCGATCCTGCTGCCCTCGAGGTCGACGTCGCGCCTCCATGTCAATAGATACGTATACTGCGTGCGACGACCCCGCCGTGCGATCCTGCTGCCCTCGAGGTCGACGTCGCGCCTCCATGTCAATAGATACGTATACTGCGTGCGACGACCCCGCCGTGCGATCCTGCTGCCCTCGAGGTCGACGTCGCGCCTCCATGTCAATAGATACGTATACTGCGGGCTACGACCCCGTCGTGCGATCCTGCTGCCCTCGAGGTCGACGTCGCGCCTCCATGTCAATAGATACCTATACTGCGTGCGACGACCCCGCCGTGCGATCCTGCTGCCCTCGAGGTCGACGTCGCGCCTCCATGTCAATAGATACGTGTACTGCGGGCTACGACCCCGCCGTGCGATCCTGCTGCCCTCGAGGTCGACGTCGCGCCTCCATGTCAATAGATACGTGTACTGCGGGCTACGACCCCGCCGTGCGATCCTGCTGCCCTCGAGGTCGACGTCGCGCCTCCATGTCAATAGATACGTGTACTGCGGGCTACGACCCCGCCGTGCGATCCTGCTGCCCTCGAGGTCGACGTCGCGCCTCCATGTCAATAGATACGTGTACTGCGGGCTACGACCCCGCCGTGCGATCCTGCTGCCCTCGAGGTCGACGTCGCGCCTCCATGTCAATAGATACGTGTACTGCGGGCTACGACCCCGCCGTGCGATCCTGCTGCCCTCGAGGTCGACGTCGCGCCTCCATGTCAATAGATACGTGTACTGCGGGCTACGACCCCGCCGTGCGATCCTGCTGCCCTCGAGGTCGACGTCGCGCCTCCATGTCAATAGATACGTGTACTGCGGGCTACGACCCCGCCGTGCGATCCTGCTGCCCTCGAGGTCGACGTCGCGCCTCCATGTCAATAGATACGTGTACTGCGGGCTACGACCCCGCCGTGCGATCCTGCTGCCCTCGAGGTCGACGTCGCGCCTCCATGTCAATAGATACGTGTACTGCGGGCTACGACCCCGTCGTGCGATCCTGCTGCCCTCGAGGCCGACGTCGCGCCTCCATGTCAATAGATACGTGTACTGCGGGCTACGACCCCGTCGTGCGATCCTGCTGCCCTCGAGGCCGACTTCGCGCCACCATGTCAATAGGTACGTGTACTGCGGTCGGCGGCTCAATCAATCACGTCTGCTCCAAGCATGCTAGGTTGGTACGTAAGCCTCCAGAACAGCGCTTTGTTCCTCGAAACTTTGGAGTTGTTAGCCAACACCACAAGATTATCGATATACACATTTTAATTAATAGAAAAGCTAATTTCTTAGCAATCCATGGATTCACCGTACCAGTGTCGGGTTCTTCGTGTGGCAGAGAAGGAAACTCCGAGTCCCGAGTCAATGATCCGGATGTAGGTTTAAACCTTCACCACTTATATTTCAATCGCTGTCCAGCTAAATCTGGTGGTAGCCTGCTAGTACATCTTATTAACAATAACGTATATTTTATCAATATATATAGTATTTAACAATACAAAGTCAAGTACACGACATATAACATTGTGATTTCGCACTTGCCTTGCATTGAAGGTAAGTTTTTAGTCCTTATCACGCAATTAAACTTAAGTATTGTACCAATTAATAATTTAAAAAGTTATGTTTAGTCAATTACAGTTTAAGTCTTCTTAGTACTAGTTGGTTTATTAGTAACGTTAATACACGTTCATAGTTTATGATAACTATTTTCTTTTATTATATCAGATGCTCTCTATAATAATATCTAATTTAATTTTCACAGGATTATGAGTGCGCTTGCTGCGGCAAAAATACAAGAAGGCGGTTCCGTTGATATATCCAGTGTTCAGCGTCCTAGCTCCATGTTAAAAACGTCAGTATATAAATTTGATAAAATATATCAAGTCTCCGAAATGTTTATAGATTAAGTATTTGCTCAATATGTATTCAAATATTTGTACTTAAAAATATAAATTTACAATGATTACATTTAAAAGAGCAACTCACAGGTTTCTGCCACATTTTTCTTGTGATGTGATAGTTTCCCGAATGAGCGGGAAATTAAAAATCAAAAATGAATATTAAACAGTGCTTAAATGAAGTTTATTTGAATTAAGGATTTTCTATTCTATACTATGCTAATAAAAAATATTTAAATATGTCTAACAGTCATCTAGCATAAGCTTTAGTCTGTGCTTAATGAGTGGTGGTTAATGATGTCGATATGTGCGGTAGGCTGGAGTGTGACGACGAGTGCCGCGTGGAGGCTCGCACGCGGCAGATGGCGCTGGCGCTGCAGATCCGCAACCCCGACGTGTCCGCCAAGCTGGCGCCGCGCTACAGCGACATGCTGCGGGCCACCGCCGCGCGCGAGCCGGCCTTCGCGCAGCAAGTGCACGACCGACTCACCGACCTCGTGCACCTCGCCAAGAAGGTACGTCACGACACGCTACGTCACGTCACGCCGCGCTACAGCGACATGCTGCGGGCCACCGCCGCGCGCGAGCCGGCCTTCGCGCAGCAAGTGCACGACCGACTCACCGACCTCGTGCACCTCGCCAAGAAGGTACGTCACGACACGCTACGTCACGTCACGCCGCGCTACAGCGACATGCTGCGGGCCACCGCCGCGCGCGAGCCGGCCTTCGCGCAGCAAGTGCACGACCGACTCACCGACCTCGTGCACCTCGCCAAGAAGGTACGTCACGACACGCTACGTCACGTCACGCCGCGCTACAGCGACATGCTGCGGGCCACCGCCGCGCGCGAGCCGGCCTTCGCGCAGCAAGTGCACGACCGACTCACCGACCTCGTGCACCTCGCCAAGAAGGTACGTCACGACACGCTACGTCACGTCACGCCGCGCTACAGCGACATGCTGCGGGCCACCGCCGCGCGCGAGCCGGCCTTCGCGCAGCAAGTGCACGACCGACTCACCGACCTCGTGCACCTCGCCAGGAAGGTACGTCACGACACGCTACGTCACGTCCGCTGCGCTACATCACGCCACAATACGTCTCATCGTGTTAGTTCAAACCCGCTACACCACACCACAATATATAACATTATGCTAGTTTACACCCGCTACATCACACCAGGATCCGTCACATATCCTAGTTTACACTCACTACTCCATGAGTATACCAGAATGGCAGTCAGTAGCGGCAAATGACAAGTTGTCGTATAGCGGATGATATCAACCTCTCGCCTCACTACATAATGAGCACGACAGTTTTGTCAAGAACATGTCGAATGAGAAGAAGTCACCCGCTTCGCCACGCCATGCTAATACACACATCACTACACTAAAAGCTCAAGGAAGGGAAGCAATAAAAAAATCTTCAGTCCTCAGATATCAACAACACACTAAAATCTTCAGTCCTGGATAAAAACATACATTCAACAGTTTTTATTAAAGTTATTATTTTCTGTTTACAGTCAAAGCAAAAAACCCGGTCCCACTCGTTCCCGTCGATGAACTGGCAGAAGAGACAATTCATACACGAATTGTGCGAGCATTTCGGATGCGAGAGTGTCGCATATGATGCCGAACCTAATAGGAACGTCGTTGCCACTGCCGATAAAGAGAAGGTATATCAATATCAGTGAATAGTCTTAAACATCTTGTAAGGTCTGCTCTTATCACTACGACTGATTTAATCTTATTGTGTATTTATATTTGACCCTAATAAATTAGTGCTGGTTGGTATTTTGTATTCACATGTTTCGACTTGTAAAATGTGAACTTACAAAGATTATTTAAAAGAGCAACACAAAAGTTTCTTGCTCGTTCTTCTAGTGATGAGACAGGTTTCCGAATGAGCAGTAGATTAAAAAATAATATTATTTGAATAAATGATTTTCTATTTCTATTCATCAAAAGCCCTTATTACGGCATTTCATTTTTTTATGTAAATAACTCTTACTGCTATGGCTAAATCTTAATAATTATATCAGTTGTCTAGTACCCATGAAACAAGCTCTGCTTACCTTGGGACTAGATGACGTTGTTTGAATTGGCCAGGGGTATTATTATTATTACCGTGCAAACACTTGAACCCGCGATCATGGGAAGTAAGAGGATGTATTAAACCGCTGGACAACCGAGTCAGTTACTAAAATGTGATATGTATGTTGGGTACAGTCGTGGCTGCCCGCGATGAGCGTGCTGGAGGTGGTATCGCGTGAAGCGGGCAAGAGACGCGTGCCCGGGCCCGTACTGCGGGCGCCGCCGCCCGCTGCAACTTCCGCTTCCGCCTCCGCGGCCGCCAGCGCCGGCCCCGCTGCCACCAGCAAGTGAGTCCACGCCCTAGTTACTCGTGAAATAACTATTTATATTTTTATAGTGTAATTTTTTTTGTAGTGTAGTAAAGACAAGGTAGGTAGCTTTTCTTTCAAAAAAGCTACGATCTCCCAGTTTGTCTGTAAGAAATTGCTTTAAATGATAAGCGAATATTAAAAATATTATTAATATTTTGTTTGCAACTACCTCAACAGATCATCAACTGGATGGGCGACGCTGACGTCAGCAAACGCGTGGGCAGCACGCAGCCAGACCAAGCCAGTGAGCGAGCAGCCCAAACCCAAAATAGACTACTTCGATAACCCGCCGGAGAACTAGTCGCGCGTGGGATAACTCAAGTGGTATACTATCTTTGGTAAACTCAGTGTAGAAACAAAGTTAATTTAAACCCTATAACTGCTGAGAATTTGCGTCGCAAGTTGAAACAGTCGCTGTATAGTTCTACATATTTACGTATAGGAAAAACGAGACGTGTTCAAAACGTGAAGTGTTCACCGTTTACATGCTAGTACAGCATTTAAATCCATACATATAATACAAGTTATCACACACAGCGTTTTAAAGTTTAAAATGTTAAAAACCTATACGACCTTGTATTTATTTTTCCACTATTGTTTACAATTGTCCACATCATATCAGCGTGATATTTAGAAATTTAATATTATTTCATAGCTCATATTATTACGATGCTCTTAAATAAATATTAACATAGTAAATATTCCGGTTATAAATGTGTACAATTCTATACAATCTTTTTCTTGAATTGTATTGTTAAGCCTAATTTACATAAAGATTTGTTACTGTTGAGATCATTGTGTAAGTGATATGAAATGATTACATGAATCTACGATTTCACATGTCCTCGGTCACTAATTCGTGAAATTAAATTAAATTCGTAAACTATAATAATTTACTGCAATCACATCATACCAGTTACATAATATAAAAGAGGTGCAACTCCCAATAAACATATTATCTGATTTATATGAATATGTTTAATTTTCTATTATATATATAAATGTAAAATCTACGAAATTTAATACTATGATGAACCGACTCTACGAATGTTGATATTTGCGTAACAAAACATTATTATAACATAGTATTAAAATTTCAAATACCCTTATAAATTAATATTCTACTCGTAGAACTAGTTTATTATGATTAACTGCCATAATAATTATTGTAATATCTTGTTTGGTATATATATCACACTGAGCTTATCAAGGAAAAATATAGTGTCAATTTATTCAAATTATATTATACTCCCAATCGGATACTAATTAATGGCTTATAATAACTTGTATGTGTATGAGATGTATGATGTTTGTATTGATTTATTATTTATATCGCAAGTGTATGTAAATATTGCATAATAATCAATTTACCGAAATGGTCATCTGTTGAGTTTCTTAGAACATATTTACCAATCAATACAATTATTATAAAGATTTCTTTTAATGTTGATTATGCTGTACCACGAAAACTAGATATAAATGATTTACAATTGCCATTAATCAATTGTACGAGTATATTCATACAGAACACTAATAAAAAAGTTATAAAACTATGTTAGTCATGTACATGTGCTTCTTTTAGTTATATATCAAATTATACAGTTATTAATAGAACGCTCATATATTAAAATGTATAAGCATTCTATTAATAAATCAAGTAATATAAATATTTTAACGGATATAAGTGTCCACTATTATTCCTCAATAAGAGGTAGATATCTGATATGCATATTATGAATGTGTTGGGAAATAAAGTAATGAAATGCATTGGATCCGGCTCGAAGGACCAAGACATGATTTGTAACCGTAGATAGTTAGAAACTTGGGAATATTTTTAAAGCGCACGGGAAAAATTTACTGTCTGATTGTAAGTTCGAAAAAGATGACATTAATATAGAAATCAAATCAATTCATATAGTGGTACAACCCAATTAGCACCTTAATATGTACAGCCTTAGAACAGTTTTATCTGTATACATCACACATTTAAAACGTTATAATATAGGTATACAAGAAATACTTTCCAATGCAACATGCTAAAGTATAAATCCTATGCATATGTTTGAATATTTATCAAGGTACTGGATATCAGCGCACTTTATTCAGTTTTCTTAAGCATAGAATTTAGTTTTGCGTAAACCTTATATAATATAAATCTGACTTTAAATGTTGGTTAATTCTGTCTCTTACCGTATTTTGCAAATACAATCGCACTTATAAAATTAAATATGTAGCACAAAATGTTCCATAAATGTCATTTAATCTTGGTAGAAACCTATACGTTTCAAGCTTCTGTCTTCTTGAACAGAAGCTTCAAGCTTCTGTTCTAAATTGTGTACTGCTATTATACTATTCTATACAGAATTAATATTAAAAATTCACCCTTTCACTTGACATTAACTGTTATATTCATAAATATTTGTATTTATTAAAAATAATGGAGAAATATTACAGTGGATCGATTACAATCATCGCAAAAACACGACGCGAATCTCGCCGATAAAGTAGATGCAGAATAATAAGTGTATAAACGTTTGTAAGTTCTATCCAGCCAATTTAAAGTATTTTTCCTATTTATATTATTAACCGGGTTTTAACACGATTAATTTTATGGCAAATAAAGATCTCTCTTGACGTTTTGACTAGGTTACATTAGAGGTGGTCACGGGCTGACTGGAGTGACAGCGATGTCAATGTACATAGATAGGTGCCAGCAGTTTTTTTCTTCTACCGTTATCAGATTAACATACACGATAGCGACACATAGCATAATATATTTCGTGTTTAAACCCGTTAATAATGTAAATAATGTATATTAAACTCGAAAGTTTAAAAATAACTAGTGTTTTTCTTGCTCGTGTCTAAGCTTATAAAAGCAAATCAAATTAAAATATCTTTATTCATGTAGGTCTATTACAGACTCTTATGATATGTCAAATATTTCGTTCGGAGTACTTTCGAGCTAAGAACTGAGATTCTTGTCAGTTCTTAGCTCGGCTCTTATTTTACAAAAATACAGATTCATTTTTAAATTCAATTAGATAGAATATAATACGAACCACCAGCATATCCTATTCCACTTTTACAAAAGGACATATTTTAATCAGTGGGCGTAACCAGCACAGACCAGTCCTCTCAAGCATAACCCGTTCACGATTATGACGAACCCCATCATACTCGTGAACTGGGTGCTGATTGTTCACAAAATTAACCCAAAATTGTTTTACCACATAAAACAGTTTAGACTTTCATAAATATAGTATAGTATATTTAGTATTTGCCCTCACAGTACTGATAACACCTCCAAATTGGTCATTTGCAGCGACTAGCAAGCAGTAAAGAAATAGAAGATAACCTTGTTCACACTCCTTTATGTACTCCTCTTTAATAACTGAACAAAACTCTAACTCGATATCAATGTGTTATATCCGTTAACGAAATGTCGATACGATTTTATTTAATGGTAAAGGTAGGGATTGGTTTCTTATGAACACTCGATGTAAAACTTTGTAGAGGAATATTGTAACCTACTTAATTCGCTGTTGTACACGCGACAACTGTATTAAAATGTTACATATTTGTTATTCTTTTATTATTGTTCCCACGATATTTCCTCTGCTTCAAGCTTAATTTTATAATATACTAGCTGACCCTCGCAACTTCAACATCAGACTTACTTGACATTTATCATTATATTTCGCCCAAATTACGTGGTACCTTTTTAAATTATTAGTGTTATTCTAATGTATAGACTGTGTTACTGTAAAGTTTCCTCAGAATCCATTCAGTCGTTTTTGCGTGAAAGAGTAACAAACATTCATCCATACTCACAAACTTTCGCGTTTATAATATTACTAAGATTTGTAAAAGGATCATCATCATCAACACTGGTTATTTGCTCAATAGCAAAATCATTTTGATTCTATAGAAACATATGCGTTTTATTAAACTTGAATCATGATTAAAAACCTTAATATTCTGTATAAATATATTTATAAAGGTAAAGTAAATAAAAATTAATAACAAAACATTGCTCAACGATTGTATGGATAATTAGATCACAAACAATTTCAGTCGTGGCTACAATCCTCAATGTCTTGTAATATGCTGTCAACATAGCGACCTATATTTAACATGGGATTCCTCATTCTATGACAGTAACAATTGCAGTCTGCTATTACATATTCTCTTGATAAGCCTGGCCATATTGTAGAAGATTTATGACTAAAGTTCAAATCTCTTTTACTTGTTGTAAATGTAGAATTTATGTGCCGTGGTTCGCTGCTCCATCGATTCTTGTTGCTTTGGTATTCATACATGTGTTTAGGAGAATGTTCGGAGTTGTATTTTTGGTCAATAGACAATTTTTTGCCTTTATTTCGATGGGATAGCTGCAAGATCAAGCAAGAATGATTGAGGTGTCGATACATTGTCTGTAGCTCTTATTATCTTTATATATGACGGACTACTCAAAACATATAAAATACTCTATCCTGAGGATATAAAAACGATCGCTATCTAATCATTATTGCATCCTAAAAACTTGCTTCAATTCTTTTACCTGGCTAGATAGCGAACTCTGCAAAAATACCCGAGCACAATTGTTTTTCGTAGGTAGCAGTGCTTAAAACAAAATGTAATAACTCTAAGCCCTCAGTAAAAAATAATATCTCTAATTATAATAAAATCGTGGCTAGGCAAAAACTATGTATTTATGTGGAAGTCTTTAACTTAATAATGGCTGGAGTAATTACGATACAATTTTAACACAGAATATGTTGTTAACATATAAGTAAGTTGGAAAATATACGCTACATCAATCATAGTATTACTGCATTCCTATACATTCTAAATCCGACAGTGAATATGACTGTCAATTTGTACTTATTACTCGTAATGTTTCTACCGTGTTTGTACTGCACGAGGAATTGAACCCGCAACCATCGGAAGTAAAGCGGTATGCTAAACAGCTGGTCCTCGAAAGCCGAATTGTTTACCTTGTGGTTTGTCCAGTTTTTGTATTTTTTCGTATCTCTACTTATTTTTCTTTTGACAGTCTTGTGAGGGACGGAGGAAGTTTCGGATTCATCAGTAGCAAACTTTATCGGAGAAACGTAGGGCTGCAAAATATTAACTAAAATTTAATTATTTTAATTAATAGCTATTAATTAAAATAATTGAATTTCATATTATACGGCATTTCTATTCATAAGTCTATCCTTTTCTTTAAACGTTCTTACCCATCACCTTAAAACCTTTACAGACTCACTTAACTTCAGGTGAGCTTGCGGTCAAACACGCTCAAATTTAAAAATTAAAAAAAAGACTCCAACACTATTAGTGCAATATAAACATACAAACTACCAGGTATTCTATGATACTATCTACTCACACATTCGGTTGATCCCCCTCCGCAAAACGTCGCAAGCAAGCACGGCAGTCAGAAATTGAGACCCATAGTCATAATAACAATTGCCTGTGAAGATCATAAGACCTCCATTAAAAATTAATTACCATCTACATTTATTACATTTTCTACATTTATCACATGTGTACTTTATATAGTCTTATGCATGGTTTCATGGCAATTATAGCAATAACATTAGGGCGACTTGGTACCATAGTGCAGATGGACTGCAATGGATGAGAGGTGCTAAGCAAGTGCGAGAAATTATTTTATCTCGTCTGAGTGCATATCTACAGGCGACTATTTCTATATAGATAGATAAATCGTTTATATGGTGATTACTGGTTGCTGTGTGTAACTGGTAATGATGATAAACAATTAGGTACACTTATATAAATATGGAAAATACATTCGACTGATCCATCGATATTCCGATTATTTGTCATTCCAATCATATTATTTACTACTTAAATAATATTATAAATATTACCGTGATTCAGTTGAATAATTTGATAAGCAAATGAAACCAGTTTTGACCACACGATGAATAAATTATTGTCATCGTTTTTCCCGTGTACATGTTCTCTCCCTTCCATCATTGCACGCGTTTCAATCGATGGCAAACTTTCCACGCTGGACATTTTAGCATCATCACACAATTTGGTATAATCTTCTATGAACTGCAAACTAGCTTTCACAGTTTCCATTTGCATATTGATATTTTCAGCTATATTTTTCTTCACAGATTCCAGTTCTTCTTTTATATCATCTGCTAAATTTGTTCTGGATTTTAGATTCTCGACCACGCTAGTAATACTTTCCTCAAGGCTATTGTCATTCCTTATGTCTTCTATACTTTGAAATTCTTCTACATATGGTGTACCAAGTTGCGAGTCATCTTGGCTGAAATTGTTATCTGAATCTTCTAAGTCACGCTCAGTAACTACACTGATACGGTCGTCTTCGAGTTCGCAAAAACTTTCAAAGAAATCATCATTGCTCGCACTAAATGCTGTTTTCGTTCCTTCGCTCGTAATACTCTTCTCTGTGCGAGGCTCGATCGTACACAACCCGAATTCATCGTAGAGCCTTCTTCTGGCTCTTCTTTCACGTAACTCTCGACGCAGGATCCTCTCCTGGTAGGACCTGTCTTTCAATTTTTGTGCAGCCTCCAACTGATTGTTTTCCAGAGATTTAAATTGCTCATACAAATACCATGATCGAACTCTTTTAGTTTTTTTATGTGTTGTTTCCAAATCTACTGATAATTTATATTATATAAATATAAGAACTTTAAAAGTATTTTAAGGTAAAATATATCTTTTTTTATGTTTAGATAGCCAAGACAGTGATACAAACCATTAAAACCGTTTGTAATTTGAATGTATATAATGTATCATAAATTTACACTATAAAGATTTATAACATCCTAATAGGAACCTTTAAATAGTATTGTCCTGCTACTACTGCTAAGACTAGTCTATTTTTTACAACGAAACTTACCGAGAGAATCCAAAAAATCCATCCACGCCGTTTTCTTCAAACAATATAAATTATTTATTCAACACTTTTTTGTTACTTTAATTCCAAATTTTACATAGTTTGCCTAAATAAATATCTGTTAATTTTCTATTTTATTTTACAGGCTTGGGTATATATAATATAATAAAAAGTTCTATTAAACATCTCTCATCCTTGTAACTGCCAGTTTATATTTTCTATTTCTAGTGATGTCAATTTATGCATTATGAAGCAACCAGTATCAAACTCGAATAAATAATTCTTCATGGGTCTTGACAGCACACTAGAACGAGATAATTGGCGACTGCTAATATAACTAGAGTGGCTTACCAAATTCTGTAAGCGGTGGAGACGGAAGCTAATACGGCTATTACACTGGTACGAGTAGAAGTACCTATTACACGATAAGAAACGAACTTTAACAATAATCCTTACTAATATATATAATATATAATATTATAAATGTGAAAGTAGGAATGTTTGTTACGCTTTCACGCAAAAACCACTGAACCGATCATCAAGAAATTTTGTACATATGTTCTTCGAGGTATTAGAATGAACATAGGATACTTTTTATAAAATAAAGCAAAAAAATTCATTTAATGGATTCAATGCGACCGAAGCCGCGGGTAAAAGCTAGTATTTAATAAGCTATGAAACACGTATATGACACACACTTTTTCACTTGTTTTTAGTGGCGGAGAAATTTGATAATGAAGATATGCGAAAGATATTACAGAGATACGGAATACACAACAGCGGCTGAGAATGCCTTACACGCCAGAGTAAAACGGCTGTAGTGAGCGAGAGAATCGTACCTACTATAGTTGAAGCTGCGAGATCTATGATGTATGCTAGGAAACAAATGCATGGTAGAGTGTGTAATGTTTTTTTATATTAATAATGTATTTTTATGCATAATTTTAGATTTTAAAATATTAACATTCTCACTCCTCTACATAAGTGTGCGAAAATTTATTTATATTTATACTTCTCCGTCTGCGTAATTTTCATAAAAAGGAGTATGTACCAAGTTTCTGATTCACGTATAGATAAATACCTAATAAACTCAGTACATATATTACGATGGGATTATTCTTCGAATGAATAAAATTTAATACACAAACAAAAACATCTTTAATAAAAAAAAACATCTTTATTTATGACACAATAGGACACAACATTAAACAACCCAAAGTGAAACAAAATTATGACATGAAAACGACAACACCTAACAACACTAACATACTCGTTTAAAAAGTAGTCTACCCATGTCTATAACATTAAAAATACGCCATTGTTACATAAAAACTTTTTTGTAGGTATAACTAAAGCTAGCGCGACACAAACAGAAACCTATTTTTCACATGCATAAATGAAACAAATCGAATAGACATAGCGCAACGAAATTATAGTACATCTCCAAACAAGTAACTTGGTTTCGACAAATACTCCAACATCTCACTAAAAATATACAATTGAGAGAATTAAAAAATGAAAACGATTTATCAGCGATTCTTGTATGATCAAATGGCAAGATATGTTTGAGAACTTTCAAATATATTTTGAAAGTTAAGTAAACGTAGGCATTCTTGTGTAAACAACCCACGTATCTTCACAGTTGTAAAATAAACTCCTGTTTGCGGGGGCAAATATGCATAACTCTGAAATAGAAAACATGGAAAGCAATATATAAATATTGTCTGAGTCGTAGCAAATAAATAAACTACCTATATATCTACGTACAGATAGACAAATCCTTTAATTAATTTTCACAAATCACAAACAAAAGTCACATGTACCTACCTAATCAATTTACAAAAATCTGCGTTCTGACATCACAATTATTTCATACTAGCTACTCGCCCGAGTATACATGTATTATATGTACATATAAACCTTCCTCTAGAATCACTCTATCTATTAAAATAAACCGCTTCAAAATCCGTTGCGTAGTTTTAAAGATTTAAGCACACATAGGGACGGACAGACAGCGACCGCGACTTTGTTTTATTACTATGTGATAATGATACTGATTGTAACAAATAGGACTAAAAGTAATTACTTTTTATAAAATGTAAGTGTGTATTTTCAATAATCTTAATAATATTATACACTAGAAAGTTTGTAAGTATGGATGTTTGTTACTCTTTCACGCAAAAACTACTGAACAGATTTTGATGAAACTTTATAGAAATAAGTATAGAAACATAATATAGCTTATGCATCACAATAACACATAGGCTATATTTTTTATTGAAATTTAAAGAATAATGTTATGTATTAAAATGACTAGGAATTGTATCTGATTCTTACAAACATATTAATAGAAGAATATTGCGCCACCAGCTGGTTGTCTACTGTATCCAGGGTTGGTTTGCGAGGAATGAACACCAGAATTCATCAACTTCACACTGAATGGAGATCTGTGCTCCGTGATGCCTCCTCGCTTCATAGGATGACCCTAATGGAAATGTAAACATTTGTTAACATATAACAAATGTTCGTATTGCTGTACTATAGACTACATAGTCTATAGTACAGCAATACGATATGAATATAGAAAGGTGCAGATGGAATCAGGTGCGAGTGAAAGCGTCGACGATGTATATGGACAAAAACAAGCAACTACAAAAGATATAACTCCGACCAAATAAATAATCTGCATGTGGAATGTGCATATTTGAAACAACCAATTCTGTTTCGCAGATTCAGTCACCAAGTGAGACTGGATCTGAACGACGGTGAGGTTTGGCATTAAAATTCTAAAAGCTTGTGTACTATTACGATGAATGAAATAAAATAATTTGTTTAATTCATAATTTTCTGCAGACATTAAATTAATGTACCCATTATAGTTCTAAGTATTTACGAATAATGTTAAATCCGTCCATACCAAAGGAACTACAACAGGTGGGTGTTTGTCATAGGTATTTCGTAAGCGTCGCCACGTGTCACATCCATGAGTCTCGGGCTGTAAGTGAAGGTCCTCCTTATCGGCGAATTTCTCCGTGGAATGGTTGTATGTAGCTGACAGGATTAAATCGAGACTATCATCAGGAAGGCTTTAAAAAGAAATATGTTGGTATATATATATATATAACGTCTAGACAACGACCTCGAAATTACATATGATTTTCTACATACGTAGAACATCAATCTATAATTTGTGATAAGTAAGTAGGAGTAAAATCCTACAGAAGTTAGCGCGCTACTTAACAGCAGAAATAGGTGGCTCCCTCTTCTGCCTACAACGGCTTAACGATACGACTGCGGTCACCCATGAACCCATAAGATATATTGAACTTGAGTCTTAAAAGGCAGTAAATTCAGTTTGATGAAAGGTAACATAAGCTAAGTACCTTTCATACCTACTACATACCACATGAAATCGAGCTAGTGATTTGATTACTTATATTGTATGACAGTAGTGTAATATTTACATAGATAGCAAGTTCATCAATACTTACTGGAAAGGATAGAAAAAGCTAAGGCGTCTAATACTCGCTAGAGTATGATGAGAAAACAATCTAGAGCCAGTAGGGACACCATGTTTCTCGTTAGTAGATAAAACAATTTCTTTCCTTAGCTCACCCTCTTTCCTTAAATCAGGCAAGAGCTTTTTATTTCGAATTTGTTTTATATCAGACATTTTATAAATTGTTAAATACACTTTACTGATTTTGTAAGGCCCCAAATATTTACTTAAATTTTTACCTATCCCTAAATCTTTTACTCAACAAAAATTGTAGACCGAAGTAAACAGAACCCATAGCAACGAATTGTTTTAAGTAGATACTAGCAGTATCTGGCAACGCTCCACGCATCAAATACAGCTCATATTGCTAGCTGTAGATTTATGTAGGTGAACGAATTTTTAAATTAATTGTTGTCCTAATAAGAATAATTATTGATAAATTAAGATAAATTAATATGTTCAAAAATATTTCGTCATTGTTATCATTATTAACCAAGAAATCACTATATAATTACAATGTAAATGTAGCAAATAATCATTGCGTCTTTATATAACTGTTTGTGAACCACAAACTAGAACGAGATGCTGTGTGAACTCTATGATACTTCTTTTTTAAAACACGCTTTAAAATATATCTGGATTGTAACCAGCATACAAATAATCTCCCTAAAGTTAGGGTATGTTAATATACTTGTAACGATTTATTTCCACATTACAGAATTGGGTGTAATTATACTTGGAAAATCTTAAATAGAAAATGATTTATTCAAATAAACTTACATTGATGCACTTTTGTATGCCTAATCATATCTCGTCTTAATCTACTAAATAGTAATGGTAGTTGTAATTTATTTATCCAAAACGAAAAAGTGCCTACCTGCTAATACAAATCGGAATCTAATCATTAGAAAAAATCTTAATCTCAAGCTAACGATCTTTGCACGCACATTTTACTGATATTTATAAAGGAAAAATTAAACAAGAACTGGCAACACAACGATCCGCCGCCACAAGCCGCCGCTTTTCATTTCCGGTAGCCATATTACTTCGTCCATTTCTATTCTGCGTTCTTTGGCTTTCTTTGATAATTGTAAGGTTAGAAACTATTTTCTTGCTCTTTGTGGATTTTGCTTGCTATTAGTTTATATTTAACTCTTAATTTTACCTAATATATTTTGGTTTTAGTATAGATATAAATCACAATGAGTTACGGAAGGCCTCCGCCGCGCATCGACGGCATGGTGTCCCTCAAAGTGGACAACCTAACATATCGTACGACGCCCGAAGATTTACGGCGAGTATTTGAAAGATGTGGCGACGTTGGCGATATTTATATTCCAAGAGATCGATATACAAGAGAAAGCAGAGGATTCGCGTTTGTCAGGTACATATTTTCAATTGTGACGTCATTCTGAATACCGGTAAAAACACCATTTGCTATTAATTACTGATTAATTGCAATCAAAGATTAAAAATATTGCCCATATTCGAAATAGATCAGGCTCACAATTGGCTATGTAATCTGAATCAAATTCATTTGTGGTAATTTTTAATAGATTTTATGATCGAAGAGATGCTGAAGAAGCTTTGGAGTCTTTAGATGGCCGTATGCTGGACGGTAGGGAGCTCCGCGTACAGATGGCTCGATATGGCCGCCCCTCATCTCCCTACAGAAGCCGTTACGACAGACGTCGCAGGTATTTATTACAAAATACAATTTAAATATTTAAACTCATGCTTGTCTTTGCTATAACAATTCATTTCAGACTCATAAAACTGGTGACTGGTTTTGACTGACATTTGAACATAATGCTACGATGGCAAGGAGTGAACGCTGTTTCTTATTTTATCACTCAACTTGAGCTTAAAATTGTTTTTGGAATAAAAATTTAACTTTTATATATTAGTATAAAAAATTATGTGCTACTTGATCACATCAACACACAGATCTAAAGTCTAATCCTAGTGTTTAAAACACTAAAGCATTGAACCTAAAATTTGGTATATTTAGCCTTAGATTCAAATTCCCTATTAAATCCTATTATAAAACAAGTTCAGGATCAAAATTTTTAATAGATGTTTTTAATAATGATTATTCTTAAGTGTAATCTAGCCCTTTTGTGGTCTTTATTGTCACATTTTCATGCTGTGATAATTGTGAATTTCTATCGAACTGTAACTAGACAAGTATTAAGGCCCTATTTCTTTTATAGAGAGATAACTAAACAAACATTCCTAATTACCATTAAATGATATTATTCAAACCATTAAATTTAATTACTAGATTATCTAACACATTTTATGAGAACATTTCAAAAGCACAATAAATTATCAATATAATTCATTGGTCAATTAACTTAAATAAATAATCATGCTAAACTAAAGTAAAACCTTAACAACATGTTGCTACCAACTAACATACAATATATTAATATTAAATGTTAGTTACTTCTAACTGTACAATTTTATAAGATAAAACATCTTAATTCAAAAAATTATCTATATTTTAATTTTATTGTCATTTATACTGTATTGGTTCTTTAAATTTAGTTAATACAAAAGTACCCTTTTGGTTTCAAAAAGATAAAAATATTTATTTTATTACAATTACATAGTATATATGATACTGTGGTGTTGCACTGCAACAAAATTTAAAAAATAAAAAGTAATATTACCTTAATTTAAACTGCCATAATTTTGTATTTTATTTTTTATTTGTCACTGTGGACAGAAAAAAATATATATTATTTATTATCAAAGCAAAACCTCAAATATACATAACTGCAGGTGCATTTCTTCTGTCATCTGCATTAGTCAATTCCAAAACAATTGCTTCCAATAAGCTGCTACACATTGAAAATGCTTCCATTTTGTATTAGGTGGAGATTGCTTCCGTGAATCCTGGGCAGCAAAGGCATGTACCAACGGAGGAGTGAATGATACTCATATGTATGTGTGATGGTATTTCTTTTAGCCACTCGCGTTCACGGTCTCGTTCACGTCGTCGATCCAGGTCCCGTTCGCGATCGAGGCGGCGCTCGTACACGCGCAGCCGGTCGCGCTCGCGATCTCGCTCCCGCTCAGACTCGAAGAGTTCCCGCGGACGCTCCCGTAGCCGCAGTCGCTCCAGGTCCCGCTCCAGGCACTGAACTGTTGAGTGAGTCTCATTTTGACTTATTTTATATGTATTCTTATGTCAGTTTTGTTCTACACTATTTGTATAATATAGTCTGTTTATTCATGAAAACCTAAAATAAGATAAAACTAATCATATTGCATTCTTTAATAAAAAAAAAACTTGCAACGCAACACTTTTATAACAACAATCTATTTGAAAATATATATAGATTGTATTGAAGAAAGTATTATGTAAATCATACTTATTAAAGTAATTTACATCATTAACTTCAATGTTAAGTTAACTTCAAGCTGGATCATAATATATATTTTTCTATTGAAATATCAGTCCAACAAAATTTTTTATTTTTATTATTTTGAAATTGTTTATCTTGTATCCTTGGATATGTTTATTGAAAATTTTAATGATTCAAAATTACACGCAAAATTAGGATGTCTTGTCTACACTTAACAAATATAGTATTATGAAAAATATAATTGAAGATATTTTATTGTATTGTTAAATAATCATAATAAAATTTATGTTTATTTTGCCCTATAGGGTATTTTATTAAAATAATAGTAGTTCAATATTAGTTCATTATTTATTCCAGGTTGAGAGTACCAGTTGTGAGCTGAAGTGTTGTGCCACATGACTCGGCAGTCTTTGGCCCAGGTACTATACTCAAACTCACTAGCCATCTTCATTTATGACCACCACTATGAATACCATAGTGGTATTACATTCAATATAATTTTAAGTTCTCTATTTAGATTAACTATGTAAGAATTGTATGTTTTAAAATTGTTCCTTTTAAATGTTTTTATATTCATAAAAAGTGTAATGTACTTGAGCTTGTCAAAGAAAATACTATCAGTTTGATCACCTTTGTCTCTAATGATACTTTTAGTTGTATATTTTTTTTATATTTTAGTTATTGTATAGAAGCTACATAATAACAGTCATTTTTGATTCATTAACATTATATGTAATTAATTTTCTCAGTCTTGTGTATATGGATAATCAACATGAACAAAGTGTTTGACCTCTAATGGTCCTTAGATATTATTTCAGGTTAAAATTAATTGTTGAGAAGATCATGTACATCCCAAGGGCATATTGGGCTAAATTGGGCAATTATATGGCACTCCCTCGTCTGTGGTAACACACTTCAACAAAGAAGTTATTACTTTTCTTTATATAGATTTCTAGTGTTATTATATTGTCAACTTGTTCACATGTAGTAAGCCTTATAATTTTGTATTTTATTATCTGAAGTACATGTATCAGAATAAATTTTGTAACTCCTAGTACTAAGTATTAGTACTCAAATATATTATTATAAAGAAGGGCAATAATTTAATATCGTTTTAATAATACGACTGTAATTATCATTAATCGCAATGTTGGTATGCTCAAGGTGTGGAGTACGCGGGGAGCGGTGCGGTTTGCGGGGGGGAGGGGGTTTGCTGATTGCTGACAACTGCTGAATTGCTGTTGTTGCCGTTCATAAGTTATGAGTAAACTTTTATATTATAACAAAACGAGACACTCATACGTCATAAAAATAGAGTCGCATCGCCCAATATCAATAGAGCATCTATAACAAATAAGTCCAATTGACGAAATATTGCAATAGGATATTTGACTACTCAGACGTAATTTTTCGTAGAACAGTATTACATATTAAAATGATTATTTGGGACATTTAGTATGAGTTGTTTAAATATATGTAGGTGTCTCATAATAATATAATAAAATTCACAAAAATAACCACTTTAGCTGTTCAAAGAATATGCTGAAATACTCCCAATTCCAACTACTATATATAAAAATAATATCTGTCAATAATGCGGTTGCAACCACCATTCGACACGATTAGGAATTAAAAAACATTAAATAGTAATAAATGGCTTACTTTTATAGATCTAATGTTCAAATTGCAGAAATTAATATATTTATTCATTATAATTAAAACCCAAAATAGTTTACTTAAACATACAGTAGGTTTTACGTTTTCTTAGAATAATGTAACACAAATATTTTCAATACAGTCAAATAGCCTATTTTTATTTCCTCTTCCGTTAATGCTGATTTTTAATTCCATTATTATACAGTCGGTTTTGAAATATCTGTTTAGAGTACACTTTAAATTTAATATAAAAATAAGTTGTGACAAAGTGCATAAGTGCATCAAACAATGATTAGTAAAGTCGTAACAATGAAACGTAGGTAGCAGCCGACGCGCAGACACCCAAACTAATACATTCGTTTGTTTGGCAGGCCGGTGCTGCTCGCTGGCCTGTTTGCTGTGGCAGTTTCCTGTGCTGATTGCTGTGATTTGCAGATACACCTTTTTATTCTTGTCACTATTGACATAACGCCTCTCTCCTGCCCTTCAACCAACCGAGAAATATAAGTACCTACCTATATGCGTTTAAAGCGTAGTATTATAATTATTTCAGTTTTATACTTTCAAAGAAAAGGTTTCAATGAACAATTTAGTGGTAAACCTTTTCTTTGAAATTTACAGTCAAGAAAGAAGCATCACCAGATGTGGGACGCCTGGCACCGAACTGTGTAGGTTTTATCTTAATAAATAATATTATTAAAAGAAAATGTATTTTTATTTATATAATACCATACCGTACGTAGTATATAATATGAACCGTACTTACAATCCTTGGATTCCATGAATAAATATGTCTAGGAACCATAGAACTTCAATGTCTATACAATATACATTGAACAGGGTTTTGGGTGGGTGATAATGGAATGGTTCACCTGCTTGTTCTAACCATTTAAGCTGGCGGGCACCAGTGGATGATGATTAAATGAACATGAAGTCACGTCAATTAGCCCGTTTTGGCAAATTGCAATTTACCACCATGGTTTAAGGAATGAGTGGAGAGAATTTATCACACGGTGGTTTCCAGGGTAACCATGTGTAGATCAACCTGATATGGTACATTGTTAGCAATGGCTTATTAGTCCACATTACTGACAAACCACCTTAATAATTTACTGCAAACCTACATCACAAATGTAGTGAATACATAGCATAGGAACTATGGGTATGAATTATACAAACTACAGTATAATAATATACTTACGAGCTTATATATGCTTAATAAAATCGAAAAGTACGGTATTAAGTCTGCTTTTTGTTTAATAAAAATTACCTATTAACGAACTCTGTAACACACTTATAGTACAATAAATAAAAAACCCTGGGCAATTAACACAGCATCATTTAGTCCCACGCTAAGAAAAGTTAGTGTTATGGATACTAGACAACTGAGTACTGACTAATTACACCCGGACCGATACAAATGTGCGCCGTGTGCGAGGAATAGAACCCGAACGCGGCCATTGGAAGTAAAGTGGTGTGCTAAAACGCTAAACCGCAGGTCGTGAAGTACAATAAATTAAATACTAGTCATTTATGCTAACGCCAGGTATAAGGTATATATATATAATATATAACAATTATATAAAAAAAAACTCATTTTAACCAGTAAAAATATGTTTATACTTAATTATATAATTTTATGTCATAGCATCATGACTTAATATTAAAATTAACAACTAATAATCCATTATGTCCAGTAACAATTCTGAACCATCTGCCTGCTTTATGCTCTTGACCAATTGCTGCATAAAGTTGTCTACCATCATTAGTGAACTGCATACAGTTAACAAAACCGTTTACCTCTATATTAAATAAAGGTAATACTTTCCTATAATTGTCGCAAATTTTCCATAGCCTAATTTTATTATCATAAGAGCCTGATGCAAACACATCAGAATTTAATAAAGTTGCAAGACTAGTGATCCATCTTGGCACATCATTATCAATACCATGGGCTTCATTTACAGTACATAAAGGTTTCTTTTTTAATACACTCCACACACAAAGTGAACCATTATCGCTTCCAGAAACAAAATGCTCTTCATTCAATAATTTTACTTCATCTATAGTACCAACAGGTCCATTAAATATGAGCTGTGACTCTTCTACGATTTTCCATATTCGAACCGTGGTATCCCGGCCCCCAGCTGTGATTGCACACTCTCTAGTCAAAGCGTCAATAGACGTTATGGGAGACTGATGACCAAACAGTGTTTCCACATATGCCATCTCATCCAAAGACCAGATTTTCACAGATCTATCTTTACTTGCAGAGTACAACTCATGTGTATTCTTTCTAAACACAAGACCAGTCACTGGATCTTTGTGTCCTTTAAATGTATGACTATGCTTCAATATACTAGGGTCCCATATCTGTATATTAGGTGATTGGTCGGATGAGGCCAAAAATTTTGTGTCTGTTGTGATAGCTAATGAACTTATTCCACCTTTCAATAATTTAGAATGAGTTTTATAAGTTATACAACCAAGTTTCCGTTTCTCTTTGACGCCCCATTTAATTATGGTGCCACACTTGCTGCCTGTGAACACAAACTGTCCATCATTACTTATACATACACATGTTAGCGTGAGACGGTGTTCTCTGGCGCGTATTAGTCGGAAGTCACTGTCCCTAGGTGCGACGTAGCTGTCAGCCACTTGTGTCTTTAATTTGCCTTTCTGTTCTAAATAATCTTTTTGCAGTCTTTTCTCCACGACATCATCCAGTTCCTTCAGTTCAGCACGTTTCGCTTCCTCTCTTTCTATTTCTTCAAGGTACTTCTTTGCTAACCTCAGTTTTGTTTGTTCAGCGGTCTCATGTTCACTCCCCGAATCTTCAGCATCGGAAAACTTTTTAATCTCCAAATCACTTTCAGAAGATTCGTGCCCATTTTTTAGGTTAGGTGGAGTTTTCTTAGACTTTGTTTGTATTCTATCGCCTTTTCTTTTTTTCACTTGTCTAGATTTACCTCTTAAAAAGAAAGAGGAAGACATTCTATAAAGTTTTAAAGTTATATCGAATGAAATTTATTTAAACACATTGACTTGAACAGAACATAACCAAAAAATTTGTTATTTTGTGACATTAGGCAGCTGTAGTGCGACCATGAACTCGACAATAAAATACGATAAATCACTTAATTTATATTTATGGATACATTATTTTGTTACAATATATTGTAAAAGTAGTTTAAAAAACATGCTTAATGTAAAAACTAAAATAATAAGGAGTGATACGTATGTAATCATCATTTTTTACTTTTTATATTACTAATTTACTACATATTATAGTTTGTAAAAAACCAGTTCTGCTAATTATTAATATTACAATAAATGTTATCTTAATAGTGGAGTCTTTTCTGAAGAGTTCTCCTGAGCATTAATATCAATATTGAAGAATATTTAATTTTTAAAATATATCGGAATATACGTCAGATAAATATCGATACTTTCATTTTTGAAATCACTATGACGTTATGCCATGTGTATTTGACATTTCAGTATTAACTTTTTTTTTAATTGAATATATTTTGCGACAGTGGGCTATTGTTACCATCAGACTGTTACTTATGGTAAAGAATATTTTTTTACAAAAGTTAGGAATAAAATGATATAAGTAAATTCCTTGTTGAGCAGCTCAAATTAATAGATTAAATTTAATAATATACTTTGATAAATAGACATTGAAAAATATAATGCCATAACAAAAAAAAATCAAACATTCTATATTTTTTGTCTCTGTAAATGCTATTCGAATATACAATTCGAAAATGACGACAAATTATATGTAATTAATGATTTGGATCGAAAGATAACGCTATTTAAATATTTAAAAAATTTATGGAAATAATATGTACCTACACTTGTAATATTTCTATCGACACTTGAGACCCTTCCCTTAGTTTACGTTTCCATTAACATAGATTTAAGTTAAGTGTAAAATGAGTCTACATCCCGACTCCGCGTCGACTGTATGGGTTACTAATAAACCATGTAGAACACTACCAATAAACTTAATAATGTCTAATAAATAGTACAATCTTTTTACGAGTATACTCATTACCTACATACTACAATAAATAATATATTACATAGCGCCACCTACTCACAACATACATAACGCTACAGTGATGAGGATAACCTACTAATGCTACAAATACAATAAAATTGTAAATGTCTGTACATTCAATATTTTATTACTATTATATTATTTCATTACACACAGTAAAATATATTTTGTTAGACTCAGATAAGCTGTTAGTTGGTACACATGAAACTATTGTTCATAACTTAAACAAATTTAAGGAAATCTTATATTAAGAGATAGGGAGTGATATTTCTTCATAATAATAATACTTATTTATTCAATAGACATAATAAGTAAACAGGTAGCTTATTTCTATCACTCTTTTGTATTTGTGATTAACAAACAACATGTATATGTATAATATAGGTTGTTGCTATACTTTGCTATGAGAACCTAAGTAAAAGTCAATAATAGTTCATTTTCAACCCACAATAGTGTTTGCACCTCTTAATTGGAGATACCCAGCAGTTATATCCATTGGCAAACTTCTTACTGTAGCAAATTCTTCAGCATTATTGTAATGAAGTTTGGAGTGTCTGTCTATATATGGCGCTGGTAAACCTGATATATCGGAGTACTTCTTAGTTGGTTTGAATGTTGGTGGAGCATTTATTGAGTAATCTGAAAACAATATTATGAATAATAATAATAATATATTTATTTCCTCCACTAAACATAAATATGATATAAAGTGAAACAGAGCCATTGGGGCATGTAAAAATTAATACAAATGAACTGGTGTGCAGTTATAGAGAACTGGTGCCTGTACTAGGCATCCGAAGAACCTGTTGACACAGATTCTTAGGTCACCAATAATTAGTGTTATATTAGAACTGTACCAATATTCAAGAGATTGTTGATTGCTCTTTATGTATCCTTAGATCATAGAGATCTAAAGATTCTTCCATATTTAATATTGTGATTTATTTAATACTTAATTATTCTTATTAAGTGTTTTAAGTAACTGCTCATTATAGCTAGTATATAGTAAATAACAGAATACTCAGAATAAATGATAGACTTCTACAATTAATCCTGAAGCTGAAGTTTTTTAGAAGCAACCGACGATTGCTTTTTGTTTCGTATATTAATTATTTATAAGCAATGATGAGGTTATATGCTAGAAAATTTACACTACATAAATAGAACAAACTACATACATAATACCGCTTCGTTAGGCCATGGGAGTGCTCGTTCTGCTGTTAAAATTTGCTTCAATGATCTCCACATTCGTTTCTTACATCCACTTTTTACTATAAACTTATTTTCCGCTTTAAAGCAATAAGTATTTTCTGAATCGGCAGTCATAATTTAATGTTTAAACTAGCAGTTCATTCAGTACACATACTAATTTCGTGGATATAGTGGTTATAATTGCCGTACTGATTATCTAATAAGGTAATAATTATGTAGCAACGGTAAAATAATTGCTCGTTTATAAATAAAACCAAGAAAATTAAAAACTTAAAACCAATGGATATGAAAAAAACAATAACAAACTTTCATTTTTCATTTTTAAGCAGTGTTACCAGTTTTATTTTGTCTATTTGCTGAATTTTGACTAATATGCTAAATGCAAATAATAAAATGTACCAAATAAGTAATAATTACAGATATATTATCTAATTACATTAACAGATGTTTAAAATAATACTAGAATATACCATTAATAAGAGCAGAACAAATTCAATTCTTGTCTAGATTTCACAGCTCTATTGTCTTATTACTCAAATATAATTTCCAAAAACGTTGTTCTCTAAAGCCATAAAATCATATAAATAAGTTTATATTATAGATTATGTTTTTTTAATAAAACTGTCAAAATTGAAAATGTTGAATTGACATTTCAATATTGACAGTTTTATTAAAAAAATAGAATATGAAGACAATAGACATGGCTGTATGGGCGCAGTTTCCTTTGCCTTTCCGTCAAAAGCATAAACAGAAGCAAAAACATAAACAATAATAATATTTTTAGAGTATATGTAGCAATTTTTTAACAATCGAAATCTTGATTTATGTAAAAAAAAATCTTCAATGAAAGTATCGAAAAACCAGGAAATTTAATCACATATTGTATACAGTTATTTTTGTGAGTGGCATACTGTGCGTACCACCCTACGATCTCCTGTTACTATATTAAAGGGGGTGGGTAATGTAGGAATAGCGTTGTCTACCTTATCCAGGGTGGTTGGGGACTTGGGGTGGATGTTTTATATCGGGTATTGGTTTTATATATCTGTGCAGACTGACGTCTCGTCTCGTAAGGACTAGAGTAACGTAGAAATATTAGTGGAAGAGAGTCGCACTCCGACGCGTGTTTTTCTTTGTTTTCCTATAATTTCTTAGCATATTTAATTCGCAATCATGAAAAAGGGATATAAAGTCACAGATGTGAAAAGAGAGAAAAAAATTGGTATCGCCGCCGAAAATTTAGAAGAATTGATAGAAAAATCTCGGAAAAAGTTGGGTGTAAGTGATACAAATATTTTTGCACACTATTTTTTATTATAATTAATAGTAATAGACGATGTTTTCTATTAGATGTGTAGTTGTTTTAGCCTTCAATTATGTAGGTCAAGGCGACATGGCCCTGACACATATTCTGCTACCTTGACCCAATTCCCTTGTTTTGCAGTTCAATGCCAACTGCGCGGAGTGCCGACTTTTTGTGGCGGAAGATGGTACGCGTGTGGATGACGACGAATATCTCGACTCATTGCCGCCGCAAACACTATTCATATTATTAAAGGATACTGAAAAAATGGTAACTGGTATGTCTCATATGATTTAGATAAAAATAAAAGTACTTACCTGTATGAAAAAAAAACAAAACTGTGTATTTTATAATTAAATAAAATCTCTTTTGGCACACCTCACACACCCATATATATATATTTATTATTTATAATAACACTGATTAGGATTACTCTCTAAATAGTACATAAATTATTTATGTACCTATATGTGTATGTATATTCAACTGGATTTTTAGGTTACATAGTTTAAAGTATCAGGTAGTGCATGTAAGCCTTATTTTCATATTTTATATGAACAGAAAAAGAAATACTGTCTTTCAGTTTTAGCATGAATGTATATGTATATATATATATAGACTATATAGATGCTAAAATATCCTATATTGTATAAATGATTTTTGTATTAAAAGTACATTTCTGTTCATTATTTTATTAGTAGATTTTTTTTTAAATAAAATATCTAATATTTTATATATTGATTTCAGATTTTGACTACTTCTATGATATGATTCGATCAGTGAAGAAGGATTATATTGATACTGGAATGGCAGCTAAGCAATTCCTCAGTACTAACATCAAGGAGAAGTTCAAGGCTTTCCAGAAGTACATTGCGGCATCAGATGATTCTCGTACCCTGCTTAGTGATCGAGCAGATGATCCATCCTGGTTTGAAGGTATTCTACAATTTACATATATTATACTTTTTTTTATTATTTCAATATTTTTTTATTTTGTGCCATATGTAGTAGTAAGATAAGAAGGTTTACAGAAGATAAGTGGGAAAAAATAAACTATACAACCATTGTAATGCTTCACTGTCATACTCAAGTCAAGTCAGTCTCCAGACAATGCATTACTATTATTTTCTTCACTAATATTTTAAAGAGGAAGGGTTTGATTTACTGTTTGTTTTTTTTAATGGACAAACTAAAAATTAATAGACAAATTATAAAAAAGATATCACATTTAGAGACCTAATAAATTATCGGTAAGTATTTATGTTACTATGACAGAACATCTGTATTATAAATGGACAGTGCCACACTACTAAGGCCATGTCGCCGTCGTGTGCGAACGGCGCACACAGTCAAACAACAATGGCGCTGGATGAAATGCTAATAACAATTGCGTGTGCTAGACCACTAGACCTCGGTGGTCTAGTGGTCTAGCCGCTTTACGACCGATGGTCGCGGGTTCGATTCCTGGCACGGCACAAACATTCGTATTCATGAGTGTGATTGTTTGTATCGGTCTGGGTGTTTTCTATGTATGATATGTATGTGCGGAGCGCATTTGTAACGATTCTCCTCCGATACGGCTTGACCGACAAAGACCAAAATTATATCGAAAGTCGACCATCGGGCCTCTGTCGTTTATCCCTCAAAAAAATCCATGCGTTTAGGTCGAGTTTTTAAGAATAAACGCGCTGCGCTTAACATGTGACCTGGTGTATAAACAATACACTGGTAATAAACCTAGTAATTTTTTGCATGCAGGCACTGCATTTGTAACGATTCTGCTCCGAAACGGCTTGACCGATCGAGACCAAAATTTCATCGAAAGTCGACCTCAGACCTCCATCGTTTACCACTCAAAAAAATTCCAATCGGTTTAGGTCTAATTCTTAAGAATAAATCAACATGTGACCTGTTGTGTAAACAACACACCGGTAGCAAACCTAGTACGTAGTAAGATTGTTACACATCAAATATTAATTTTCCAGGGTTAGAGCTCAGTGAAAAGACAAAAGAGCAGTCCATGTCCAAACGCGTTAAAGAACGAATGAGAGGCTATTTCTACAAAACAAAAAGTGCACTACAGTCATCCGAACACTACGTTCATACCAACGGGCGCGGTAAGAAACTTATCGACCAGTTCTTAGTTGACCTTAAGAAATTACTTGAAGCTTCTAAATACAATGAAGCATATTTCAACCGTAACGCTGATAAAAAGGGTTCTCTCTGTGACAAAAGCGGGCTTTTTGTGTGTGGAGGACTTTGGAGCAAGAATGATTGCGACTATGAGGGTGAACACGTGATAAACCCTTACAGGAGTCGTGAGGAGCGAATCATATTCCAAACTTGGAACTTGGATCATAAGATAGAATTGTCAAGATCAGTCATACCGAAAATATTAGAGGCAATAGAGCGATTCTATAACTGTGAAAATAAATGCATAAAATGTGAAAATATGATTAAAATTGGATATATAGATGCAGACAGATATTATTTGCAAATATTTACAAAGCAGAATCTTAAGTTGGTCCATATTGTTTGCCACTATAAGGGTAGGCACGATGCTGAATCTGATGTATACACTGTATGCAAAAAGTGCTTTGATGGTCAGAGTATTCAATATAGTAATTAGAATGCTATGTTCATAATGTTATATTCCTAACATATTTTGCTGCAACATTCTATAAGTAGAGAAATGAATACCTGTGATAGGCAATATAATTACATATTTTCATATAATAAGTTTTGATATAAATAATAATGATAATATATTTTTTTATTAAATAAAATGCATGTAAGGATTAATTTTTGGGTAATATAACAAAGAATTTCGGATTTGACTACATAAACTTTAATCTACCAGAGACATATTTATTTAGAACAGTGTATGTACATCTATTGATAGTTCTATTGTTATACACAAATAGAACTATCAGATTTAAATAACTTAATTAAAAATAAAAATGTAGCAAATATCGTAAAATTGTAGCCTTTTACATTAGAAATTATTTACACTTTTAAAATATTGTTGATGTTGTAACTCATTATTATTAGATGAGAATAACTTTTCTATTCCTTGAATTGATCTCCTTCTGCCCTTTAAATTTTAGATGTAAGAGTAAATGTTTATATTAAGTTATTGGTGCCAAAAATGTTATCTTTATAAATATTATTACTTAAATATATAGTATATTGTAACTGTTATATTTTATATCTCATTTATAATTAATAATCAATAGATTAATTTACTATTTATTAATTTAACTTTATTATGTAACATAATGATTTATTATTAATCTTAATTATACACTATTAATAAAAATTATATGACCAAGAAGCTTAAAACAAAATGAGTAAGCATACTGAAGTACTAAATTTAATATTGACTGACGTCAGATTTATCTTTCCGGATATCAACTTATTTATCAATAACTTGATATCCGATATTTATCAATATTGCCATTATTTAGCATGTTTCTCTTAGCTAATTTTATGACTTCTCCGATAAAAAAAACATTGTATTAATGTGGTACATGTGGTAATTAAAATGCAATATTACATATGAATTCCTATTTTTTATCTTTAGTTTACTCTGCAAGCTCATTTTGTATATTAGCTTCTTGAGTATAGCGAAAGAATAGTTTAAAATTTTGAAATATTCTTTATTTATTGTAACTATACAATAAATTTTATATGTGAATCTTTAAGTTGAATCTTTTGTAATGGATTGTGTAATAATGTAATGTAAAGAGATGTATTGGAATTGGGACATATTTTGGACTGTGATATTACAAAAGCTATTTATTGATAGCATTTTCTATAGAAATTGACTGCACTAATGTTATTGTTCTCAGTCGTAAATCGATAATAATTTCAGTAACTTTTAATCTCTACTCCGAATAAAGAATCAATTTGCGAATTGAAACTTATGAAACTTATTTCATAATATTACTGTTAATTGCATCATTTCATTAATCACGTAATGAAAACATCTTGAAACTATAATAGTTCAGTGCTCAGAACAATTTTTCATTCATACTTTAAATGTGTGAACAATAACTTGATGTTGACGAGGTTAAAATTACAACAGCGTAGATTTACTTTCAAATCTATCTATTGATCTACATACTAGATATCTTACAGAGTAGACAGACAACTGAATTTTTATTTAATTCTTAAACACAACTCTCACTTTATACCTTTTCATAGTTTGTTTGTGTACAGGACTGTTTACTTAAAATTTATATCCATTACTTGATTGATGATTGCAAATCTTAAAACAATAGCGGAAAAGTTTCAGTATAGTATGTGCAGTTTCGTCATATATTTGAATCAATGTTGTGGTCAATTATTTAGTGAGGGTGATTCAAATTGCATATCATATATATAACAATGTTCCTAAATGTGTCCCAAAGAAAAGATGAAGGTTCAAAACGACCATATAATGTCAGTATTGTAACGTGAAACCTCATTTGAATACAGGGTTATAGATAGCCGTAATCAATTTTCTTATAGCAAAATACTATTATGACTGCTCCTATATTACTCTTACATCTTACGTTTTGGAAAATAGCCATTCGTCAGCAAAGCAGCCATTCGCCTGAAGTTCTAGAATGTCAATCGAAGCAAGCAAATAGCAAATTAAATTCATATACTAAGCTATCTTATTTACTAATTCTAAATTAATGATATCAGAACGAATGGATTTATTATCAAATAAATCCGTTTTGAAACAAAACAGGTTATTTATAAAGCCACATCCATTTTCGGCATTGGGGCCACTCCACTACAAAAAATGGACTGTTTTCTTTATCAAGCGGCATCTCCTGGCAATGACTTTCATTAATTTATGGGTTTTATCTATTTGTTGCAATGCATTATTTTTTTTATAAATAACATACCAAAATTATTTACGAAATATGTACACTTTACAAAAGCAATATAGGTGATATATGCCGACCGATATATGGCATATTATTAGGTATATATGTTTTTTAATTTACTTAAACTCATTGTTGTCATAATAGTATTTTGTTAATTTTGCAGAAACTATATATTACTCGACTGATTTGGTACTATGCCGACCACTATCGAATTTTTAGAACGAACTACGAGTAGTTTCTGCACTCTCTTTGTACGCAAATATGGAGTGAATTAGTTAGGTAAATAATGTACGGAAAGGATTGTCTGACGGTCTTTCTCATTTCTTAGAAAGAAAAAATCTGATATAGTAATATTTGAATAAGGATCTTTCCTATGTCTCCACAATGGGTAAATGTTATCAAAGCTGTAATAAGTCTTTTATATAATGTGAATAAGAGGCCTATTATCCCTATGAAAATAATATAAAATAAGTGGATAAATAACTGCATGTAAATTAAATATGAATGAAGATGAATTTTAATTTTAACAAATGAAAAAGATCTTCAGAATTGAGTGGGATAGACTTTTGTATCTTTAAGTTAAATTGAAAGGGTATACATAATATATTTCTACAATATTTAAGAGATAGTAACATTTTTGTTCTACTGTTTGTTGTGTATTGTAGGATCCTGTTTCACAGTCGTTAGATGAGTTAAATAGATACCTAAGTTGATGTGTTCCGAATACCGGGATAATATTCCGTTAAGTTCGTGCATGGTGCTTCAGAACATCCATAAATCATGTTATTGAGGGGTTCCCACCTCATTCACAACGTGGGAAATGGTGGATAAGGTGTGACGTGGGGACATTTATGTGAAATGGGGTGGAACAGGTCCTAAATTTCACATATCATTTTAACTAAGTATTAAATCACGAAATTTAAACTACTGAAGAAAAACTTAATATATTTCCAATTCAACTGGTTTTTTTTAATGTATAATATGGAATGGTGCACCCGTCTACGCAAATGGTTTACGCTGGAAGGGCACCAAAGGAGGATGATAAAATGAATATCAGATTAAAGCAGTTAGCCCATCGTGACAAATTCACTAGAATTTACTATGATGGCTTCCAGGGGAAACCGCGTGGAGGCCAAATGACATGGTACATATCTAGCATTGGGGTGAATAGCCCTCATCACTAACAATCCCCTCCTGCCTGCTGTTTTACTAGTGGATTGCAAAATAAGTGACGTCATAAACTTGTATTAAGAAAAAGAAATGCAGTGGAATTTCTTGCCAGTTCTTCGCAATTAAATCTGTATACTGAACTGGTCAAATGTCCCTCATGAGCAAAAGATTTTTGATTCGATTTGATTCCGTGAAGATATAATGTTCCTTGCTTCTTCATACAAAATGCCTCCAGTAATTCTAGTCACCGAAGGAATGTACCGGCACTGTGCACGACTTTCACGGACTATGCCACTTATCCCGCGGTTGTGAGACACGACCTAACTATCTTTTAAGGTTAATATAATATCAGAAATCCTATTTTGTGACAATTATACCTACTTGTTTAGATAGTCATAATTATGATCGATAGCAATAGTAAATTATAAGTAGCTTTTATGTATATGTCGTTTCAACTGTGGATTATAGAGCGTAGTATTGAAAATAGTAGTTTTTAAATAATAGACACTTCAAATAAAGACCATGGTAAGTATATTCTCTGCAAAATAATAGTATGAGAATGAAAAACTAATTATTATCAAGCGTTCAACGCTGGAAGATAAGGCGCACCTAATACAAGTATTAATGCAATAGTAAATTAAATTTGACATTACCACTTTTTAATGATCATTTCATTTTATTATTCTATCGCTACATTCGAAATGCAGATTTAGCCGATAATTTGCAGGAAAATCGGCTGGTGCTTACTTACAATAAGACACTATGTAAATATATACTTATGTTTAAAATCTAATGCGAATATAAACTATTATAGCTCAAAGTCATGACATTTGAATTTCATTGAATTATTACTAGTATATATGAGAATATAGTCTATAACTTGGCTTATATTAGTCAAAATATTAAGTAATAGTCATATGATAATAAATGATATATTTGTTGCCGTTCTTCCTCCACATGTGAAGGACATATTACAAGAATATTGTAATTCAATAGAGTAGTAGATGCTTCCAATAAAGCTTTATAGTTGTTCGCTGTAGCAATGTAGCGTGTTTGAGTAGTTATCGTTTAGATACTTAATCTATATACAGTATTACGGAACCTTCTCCTTTGTCTATTGTATGACGATGATTAAAATTGTTTGGGAAATAAAGGTTTTCTGTATTAAACGGCTTGTTTTATTGTCTATGGTTATTAAGTCTAAATATGGAACACAGCCACAGCCAGGGCTTAGTAGAAACTCTTATAATCAAGAAGCCATAGACTACTTTTGATGTTTTTACAATGACTGGAATGGGAAATAACTTTAGGGCCTACCTGAAAAATGTAAATTGTTGTCTATAGATATGAACAGCTCATGACCTCTCACCCGTGGTCTGAACTATTAAGTCTTCATGGCTTACTTATTTTGAGGGTTAATGTGTCATGCCTCCATACTCTATGTCATTGCCATTTGAACAGGAACACAGCTTACAATACGAGCTGCATAGCGGCAAAAATAGATTAGACAAAGGTCTTGCAAATTATTTTGGCCAATGGCTACCTCATACCTATGTCGAATATGTCGCAGAGTAAAAAAAAACCGTCAATTATTATTTGTGTCTGTTTATTTACCCTTTTTATTACTCATCTACATATTTCTGTAGTTTTTTAATTTACAAATTGGACTTTAGTTTAAAACGTTATAATGTACACAGACATCAAAATAATATACATTTATATAAGCCATTTGGCTCCAGAACGTAATAAAGATAAATTACAATTATATTTAACAGATTTTATTAAAATGTTTGATAACTATCTCCTCTTTCTGCCAGGAGTTTTCTTACTGGGATTCCTTTGACCTCTGCCAGCTTTTGGCTTCTTTGCTGAGAAGTTTGTAGAGTTGCCTTTGCCCTTACGCTTGCCTTTAGACGGTTTCAAATTTTTCTTTTCTTCTGACCTCCTGTAAACAACAATTATGTTAAATACTTTTTATTGAAATTAGTATTTATTACTGTCTTGTAATCAGGGGTGTCTCTTGTCATATCTTATACATATATAAAATTCTCATAGCCATTTCGGAGTATGGTAACTAGCATTGTGTTTGTTTGTTTTAAATTATATACATTTTCAGTAGGTCTGTGTATCTGCTACTATCTACTTCTCATACGCCTGAGTGACAAGGGTTGTCCACTCCTAACATTTACTTTTTGGACAAAATTTTTACGTTTTATATTTATAATATGGCATTAAAAAATACATACAATCCAAAATTACAATCAACAATCCCTATTTTTTAATAGCGATTTTAATTTATATGGCAAAATAACGTTTATGGGGTCTGCTAGTACAGTTATAATATCTTGTATGGAATACCAACATGTAGTTTCTAGTGGTATGAAAATAATGCAAGCAAAAATATGTCACATATTATCAATACAAACTTCATTGATATCTGTGATAAACTTTTCATATAGACATCAACTATTACACCAACCAAGATAACAATGCAACATTGTATCTATAATATCTAAATACATGATTTGTATAACACAAAAAGATACTAAACTATCTTCATAAAAAAGTTATTCATTATCTGATTTAAGGCAAGGCAGTGTATTTGTTGCATGCCTAATCCTTGTTAATGTGTATTTACTTTAACAACATTTATTTAAAAAAGCTACATGCAAGTTTATTCTTCTTGTGAGGAGTCTGTGTGAGAATGAATAGTCATTCTGAATGAATTTTGAATAGTCAAAAGTACTTATCTATTATTATGTTTATTTGATAAAGATTATTTCTATTTATATAACAATGTAAATATACTTACATTGCTTGTTCATTGTGAATATGTTTAGCTACAGCTTTATCCATATCAATCTTGGGTCGTTTATTCAAAATAGTGTCAAGAAGATTAAGGTTATTCTCTCTCTCTGCTTGTGGAGTAGGTATAGGTGCTCTTCGCTTCCTCTCCTTGCCGGGTATGAGTTCGTGCACACCTTTACCCCGAGCTTCCTTCTCTTTTGGCAATTTGTCTTGAAATTTACCGAGGGATGCTGTCGACGCTTTGGCGACCGTTGCTGCTGTAGCTAACTGAAATTATCATAATCAAATCAATAATCCTTATTCAAGTAATACAGTTATTACTATGGTATAAACAGGCCATAAATAAGAGGAAACATATTGGAGAAGCCAATGGTGGGCTACCCCATGCTGAAGAAATAGCTTGGCCTGGCAATGGCTTAAATATAGACATCAGAACTTTTATAGCTCAGTCTATCATTTCAGGAACTCCCTTGTGCAAAACAATAGACACAATGGGCTAGGAGATGGTACATAGATCAGAAGAGTAGTGATGTATGTTTACAGTACATAGCCAATCCCTGCAACTCGAAGCTTTTATATCACAATAGGTGGACTGTAAGGTGAAGGATAACAAAAAATATTATTATCTATGGCAGGGCATGACTAAGTAACTGGAGTATAGATTGAAGTATTTAAATATCTCTGTATGTATGCAGTATTATACATGTTGATAATTTCCATAAAATCGGAATGTTGTAGAACCATCATTTATCTTCACCAAACTCAAGATCTTTAAGTGCATCTAAACATGAATCTCTTCAATAAGTTTTTATATTTTACCTGTGTTGCAGATGCTTTGTCAGATGTAACTGGCAGGCCCACCCTGGGTATTTTGACTTTCCTAGCCCTAGCTATGTTTTTCAACCGTTGTAACTCATTCTTTGCCACTTTTTCAGACTTTTCAGACGCCTTTTTCTCATACATATCTGTCATAGGGTCCATATTTTGTGGGACTTCTATTAGCCAATTTTTCTCTTTTTCTGCAGCTGCCTTTCTAAATCTGTTAACAAATAAATTAGTGATTATTCTTCAATTTAGATGATATTATATTTTGTTATAAGATTACAATGAAAGTTGTAAGCAATAGTTATCTCATAGCCACAATGTCTTACAAATGTATAATAATTTTATTTCTCATATTTTTTTAAATATATATTTTTGAGGATTGTCATCATGCCAACTACCTAGATTAATTATGTTTACATGGGAGGCAATTCTAAATCATAAACAATATGAAAAAGTGATTATACAACAATTTGATAAAATTGAATTACTAAAAATTATGTTATGAATGTACTAACCCATAAAGAGGTACCCATTTCTGTAATTGTTCATCCCACTGCAATTTGTCCTTCTTCTTTTTTGTGATACCTTTGGCCTTTGCAAACTCTTGCCATTTTGTCAAGGGTCTTGGTTTCGGAACTGGCTTAGCGCGAGGCAATACTGTAGTTGGAAGTGGCAGCCGCACTACTATAGCTTCATCAATTCTCTCAGTGGGCAACTCCCATATTTTGTTCAAGAGTAACTGGGTGTTATCTCGGGTAAGTGATTGTAAATATACATCTTTGTCAGACCTGTTAATCGATATTAAAAAATATATATATACTAAAATTATACCAAGTATACTAATTAAACATTTTAAAAGATCATAATGATCAGTTAATGTGTTATAAATATTAATTATACATGCTTCATAGTGTATGAAGCATGTATAATAAATTGTGTAATAGTTATATTAACATTATTAGACTTATTCAATATTAAATGGTAATTTTTACTTCAGTAATTTTGTGTCCACATCGTTGGAATCGAAAGCAAGAAGTGTGCCCACGTCGAATTCCAAATCCAGATGCTTATCAACAGTTATTGGCTTATATTTTTCAGCTTTCTTTTGCTCGTTCAATAAAATTTCATTAACGATATCCATGATATAAAATTAAGCATTAAAGTAACAATGTACAGGAACTACACACTCAATAAACTTAATTTTTATAACCTTAAAAAACTAAGAAAATAGGTAAATAACATGCCTGTTTCTGACAATACAGATTATATATAGATACAGATAATGTCTAAAGTGTCATCTGTACATCTGCCATATTAAAATATACTTTATGATAAACGCCATTAGTTCATTTTTGGTTAATATCAAACTCTATAAATTTTAGAGTCAAGTTGCCATTAAGAAATAAAACCGTCTTTATACATTTTTTGACATATTAGTGATGCCGCCGGCCGTTGCGCTAATTTAACCCCCGAACCCAATTGTGTGATTGCTATCTATAAAAATATATTTGTTTTATGTAGGTTGAGTCGACGCGACGCGACAGTGTGACTCCAACAGCGGCAGGAAATTCGTATTGATGATTTATAATATGGAACTCACAATGACCTTCAATTTGCACTTCCAAGTGAACCTTTTAGGTACATAGTATGAAAATAAGATAAATTTTATTTTAGAGTTCATAATTAACTTAATAGTATTAGTTAATTATGAACAGTACTATTAATTAAATTAATTGACGTACAATGAGAATGGCTGGCAGTTTTACATATAATTTTATCTATATTCAAAATGATCTTTCTATATATTTTTTCCCTTTATATATTTTCGCTCTGCTATACAAACGTCTCTACAAGCATCTCTCTTATTTTCATTTATTATTACTATAATTAGATTTGGGTAACCTGGCCTGAATATCGCCACTTTGGCCGGATTCGTCTGTGATAACCTGGTAATTCAGATTCGGACTTCCCGGCTCCCGCCAACTGAACCAACCTTAAATTTTTATTTTATTATTCATTCTTAAATTTAACAAAACACTATTAATTTTTCCATAATGAAAAGAGGCGCTCTAATAATTGTTGAAGGCGTGGATAGAACTGGAAAAACTACACAATGCAAAGAACTTGGTAATTAAAGATTTCTTTAGAGAACTTTATTTACTTATTGACATTTCATCATGTCATTGCATTTCATAATAACTCTGCAAATAATAATATTTTAATGCAAGAAGGATAAATAAAATAACAAGTTTTATTTAAACATGTATTCTTTATTTAATTCACGCATTATAATGCTTCTTTCTCTACTGTTGTGACAAATACATGAGTAAATAAAAGCATATTTTTATTAACTTATAATAACATCGGAATATGTCACATCATAGAATACCAAATAGTATATATTTAGAATGTGGTATTATAATGTTGTGTAAAATAATGCAAGATTTATTTCACAGTGAAGAATTTAAATGCAAAAAATGTGCAAGCAGAATACACAAATTTTCCAGCAAGACACACTGAAATTGGTAAAACCATTAACAATTATTTGACATTCAAGGTAAAAGTGTATTAAAATTCAATATGCATATATATTCATATGACTGTAGTAATGGAGATTAACAAGTACTAAGTAAATTAGCAAAATTTCAACATTGCCAGATTTCCCAATTTGCAATGGTTATTGTAAAGAGAGAGAATTCAAATATCTAGTGGTAGAATAATTACAAGTTATATATTATATATAACTTGTAATTATTCTATATATCTATATAGTAATATATTATCTAATTAATTAATAGACACTGCACAGCCACAACATATATTTTCGTGTAGCAAGAAAAAAAATTTGTGGACAAAATAAAACAAAAAAGGGTGTGGAGTTTAATCTATCACTACATAGTATAAAATAAAGTCATTATCGCTGTCTGTTCATCTTGGATGGTATATATATATATATATATATAATACATGTTCACCCGTGTGAAGCGTGGGGAAAGTAGCTAGTAAACTATATTTTTTTAGGTTACACCTTTATTGGTGTAACTTAAAAAAATATATGTAGTGGTCTTTTTTTTCACACTATACCAATACTGTTAGCCATAGCTAACCTTTTTAATAATTTCGACAAACGGAAATAAAGCAGTGCAGAGGCCACTCCAAATTTTCGGGAAGTCTTATGGAGGATTGGAGGCTTTACCTAGGAGTTGGATAAAAATATTTAAATTTATTTTCCAAATAGGAAATAATATCAACATATATGTATATAGTAAATAAGGGAATATTTTTTTTGTTTACTATTCTATTTTTTATGTATCAAGATGCAAAATATTGAGGAAAAAAATAATTTACCAAAAACAATTTGGTTATTACAAATATAAAAATGTCTTATTATTCTAGAATAACTTATCCGATGAAGCCATCCATTTGTTGTTCTCTGCAAATAGATGGGAACGAGCACAGGAAATTAGAAAGATTTTGGAACAAGGGACAAGTCTCATTATTGACCGCTACTGTTTCTCTGGAGTTGCATATTCTGCAGCTAAAGGTAATAATAATAATGAATCAAGACAATCCATATAGCGCCACCTAGTTCCACGCTAGTTGAGTTTGTGTTGTGGGTACTAGATATCTGATAGAAATACTTAAGTACCTTTTTTTAATACTTACATATTGCACATAGAAAACACTCGGACCTATACATACAATTATAGTCATGAATACAAATTTTAAAATACAAATTTACAATTGAATGAGAAATTGAACTCATGACCATTGGAAGTAAGGTAATGTGTTAAATTACTCGGCATTCATAAATCCAATTAGTATATTGAGAATTATAACTTATTTTTTTCTTGCAGTCAATAATCCTCACTCCAAATATTACTATACATTTATTTAGACCACATTTTATTATCACTTATTTGTTGGTCATTTTTAGTTACTTACATTATTACACTCATATAAACTGAATTCCATAGATAAATGTAATTAATTCTTAACATTTGAAAGTGTTCTGTGAAATGTAGCCAACATTTCACAGAACACTTTCAAATGTTGAAACATTAGTTTCTACATCATTATTCATCTGTGGTTACTTATAATTCTGTTATTTACTAAATAATAAACAGAGTAATTTTTATTACAATTGTCATATTTACCTTTACAATGTCTATGCAGAAAGGTCACCTCCAGTGTTCACTATTCACATAACAACATAAAAATACTATATAAATATAAAGCAACATTCAACAGACACGATAGCTGTCAATAGATTTATTTATTTATGTAACTGGAATGCATACACTTTTATTTTGTTACAGGCTTAGACTTGAACTGGTGCAAATCACCAGATGTTGGCTTGCCCAAACCTGATAAGGTATTCTTTCTTACAATGCCACTTGAAGTAGTGCAAGCTAGAAAAGGATATGGTTCTGAAAGGTGATAAGACTCACCTAGTATATATATATATATATATATTTTAAGTAAAACTCTACCGCGCAATTTTGTCAGCAAATACATATTCCCCGATTATACAACATTTGCAGTGTCAGCCTCGGTTCTATTGGTAATAGTGTGATGGTATATTGTCTCTAGCTTCCAACTATAAATGGGCTATCGAAAACTTTAATATCTACATACCCCGTAGAAACGTTTAAATACGATAGTTATATATTATATAGTACGAAAGTTTACATATATATAGTATAATTGTGGATTATTTTATTTCAATGTTATAATAATTTTCTTACAAAAAATTCTTGGTAAATGTAAATATTCCGTTTTTAGCCTTTAAAATTAGATATTACTGCTTCAGTTCCGTTATGCTTTAGTAGACTGACTGCGTTAGTACCTAAATAAATACCTATTTATATGTAATCAAGAAATTATCGTACATTTTTTTTTATACTATAATTTTATGGAACACTGCTCTATAGTAGGAAATGCAGATCATTTTGGTAGCACTTTATATGTAACTAGTCGTCCTGGCTTTTCACGGGTGTACATGTATTTTATATATATAAACGTTCCTCCTGAATCATTCTATCCATTGGTAAAAACTGCATTAAAATACGTTGCATAATTTAAAATATCTAATTGAACAAACACCGGAAGCGACTTTATTTAATTTATGTATATATACGATTTTATTATTATATTTCTATAAATAAGAACTCTGGTGCTAAACCAAAAAAATAAAAATAAAATACTTGTATTTTCTAACAGGTATGAAGAACTGGAATTTCACAAGAAAGTAGCTCAGGTATTCTCACAACTACAAGATGACACTTGGGATGTTCTGGATGCATCCAGGTAAAATAAACGCATTGTATATTTCATATATTGACGGCCTCGGTGGTCTAGCGGTCAAGCACACCGCTTTACGACCGATGGTGGCGGGTTCGATTCCTCGCACGGCACAAACACTTGTATTCATGAGTATGATTGTTTGTATCGGTCTGGGTGTTTTCTATGTATAATATGTATGTATTTACAAAAAAAAAAAATCTATGTATATGTATCAGTTATCTAGTACCCATAACACAAGCTCTAGCTAGCTTAACTTGGGTCTAGATGGCTCTGTGTGAGTTGTCCTGAGATTATTATTATTATATATTATTTTTATTGTAAATGTATATTTTCATATAAAACTGTCTTTACAGATCAGTAGAATGCATACAAGAGGAGTTATTGGAGAAAACATTAAATATTGTCAACAGTGTTGTAGATAAGCCAATTGGTAAAGTGTGGAGGGAATAAATATATACAGAGTTGTATATCTGTCTCATAATAAGTATCTAGTATATATTGGCTTGAAATATTGGGACTTAATTGTTCGATGAAGCCGTAGCTGAGGTCAACAGCATTAGAATATTCATAAAAAAAAACTAAGGTTTTAATGTGGACCAGCTGGTGGCTCTAACCAAAAAAACACTATAGTAGAATAATAAATTTGAAGCTGTAAAGGCCAGCTGCGGCTAATAGCAATATTAATAAAAGAAAAACTGGGCCTTAAGATGGACCAGCATGGTGGCTGTAACCAAAGTAATTGTATCGAATAATAAATTTAAAATTGTATTAATTTTGTCAACAAAATCAAACTTATCTAGAATGTCGAGAGTAGAATAGTCACCACAAAAAATTATATAAATTTATATTTTTTTAATTGCGGATATTTCGCTGTTGTGATAATATATAAAATAAATCAGAGAGACGCCGATTCATTTGTCCCTCTGCCACGTATACCTAGATTACTATATGTAGTCTGCATTTAATCATTATTTTTATTAATTCTTTACTGTTATCTTTAGTACTATTAGATACTAAACCAAGTTTACAGAGATCTTGATTTATATCGAATAACTCTTAGAATGTATTTTTTTCAACATACATATAATGAAATATGGGTACAATGGAATATTGTATAATAACCAAATAAAAGTATGTGATAAATTATGTTTATTTATTCAACTTTTGTATAAGTAGTTTTGCACCGGACACATTTTCTTTTAGTATATTTCTGTGCGATTTGATTTTATTCACGAGTTTACTGGCGATGATATCATTGTTACTTTCAATTAGCTTCAATATGAAGAAACATCCTCTATTCGTGGCCAACCACGCTGTTACCTGGAAAATATCAGATTTAGAATATATTAATTTAATCCAATACATTTTATTTAGATACATTGATTTCATTAGGATTGTACATCCACATTCACAATATATATTTAACGGATAAGAGATACGGCTGAAATCGCCAATTACTTTATTAAAAAACGTAGGGTAATAAAATTAATTATTTTTTGCAAATACAATTTGTCATATAAAGCAAAACATTACACTAAAATATTTTTATTGTCAAACTATAAAATTAGAGCTATTAAACAGAATAAAACAAATTACTAATATAGGATAGGCCAAATCAGTACGTAATTATTGTATCAATGATAAAGATATGGGTAACACATTTACGAAATTAATAATAAATTATAACACAATCTATATATAATATAAAAATCAAATTGATCACGGTCTGTACATGAAAATTAGGAGAAAAAATATTGACGAATAGAACCCAAAACAATGGTTTTTAGAAACTTAATCGATTTTAATGCGGTTTGTATTTGTATGTATAAGGTAAGGTTCATTGACATTTAGTGTTTATCCAAAAAAGGTACTATTAAACTATTTCTGGTAAACCATTGTTATCCTGAATAAAAGATGGACAAAGTAGCAGCTTTAGCTAGTATAATAAAAAATATTACTATTGCAGTAGTAATACTTACATTATCTTGGTTAAGGTTATCTACAATCGCTTCTCCCAGGGTACAATCATTTTTATCTTTGTCCAAACTGGCCAATTTCTTAAGGCACATATGGATTCCTGCATCTTCTATTGCCAGTAATTGCTTCCCATTCACATCTGTATGCCAGTCGGGCCGACATATAGCTTTCGACAGTGAGTTCAGCATTTCCTTAGTACATTCTAAAAAGATAATTATTATTATTATTTATCTGACAATGAAATTACCGCTTATACTAAAATTAAATTTTGTTCGTGTGTGTGGACGACGGTAGCCACTTTCCATAATCATATAGCTTGTTTACCATTATTGTTATTGTATACCATATTACATAACAGAAACTTGAAACCAGAGGATATATAGTCGTAGCTTAAAAAGTAGAAGTGTAAGATGATATTTAACAATATTGTATTGGCTTTGTTTATGCCATAAGTCAGTCTTTTCTGTACTTGAATGCGTTCTTTAGTTGCAATTTGCCCAGATTAAGAGATTTGACGTTCTAAGTAACTTAGCTTTAAATGTTTTTACGTTATTATAAGTAATGCAAGCAGATTATTAAATTATGCCTGCGTAATTTTATATGCTGCCGGGACTGATAGGAAAAGATTGAAATCAGGCCAGTGAACCCACTGTGGCAAATTTAACAGGAATTGATCATGATGATTTCCAGAGGGAACACTCTGTTCCCTAGTCGATCTGATAGCTTATGTTTAAATGTAGTAATACAATAGTTCCCATTTGCCATTACTAACAATTCCTTTCACCCACCTGCAATACAACTTTTATCAATTCACATACCTATAGATAAAATAGCTACAGTCAATAGCATTATGGTTTTATTGCTGACCCAAAATTCAGGGTCTGACTCTATGTCCTGCTTTAAAACAGGTAGAATAGCTTCTCTCAGTTCTGAAGTGCGGAGATCTCCATCTTTCTTGGAAGTACCGCTACTAGATCCGTCTTCGAGAAGTTTTATGAGACTTGGGTGGAAGATTGCAGAGTCTTTTGGTTTTATTAACCAGTGTAGAGTCTGAAAAATAGTAGGTATATGGAAATGAGTTAATATTTATAGAGGCAACTAATTTTGAACACAACTAAAATTATATAATATACTAGCTGTTCCCGGGACTTCGTCCGCGTGGAATTTAACTTTCTTTTTCTAAAATAAAAGTAGCCTAAGTTACTCCTTACTACATTAGCTACCTACCAAAAAAATGCCCGTCAAAATCGGTCCAGCCATTTCAAAGATTAGCCGGAACAAACAGAACGACAGACAGATAGACAAAAATTGTAGAAAATGGTATTTTGGTTTATGTACCGTATTAATATTCATATGCATGTAGTAAAAGATGGTTATTTCAATATTACAAACAGATACTCCAATTTTATTTATATGCATAGACGTATACATTATTAACTCAGATGGAAGAACAGTTTCCAGATAATTATACTCCAGATCTATGAATTTTAAATATGTCTATTGTATTTAATTACATGAAAATAATTTTACTCTCCATAAAAATCACAAAATATTTTTTTCCAATAAATTACAACAAAAAAATTGATCAATATTTTTGAGTTTGCCAAACTTTACTATTGCTTGATTGTTTATTACAATAACAATAACAAAATACAACAATTAAATGCAAATAAAGCTTACCATAACACCCCAATGATCTTTTGCAATATCCTTCAAATTATTAGCTAAAGTGGACACAATAGCTTTCTTAACTAGGACTGTGTCATCAACAGAATCAAAAATGGCCAATAGAAGACGGTAGCCTGTTTTATGCTTAGATAATGACAGTGCATGTTCCTTGACTACCTTCAGTATGGTCTAAAAATAAAATAACGATCGTTTTTAACTAACTTCTATAATTGAACTTAGGTGTTATCTGGAAATATTAAATCACATAGACATACATTCACATAAATTGCATATATTGATTACAGTTTCTACGTATATAATATATAGATCACTATGTATACTGTGTTCCATATACAGGGAGTGGCTTCACATTTTAATTTCCTACAGTTGCTTTTAAAAAAGGCAGGTTTGTGTTTAAAAATAGAAGCTGGTAACTGTAATCATATAAAAAGAACATATATTATCAAGGACTTTATATGTGTCCTGAATTTCCTTTAGTATGTATTGTAATAATTTACAATGTTCCATTTTTAAAAAATATCCTTATTATTTCAATCACAAGTACATCAGAATATGAAAAAGGACACTGACTTCTCAAACATATGTATTCTTTATACCTACCTCAGAAGTCAGGGACTTCATAGATAATAATTGTACAAAATATAGAAAGTAAATTATTATTGGTACACATATATAATGGAAATAGTCAAATTATTTTTAATTTACCACTCAGTTTCAAGAAAGAACATGAAACATGTTTCTTTTTTAGATAAGGTACGATTTTACGTTTTGAAATTAAAATGTATGTATAAAACAAACTTAATAACTATAGCATTTTAATAGTTTGTCACGTGTATACAAACCTTTTTATCTTTATTGGTACCCTGCCATACACATATACTGGCAGCATTGACTCCCGGCAAAGAGTTACTTAGCGGAACAATTAAAGGACTCAGTGTTGTTATCAATTCTACACGTTCTTCTGCATTGCACTCCCGAATGTAATCATATAGAACTGAATGAAGCAATCTGCAATATTTTCAAATTATCTATTATTTCCAAAGGCATCTTAAATAATTATTGTATTCTTTACTTCTAAAGAAATGAGAATTTTGTTTCTATTATGTTATATTTATATCAATAAACTAATTACAAACAATATAAAGATGATAGTAAAGTTTTAATTATTATTATTATTGAATTATTAATTAAGGTGATTTAAATAGATTTTAGCAAAAGTTTTAAAAAGTATTTAAGCATCATGGCCTAGAGGTATATTACCCTGACATAAACCAAAAAGGTTAGTTCAAATCTTGCCAATAAGTAAAACTGTGTATCTGTGTATACTTATATTTCTGACTGACTTTCCAAAGAACAAATTAATCAAAGAGTTGTTGGTAAGCTCCTCATCTCCCATTACTATTTAATTTTATTTATTTATTAAAGGATAACCAAGGCTTACTATATACATATTAAATCAATATAAAAACATACTAAGCCACTGACAGGCTTCACAAATAACAACAGATTAGTTATATAGATAATAACACAATTAATCAAAAAGCATAGATAGAAACATACTCGTTGTCATGGAGATTTTTATCCAAAATGCGTTGTATGTTTGCTTTACATGACTGTAGTATGGCTATCTTCATTTCGGGACTGCCTTTGTATGCATCACTCAATGTTTTAACTTTGTCATCTTTAGACTGTAACAAAGATTATAATTAAGTTTTAAGGCAGTTTTTAATTATATATATACTAATAAAGACATTTTTTATAAGAATGTGTATTCAAATAGAACAACTATATCATATAAAAACAAAAAATTGTGGAATGGAAAAAATAATTCCTATAAACATGCAACATTACTCATTTTGTAACATTTTAGAATAATCACTTACACACAAATCATGAGATGTAAATTATATCATAGAAACATGAAATATTTTAACAAAACAAGACCAAATTTCACTTACATTTTTGTATATCTCTCCATAAAACTCCTGTTGCATGTAAATTTTCTCTTTCTTTGTAGCAAACTCACCATATGCATAGTCAAGCACAGGTGCGCTTATAGAGTGAGCTGCTAAGGAAACTATGTGCCCAAAGAATTTCTTGATCACTTCATGTCGAATAAATTCTGTACCATACTTCACAATACGCTTCACAGCATGTTGGCCATATTTTGATTGAACCATAGGCACTATAATGTCCAGCAACTCCTCTGTTACCTCAGTTTTAATGTCCTCTGGGCTATACTTGAGGAGTACTTGAATGACCCGGCTTAAGTCATGGGTAAGAGCTATAGATTTATATTGACCTTTCATTAAACAATGTAATTCTTTACATGAGTTTTCACGAAAATCACTTTTCACCACTTTTCTGAAATAAATAGTGACACAGTGAAAAGATATGTTATTTTTCGCGTACATTATATTTTCATTCATGTGCTTACTGCCATACCATATAGACAGTTTTGTTGACTTACCTTTGTATTTGTGCAGACAATAATTTAGCTTTATGTGATATTTCAAACACTTCAGCTGTTGTTTTTGCCTTACGCCTTACGATTCTAAGTTGTTTCTTTTCTTTCTTCATCTCTGACCATTTTGGCTTTTCCCCATTGCTTTGAGCTTTTGAATGCTTATCTTTTATAAAATTAGGTTTCCCTTTGATTTTCTTTTGTTGATTGAATTTTTTAGTGGATTTCTCTAAGTTCTCTTGTTTATTACCGTCCTTAGAACCATTTTTCTTTATTAATTTAGGTTTAATTTTATTCTGACTGTTGGGACCATTTTCAGATTTTAAATTTTTTGCTTTTTTCTGAACTATAATGGGATCGCTTTCGCTACTCTTTCTTTTAACTTTCTGCATATTGAAGGTAAATTCTTAATGTAATTATTACATTTATTGAAGTAAAGCACTAGAGATAACCTCCTTTAAATAGACAAGTTATTTTTTTTGATGCACGTGTATGGATAGTAACACAAATATCACATAATGAATGACAGCTAATAGCACGCACAACACAGTATGTACTCCTTGATGTACTCTGTGATTAATAATCACACTCACACAAATATCTCATTTCGTTCTAGTCTGTTATGAATTTATGATTATATTATATATCTTCTAATTTATTCAGGGGCATCATTTTAAGTATATACATAAAAAAAATATTTTCTAAATTGAGAGACTAGTCTATTAATAATCTTTTAGATGTAACCACTCTAATTAATAACTATCGTTTACCAAGTACAAACTTAAAACTTCTATACGCTTTACTTATAATAACTCGAAGTGCTTGGACTTTGCTACCAGTAAAGCTTAAAGATAAAAAAAAAGCTAATTTAAAAATATTAAGTCTAAAGAAGTTTAGCTCCAGACCCGTAAAAGGAAAAAAAAAACATTGAAAGAAACAAAAATTACACAAATTATGAAATAATAAAAATAAATAAGTTTGCGGATATTTTAACGTAACCATAAATGTCTATAAAGTGTAGTTTTGTTGTACGTACAACTGGCGTCTTAGTAGTTAATAAGTAAATCAAACAGTACTGAATACCCGTTTATAGTATCTAATCAGACAGATAATAGTATAGTGAAAATGGTCGACATAAACAAGTATCTTGAAACTCAATTGGCACTAGCAAAACAAAGATTTCAAATCAAAAACTCCAAAGATGACAAAGTTTCAATAAAAAGTAAAGTGGCAGCAGAGACAATATCAAAGAAGCAGAACAAAAACTTTTCTAAGAAGTATTCGAAAGATGAACATAACATAGAATTTAGTGAACAGTTGCAAATTGATACTAAGATTAATAAGCAGTCTAAAGATATAGAATCGGATGATGATGAAGAATATTTGCCATCAGACTACGATAGTGATGATGACGTTCCACTTTCATGCATTCCATCTACATGTCGAGTAAAAAAGAATTTGAATAAAATAATAGATGATGGTGACCAAAATCAATATAATTCTAGAATAAAATTGTGGAAAGAAAGTCAAGTAGCTGCATGTTCAGGTAAATATAAGGGTGATATTATTTCTGCAGATATTAAATACATTTTGGATGGAAATAAAGAATTTGACAAAAAACATGAGATACAAAATGGTTTGCTCATACCTAATTATATTTGGAAACAATTATATAAGTACCAAAAAGTTGGTGTGAAATGGTTGTGGGAACTGCACCAAATATCATCAGGAGGTCTACTTGGTGACGAAATGGGTTTAGGGAAGACCATTCAAATTATTGCATTTCTGGCGGGTGTATCAAACACTGATATTGGAAAATGGAGTGGACTTGGGCCTACTATAATTGTTGCGCCAGCAACAATAATTTATCAGTGGGTTTCACATTTTCACTTCTGGTACCCACTTTTAAGAATTGCTGTACTGCATCATTCAGGGTCTCATGTTGGAAACCATAGTAAACTTATCAGAGACATGCATCAATCTCATGGTATTTTACTGGTGACTTATGCTGGTATTGGAAAGTATTCTAAGGATTTATTAGCCAGGAAATGGCACTATGTTATTTTAGATGAAGGCCATAAAATTAGAAATCCTAACACACAAGTCAGCAAACTAATAAAAAAGGTAGATACACCTCATAGAATTATTATAACTGGATCACCAATGCAAAATAGTTTACAGGAATTGTGGTCTCTTTTTGATTTCATGAGTCCAGGATTGCTAGGATCATATAACACTTTTATGGAACATTTTGCATATCCCATAACTCAAGGTGGTTATGCTAATGCTACTCAACTTCAAGAGGCAACAGCTTTAGAAATAGCTAAAGCATTAAAAAACATAATAACACCTTATATATTAAGAAGAACAAAAGCTGAAGTTCAAGACCATATTAAACTACCTGAAAAAAATGAACAAGTTTTGTTTTGTGTTTTGAGTCAAGAACAAAGAGATCTCTATATGGGGTACCTTATGAGTACTACTGTTCGTAGTGTTCTAGACAAAGATAATAAGTTTGGTGATCCTCTCAGAGGTAGAATTTTAGTAGCTTTGTCTACTTTAAGAAAAATCTGTAATCACCCAGATTTGTACCTATATGAAGCACAAGAAAATATAGAAGACATAGATGAGGAGAAATTTGGTTATTGGGAAAGATCAGGTAAAATGACTGTTGTAAACTCATTATTGAAAATCTGGCAAAAACAGGGTCATAGAGTTCTAATATTTACTCAATCTCGAGCTATGCTGTGTATATTGGAACAATATTTACAAAGACAGAATTATATGTATTTAAAAATGGATGGCACTGTAAGTGTAAGCCAAAGACAAAATCTAATTAAAAACTTTAATGAAAAGTCTGAATACCTTGTTTTTCTTTCTACCACAAGAGTTGGCGGATTGGGTGTAAATTTAACAGGAGCTGATAGGGTTATTATATATGATCCAGATTGGAATCCAGCTACCGATAATCAAGCAAAGGAGAGAGCCTGGAGAATAGGACAAGAGAGGGATGTTACAGTTTATAGATTACTTTCGGCTGGTACTATAGAAGAAAAAATATATCAAAGGCAAATATTTAAACATTTTTTAAGTAACAAAATATTAGTAGATCCTAACCAAAAAAATGTCTTAACTACAAGCACACTTCAAGGTTTATTTACATTAGAAGAACCAGATGGTAATGGAGATACTGAGACAGCTTCTCTTTTCAAGCACACAAAGATCAGTGTTGCTGTAAAGGACAAAAATAGAAACAGTGTAAGTAGTTCTACATTTAAACTACTAGAAATGAGAAAGAAGGCCAGAGAAATAAGCAAAAGAATATCAAAGGAAGCAGAAAAAATGAAAGTGCCGCAAATAGAAGAAGATCCTCGCGAAAGATACAAGAAACAGCGAGAACTTTTAATGAATCCGCCTGAAATTCAAGAACCAGAAATTAATTTGGTCAATGATTTAGTAACTAATTCTTCATTTGACAAAGTCATATCAGAACTGGAGATAATTGAAATGCATACAAAAAAAGATTATGAGGAAAATTTAATCCAGCAGGTTTTAAACAGTCAAGAAGTTTCAGTACAAGTTGAAGTTTCCAGTGAAACACAAATATTAGATGAACACAGTAAAAATAGTACCATGCTACAGACTATTGAAAATATTACTCTGAAAAACCAAGAAGATGTAGTAGTAAGTGAAGACAACCACCTTTCTGACCTAGTATTAAATCAAGTAAATCACAAAAAGCGAAAACAAAAAAAAAATGAATCAGAATATGAAATAGACAACTTGTTAGCCATTAAGAAAGTAAAGAAAAACAAAATTAAACTAGATAAAGAGAAAGTAAGTAATGATAATGATTATGTTTTAAGTAAACTTTTTGCCAAGGCTGGGGTTAAAAATGCATTGCAACATGATGTTGTAGTCGGATTAGCAGAAAAAGAGAAAAGGCATAGAATGAAAGAGGAAGCTTTAGTAAAAGCAAAATTAGCTGTGAGAGCCCTAAAGTTTTCTTTATAATTGTTGTTATTTTATCATATATTTATGAAAATACTATAATTGCTGCTTTATTATGTTGTCTATAATATAATAAACAATTTTTATGAGTATTTGTTATTTTAATAACCTAAGTAAATTTAATTGAAGATCTGAGTTGGCAACCACAGTACATTCAGCTGAAGAATACTGAAGTGAAGACGTTTTTTTTTCCATATTCGTCCATCTCCTTTTCAGTGATGGAACAAGCAAAGATCCTTAGACCGTACAGCCTAGTCTATGTTTAAACTTCTTCATATTTGATGAAGTGAAGACGATTATTGTAAACATATTATTTTTCTTTTGTAATGGCTTGGCACTATGCATTTGCCAACATCAAAGTTTGGGAAACTATAGGATAATTTTGGGATAGGGATCAGAGAAGTTAAGGAGAGGTATGGAATAAATGTTTGAAGATTATATATTTACAATGATATTGAATACAAAAAACCATGTTTTATATAAAAAATAGGTACCAACATATATTATGATATGACCTGTAATCATAATGTTATAATGTTTTAAATACCATAACATAACATTATGATTACAGCTTAATATTGTTGCTACTCAAATAGACATAGTTATATGTATAGTCCAAATCTGATATAATATTATAAATTATAGATTTATTAACTTGGAATAAACATGACTCGAGTTAACTCGAGTTGAAAAGACAGTATTTTTTGTTTTTCGAACTATTTCAATGTTGTTGGCTGCAGCTGGCCTTTTCAGCTTCATTGAACTATAGAGGCGAGTGAAAATTGCACTTCAAACCAGCGGAAGGAATTATGGAGCGCACATATGGCTCCAGGTCTAATATTCCTATTTGAGTGCTTTTTTTAAATATTTATCGATAACGACCTTCAACTCGAATTAACTCGAATTCCGCACAACTCGAGTTGACACATCTCTACTCTGTGGTGTATTAAAAGTTCTCTAAGTAATCTGTAGTACTAAATGTCAAAGACAGTGTTTTTGCTGTCTATGTCTAACTAAAACGAAATCTGATAGAGGATAAAATATATTTTTGGGAAACAGAATATTAGTGATGTAAACTTACTGGTATAATTATATTATTGTTTGTGTAAAAGCTTTTGATCCTTGTTATTTGGCACGAGATTTACGTTCAGTGATCTAATTTTCCAAATCTTGGCTTGGTACCATACATTAGGTGCATAGCAGACTAAAATCGCTTTGTCGTTATGTCTGGGCGAAGAAAACCGCCACCACCGGGGTTCAACTTCACCCCACGAGAAACATCGCAAGATATGTATGTATACACACAAATAATTGTACCTGCTATGCATGTAGTATTCACCAATACTTTACTACAAATGGAGGGCTGGGGATTTTAGTAACAGGAACGAGTGGCCTCATCCCACCATTTTTCACTGGCGCCAACTTCGCGTGCACCTCCAATTGTGGTTTTACCATTACTGCAAGAGAAACAACCATTTCATCCTCTTTAAAAATCACAAACTGCTGGTTTATTAGTAGTGATTCTCAATGTAATTATCAGGTCATCAATCAGACGGTCCTACATGGAATGAGTTAAAGACTCAAATGGTGTGTTCTGAAAAAAAATATATCTTCATCTTATCACTGTTAACACTCATATTTACACACAACTTTGTATTTTTTTAGTTTGTTTACTTGTCTATTTTTATGGTATGAATAGGGAGAACCAAGAATTATGGGCTTTCTGTCTAATTATCTTCATGGGCAATGCAACCTAATCAACTGGCTGATGACCACAGAAAGTAAATTACAACAAGAATATTTGTGTAAAAATATAAATTGTATTGATTCAGTTTTGGGTTACTATGCATCTTTATGTAAACCTTCCATGAAAGTTAATAATATACCCATGAAAAAATTTCAATGTGTTTGCAGTGCACCGCCTCGTAATTTAGAAGAACGGACTACAATAACAATAGGTGAAAATACATTCACTGTACATGCTGATGATCTGGTGAAGATTGGTGACCTGGGTCGTGGAGCCTATGGAGTTGTGGACAAAATGCATCACAAACCTAGTGACACAATTATGGCAGTCAAGGTATTTTATTCTAAATATAAAAAATTAAAATGGCAAACATTTGTCTCTAAGTGGTAACCACTACCTAAATACATGATAGCACTATGTATATCACATCATATGATGCCTGTGATACTGCTTATGAGTAACAATTTGGGAAGACTGAGATGTCATACCATCTACCATCATATCCTGTTCTACTACTGTGATATTAGACAACAAACCTTAAACTGGTACACAGCTGAAACAGCAAGCTGCTTGGCATCTTAAATAGATCAGTACCTCAGATACCCAAACATATGAGATTTTACAAGTTTTCGTCGGTAAATTTCAATTTTTAATTTAATTTCAATAGTTTTACATGATATTATTAACAAATATATAGTGTTTGAAAAATATTTCTTTAAATTCTGATTATAGATTTAAATTAATTTTATATCTTTCATGTTTAAGTCAAAAATATTCAGAATATAAAAAAAAGGAATAATTATACAAAAATATACATTTATATGACCCCATTATTTATATCATCACATAAGTTTCCATTATTTTGCACATCATACACTTAACATCAATACTAGATAGGGGGTAGACACAGGCATTGTCATTTTCATATATATGCATATTAAAACATCATTATACCTATTTATATAAAGTATGATCTTTAGGAGGTCTATATAACATATCAAACCATGAGAGGAAGAACTTAAACCACACTTGACCTGTCATTTTTTTTATATAAAGCTATTATCCTTGCCTAATATGTAATGTCCATTTAAAATTATATACCTAAAGTGTTTTATTATCTTCTATTTAATTTTTTTTCAGAGAATCACTTTTAACAATCAGTCACTAGAAGTGAAACGTCTGCTAATGGACTTGGATGTATCAATGCGTGCCAGTGCCTGTCCATATACTGTCCATTTCTATGGAGCTATGTTCAGAGAAGGTGACGTTTGGATATGCATGGAAGTCATGGATACTAGTCTTGATAAATTTTACGTAAAAGTGTACAAAAACAATCGAACCATACCAGAGAATATACTGGGAAAAATAACATTCTCTGTAGTCAGTGCTCTCAATTATCTCTATTCACAATTGAGGGTAATACACAGAGATGTTAAACCATCAAATATTCTGATTAACAGACAGGGTGAAGTGAAGATGTGTGACTTTGGAATATCTGGTTACCTTGTGAACTCTATTGCACAAACCATTGATGCAGGTTGTAAACTATATATGGCTCCAGAGAGGATCGATCCATACGGGAATCCGGCGCATTACGATATCCGCAGTGACGTCTGGTCACTTGGTATATCTCTGATTGAACTTGCAACGGGCAAATTTCCTTACCAGTCGTGGCCTACACCATTTGAACATTTAAAACAAGTGGTCACTGACGACCCCCCGAGACTGCCGCCAGGAAAGTTCTCGCCCGAATTTGAAGACTTAATAACTCAGTGCTTACAAAAAAATTATCATAACAGGCCAAATTATACTGTGCTTTTTTCACACAAGTTTTGTGTGGAGCATGGCAACAAGGAGACAGATGTTGCTTCCTTCGTCCAAGAAATACTGAATTTACCTGATGACTCCTAGTAATAGGAAAAATGTGTTTAACTAATACTAAAACCTACTATAAGTATTGTTATTAACCTTTAATTTATACATATGTTTATAAAGTGAAGTATCGAGTTTATATAATATGTAGAGGAAAAAGAGAATGTTAGTTGTGATAAAAATCAATATCACTTGTTCAAAAAGTTATTATTTGTTGTGTAAATATTTTTTAACTGTCATGAGTATATGTTTACTCAATTGTGAATAGAGCTGGCTGAATATTGAAAACTAATACAACAGCCTGGACTTGAAAATAAATATAATAAACATCACAAACTAATTGGTCTTAATAAAAAACATTATTCAACTGTACATTGTATTTATTTAATGTCAAATGTGAATTAGTATATAAATATTTGATGTAATATTTCTTGAAAATAGTCAAGTCCCTGTAAATTGGAACTACAAATTAAAAAGTAAGTACAAAATAGTATATCAGGTACTACTTAAGTACACTGTCACATTTTCTCTTAAACATAATATCATCATTTTGGCTTCGTTACGTTATTAAGTCTATTTAAAATTTTACTAAAAAATAATTGACTAGTGAGTTGTAATCAAAATGGTGAATTCATTCCTAGCTTTGTTCCAAAGTCTAACCTGGCCCGTCTTTGGTTGCGGACGTCGGCTCTGGAAAAGAGAAAATATACAATTATACATTCTGAAACTTAAATCTATATGACGGGTAATTGAATATAAAAACATAATGCCGTTTAAACTCGTAGTTTGTAGTAATGGTAATTCATTTACTCGCACACAATTACAATAGTAACTTTACTATTTTCACATTCTACGTAAATTTATTATATTCATCTATAATCGTATATATATACGATTTTATAAAATGCACATCATTTTAATATATTGCGAAATATTATGCCCGATCATCTTATTAATATTATAAATGTGAAAGTATATTTTTATGGATAGATGTTTGATACTCTTTCACGCAAAAAGTACTGAACGGATTTTGCTGAAACTTTACAGTAATATAGCTTATACATCAGAATAATACAGGCTATAATATCAAGCGGGCGAAGCCGCGGGCACAGCTTGTACATTATAATGCCGATCATTTCAGATACGCGGCTCTAAACAAACTATTTTATAGAATATAAAGTATAAAAACACATAATTGCTACTTATAACATAACTGTACAATCCTACCTCTTAACCTAATCTTGCAAGTAGATTTTGTAAAAAGACGCCTGCTCCCCTGGCTCACCTTTGAGTCACCAAGCAGCTTTGTAAACTGTGTTTCGGTTGAGGGTGAGATTAGGGAGTGAAATTACAGGATAAGAGAAGACATGAAAAAATGTGACTATTCAAAAGTGCTTATATTAAGTTTATTTGAATAAAGATTATTTCATGACATCTTAGTCTTCAGGAATAACTGGTATCACGCATATTGCTAGCAAGCAAGACCTCCATAAGGTCCCCCGTGGAAACCATCGTAAAATACTGGTGAATTCGCCATAATGGGCTACCTGATCTGATTTCGTGGTCATCTCTTTCTTTCGATCTCCACATGTGGCCTGCTAATATGTATATACTGGCGTTAGCGCCATTGCTCCATTATATCTAAAGTATTTATAAATTGTTTTAATGTTTTATTGCCTTATAAAAAATATAAAGAAATATACATACTTGATCTCTTGCCATTTGATGAATTCGTTTAGCACAAAAATAAGCAGCAGAGAGGCGCCGTATCCAATCGCTAGCGGCCAGGGCACGTGGTACTGTAACTCGCACACTTGCCAATTCTCACAGTACCCATATTTGTTACTGAGCATTATCACACTGAAAATACTCTGCAGTAGTATTCTAAAAAATAGATTATTGTTTTATATAAAACGTATTGTTGTATTGATAGGAATCAGTGGAAGAAGAGGACATTTTGCGCCGACCCCAAATAATAGGATAAAGACGAAGCAATGACAATGTATTAATGTTTATGCATGTGTGAAGTGAATACAAAGTTTTGACTCAGGGAGGGAAGGATTATTAACAGTTTTAATTATACTTAAATAAATATCCATTAAAGATAATTTAAGGAAACTTTGAGTGCATAAGTCGTTACGCAATAAACTACTATTTAATTTACCATTTTGAATATCATCAATTTGAGGTACCATCCAAAATCAACTCTGTGATTATAGAAACATTAGCTGAGAAAATAAGTTTATTTTGTAAATATAGTAGTTATTGTAGACGCTCTATAGACATCGGGTCTATAGTGCGGATGAATAAAACAAACAATTAATATTAACGATGGACTACTGATGACGACTCTTATTAATATTATTAGATGCAACTGTAATAGATATTTATTTTAAGTTGTATTCACATAACTATGTATAGGGCAACACTATATCAAGTATGTCAGTCAGTCACTCAATCGTTCATCAGTCTTAAGAAATGTAGACCATGAGTAACACGTGATATATTAGAAAACTAATCTTATTTAATAAAAACTATTATCACAGCAATCACAAATTATCATGATAAAATAACAATCATAACGGTATATGTTTACAATGCCTCTTATAATAAAAAAAAAATATACTTACAAGATAACAACGCTTCCTGACCATACTTTGTTCGTCCAAAAACTTCTTTGCCAAATGGATGATTGTCGATGTACAAATGACAATGATATCACAACTGTAAACAAAAGTTTCTCGTTCAAATTATAAGGAAATATAAATTAACAAAAAAGGGCCGTTCATTACAAAATAAACAAGCCTATCACCGTCATTAGCCAACGTCAGTTGATTTTGATGAATAACTGCGAGCAGAACGTGCGCATTCACTGAGGCCGTAAAGAAATAAAAAAAAAACTTTAAATAACTCACTTAAATTCAAGATAATCAACGCGAGCGCAATATGCTGAGCGAGATAGAACCCATTGTAGAAGTCGTCGTTTTCGTCGACGTCGATTGAACACGCTGGATATTTGCTAGCAGAATGTGCGAAGGCCGTCAAGAAATTAAAAAAAAAAACTTTTAAATACTCACTCAAATGCAACGTAATCAACGCGAGCGTGATATGTTGCGCGAGATAGAATCCATCGTAGAAGTCGTCGCCCCAGCCGTGCCAGCTGCGCTGTGTGAGGTCAATCGTTGGCTCCGGCTCCACATTGACCGGGTATACGATCCAGCACGACGTTGCGTTGGTCACGGTGGCTATTTGCTCGCAGAACGTGCGCAGCGTGAACCCGTACAGCACAAGAATGGATATAGCAGACGGCAGGAACTTGCAGGCGTAACACCAGAACACAAATACTGCCATCTGTCGGTAGAAGATATTTCTTAACTATTGCTGTTGGCTGTAGCTAGCCTTTACAACTTCAAAAGGTTCAAACAACGGCTTAGGCTGTAATTCCTTTTAAATATGGCAGGGGATCGATCTAAGGTGTTGCTAATAAGGTGAGTTTGTTACCTCTTGGCTTTGTTGACGAGAAAATACTGCTCAAATATGATATCTGACTACACTAGATCAATATCAAATTTTACCACAATTTCCTCCTATATATTATCTTTCTATGTCTTCTCTCTATGTAAATAAAACGAAGTCGGGATAATTACTCCTTTTAGAACTCAAGAACGACTGGACCGGTTTTAAAGATTTCTTATAGGCTCCCCAAGTTATTACAAACTGAGATGCAAGCCATGGAGTAGTATCGTAATCCTATTAGATTACGATGACGTTAAATTTACCTACTATGCTAATAAATGTTACGTTTTACGTGTTAGCACTGTTCTTGTGCCCGTAAAACTAAATGAATCTATGTAGTTACAAGTGATTGAAATGTTCTAGAAAATATGGATGCGTATTTTCATATAAATTTATAGTGATTCGGGTTCGGTACCTGCGCCGTCATGTGAAGGTGTGGGCGGGTGGCGGCGCGCTGCATCACCGCCGCGTCCAGCGGAGCGAACGACAGCGTCGCGGACAACAGCGGCACGCACACCGCGCCGCACCACGCCGCGCCGCCCGCACTCACCAGCAGCGGCAGGAACGCGGCCAGAGACCCCACCTACACACACGAGCGTACTACAGCGGCAGGAACGCGGCCAGAGACCCCACCTACACACACGAGCGTACTACAGCGGCAGGAACAGAGACCCCACCTACACACACGAGCGTACTACAGCAGGACGGCCCACCTACACACACGAGCGTACTACAGCGGCAGGAACGCGGCCAGAGACCCCACCTACACACACGAGCGTACTACAGCGGCAGGAACGCGGCCAGAGACCCCACCTACACACAGGAGCGTACTACAACGTCAGGAACGCGGCCAGAGACCCCACCTACACACACGAGCGTACTACAGCGGCAGGAACGCGGCCAGAGACCCCACCTACACACACGAGCGTACTACAGCGGCAGGAACGCGGCAGAGACCCCACCTACACACACGAGCGTACTACAGCGGCAGGAACGCGGCCAGAGAACGCACCTACACACACGAGCGTACTACAGCGGCAGGAACGCGGCCAGAGACCCCACCTACACACACGAGCGTACTACAACGTCAGGAACGCGGCCAGAGACCCCACCTACACACACGAGCGTACTACAGCGGCAGGAACGCGGCTAGAGACCCCACCTACACACACGAGCGTACTACAGCGGCACGCACATCACTCCGCATTCCAACAAATTGTGCACATGCTAAACTTTAATCTTATGACATCTCCTTAACATCTTTATGGCAAATAGAGGTTTATGTCGGCATGTGAGAACTTCATCGAGGCAATACTAGTTCCTCAAAGATAACAGTTCCATACCAGAAATATATATTACCTGGAGTAGAGCAATGAAGCAGGAGCTGCAAAGCCAGAACTGTGTGCTGTTCCATAGACACATCATAAAGTGGCGTGACATCGTGATCAGCGTGAACAGAGACACGTCGGCGTCACGCGTCATCTGTACATATAATAAACAATTAGTAAATAAAACCAACAAAAATATAAGACGAAATAAGCTTTTATGTAAGTTTTTAAGTATATAGTCTTTTGAAAATAGGCTAGTTTTTGTTTAATTTCGCTATTATTACCATGAATGAGCCTACAAATATTCTGTGCAGAAACTTACCAGTAGCGGTTATCAGGTTTCCACACTGAGAATTTGTGGTCTTAAACAATGCTAATGGTAGCGTAATTAAACAAAATATGAATTCATTTAGTAATATAATAGTCATTACCGCGTCCTCTCTGTTAAAATGAAAATATTATATCTATTTTCAAAGTCAAAACAATTTATTAATAGGGTATCGTTTGTAAATATAAATAAAATTATTTAAAAGAGCAACACGCAAGTTTCTTGCTCGTTCTTCTTGCGATGAGACAGCTTTCCGAATGAGCGGTAGATTAAAAAAATGTAATGACTATTCAAAAGTGCTTCAATGTAAGTTTATTTGAATAAATGATTTTCTATTCTAATAATAAACTCTAACATTACAGATAAACTATCGCTAGCGCACAAAGTAATCAAGGACTTGATACAAATTGCAAGTTGGACACTTATTACCTTTTTACTGCAGTAGTTTGTAAAAGGTTGGTTTTGCCATTTGTTCTGTAACTTCAGGTGCAGCGTGCAAATTATTATTATGTAAATTAATTTATTTAAATATAATTAATTGTATTACTACATCCTGTCGCAGTTAGAAATGTTTATGAAGAGATTCAGTATATTGTTTTAAGTGACAGTCAGTTAGTTTGCCATTATGACTAATTGTAAACTAGCTGATTGGTGATGGTGACAGTATTACATATATTTATTATGTCACAAATAGTTTACTGCATGGTATGCATATTAATTAAAATTTAATTAGATATGAAATTGGTTTTTATTAATTATTATCATTATTAATAATCATAACTTATTTCCAATAAACACAACAAGCTTTTTTTTATACTATTAAAAATCATTCTTCCGTACTAGTTGAATAACTGTTACAGGCAAGGTAACAGTTATTCAACTAGTACGGAACCACCATAGAATAGAATAGAATAGAATAAAGACGTCACTTACCGATAAAGAGCAAGGTATGGAGTTGAGAGAGCGCGCCAAATCAATGGGCCCTATAAATTTCTCAGGGACTTGATATGGCGGCATCTTTTGGCACAACACTGGATACAGTGGTTCAACTGCTATGCTGAAACACGTTCATTCATTCATTCATAATTTAAGAGCTACGCTCTTGTCGTACGTAATAAGTAAAAATGAAATGAATCTTATATACAGGTGTTTGTTACAATAGGCTATAAAATAAATGTAATGTTTAAATAGCAAACAGTAAAAAGGATAAGTAACTGGCCTCCTAGATAGGTTAATCTATAACCTGTGATTAGGATTGTCAGCCCCAGTTCTCTTGGTAAAAATGTTTCATATATATATATATATATATATATATATATATATATATATTAACTAGCTGCGCTCGCGGTTTCGCCCGCTTTAAATTTCAATGTAAAATATAGCCTATGTGTTATTCTGATGCATAAGCTATATTACTGTAAAGTTACATCAAAATCCGTTCAGTAGTTTTTGCGTGAAAGAGTAACAAACATCCATGCTTACTTTCGCATTTATAATATTAATTAAATCTACCTAATTTAACATAGGTTTTAATTTCTAATGAGTATCGTTACATACATCATCAATTTAAAGTTAAGTTGCGTCATATAATATTTCACCCTATCATTCCCCTTCAAAATATGACCTATGTCATATTTTGAAGGAATTGTAAAGTCATGGGTAGAAATTAGTATAAAATAAATAATACCTGGCATCCGCCTGCATAAATATTTCCATATTTAAACAGTTGGCAGCTGATCCCATGACGCAGACCACTTCGCCGTAATCCTGTTATTATAATAAAATATAATGTAAATAAAGTATGCTTACAAATAACATATATGCATGTTCAAAGTAATTAAAAACAACTTTCTTATGAACAGCAACGCACGGGCGTCATATGATAAGTCCGTAGTGCTGTTCAGGTATTTGGGCGACAGTTACCACTGGTGGTAATACTATAAGTCCATTACAAGTATACACAATTATGTAAACAATATGTGAATAGTTGAAATTTGGCCACCAACATGCTGCCCACCTTCATGAAGAAGGACTACTGTCCAAAAGGCCACCCCCTTGGCCCCTTGGCCTTTGTATCGGCGCTACCTTGGCAGATTGTGATATAATTTGATGGGTATGATTGTTTGTATCGGTATGGGTGTATTCTATGTATATTATTTATGCATTAACAAAACATATGTATCTAAGTAACTATATATCTTTCAATTGTCTTGTATTCATAACATAAGCTCTGCTTAACTTAGGACTCGATAGCGCCTGTTAATTGTTCAGGGATATTTGTATATTATCATGTATCTACAAAAAAATCTAAGTATAGGTATCAACGGTGTATGTATGACGGTACAAGTACATACTTGCATGATCTGCACCATGAGCTGCACGGAGCTGGCCGTGCAGTCGGTGAATAGTGACACCAGCAGAGGCACGTTGTCCACTTGTTCGATGTGGGGTCGAATGTTCTCGATGCCGCGCGGCAACTTTGCCTGGACAATTGATAAATTTTAGCGTCATGGCCCGCCTCCACACTGCAAAATCTTCGATTTTTTCGGTTTTTCTGTACTATAATATGTATCTATAAACGATATTGAAACTTTCAAAGAGCTTATTCCTTCTTAAAAAGCGGTAAGGCACTTGCAATTTGACGGCCGGTCGGTACGGTACGGTCTAGTGGTTTAGCACACATTATTACTTCCGATAGTTGTAGGTTCGATTTCTCCCACGGAACAAACTTTTATATTTCGGAGTATAATTGTTTGTATCGGTATATACGAAAAAAATATATATATCTTTGTATTTGCATCAGTTATCTACTACCCATAACACAAGCTTTAGCTACCTTAATTTGGGTCTAGATGGCGCTGTATGAATTGTCCTGTGATCTTTATTATTATTATTATAATTCGCCTGCAGTTGCGGGTACTCTTGGGACGCAGTAATCACTTACCATACTAGGTAAAAATAAACATAAATAATAATAGTAATTTTTCAAAAATAAACACATATACCAGTGTATGTATGCATATAAAAAAATATATTACCCAAATTATCACTATCAGACAGGTTGTTTGCAATTCTAATAAAAAAAAACTTACTCTATTGCTCATATCGAAGTTGACGGGTGCTGAGTGGTCGGTGGAGTCTGTGAGACAGGAGAGTGAGCGGCACGCGTCCACCGGCGACTCCGCACCCTCGTCGTCGTCCAGCAACGAGTCAGAGGACGGGTGACTGGTTGGTATACTGCCGCGCTGAAGCAACCGCACATAACGATGTTAATGATGTTCAAATTCAAAATATCTTTTTTTTTTCTTTTTGTGGCTCGGCACGTTGGTGCATTTGCCAAAAACAAAATTAAGGAAACTTGTTTACGAATTAAATATATTTAGGATACGACATTATTCATGTAGGCCTATTATAAACTCTTACGATATGTCAAATTTACCGTCAGTTCGGAATTATTTCGAGATGAGAACTGACAAGAAAAGCTTTTTAAAAGTCAAACCACATCAAACTACGCTGTTTCAAGGTTATTTAATCATATTACAAACTACATAAACAAATAGTTGACATAACATTGAAACAGCGCAGTGTGATGTGATTTGACTTTCAAAAATTATTGCTTTTAGAATTTAGTATTGCTCAAAATTAATACGTTCATTGTAAGTTGGAATAATTATTAAATTTTTAATGTTATCACTCATTAATAAAGCAAATAGAAGTTATTTAAAATATCAGTTCAAAGTTACGTCGATCATTGATCCCGACCTGTCAGAAACGCAAAATCTGAGCGACTGGACTGCAGGTATAGCCCTGTATATAATGCAAAAACTTAAAACAATACAGTTTGTGAAAATATATAAAGATTATCTCTATACCTTGAGGCCGCTGTGCGTAGTTATGGAATGGCGGGCCTTTTTGATTTCGTTGTCAAACTTGACGGTGGTGTGTTCCAGATTGATGGCGCCGGGCGCCGACAACGACAACGACTTGCTCGTAGTCATGTTGTTGCTAACATTACATATAAAACATTATAACAATATAACAACACTTATTTTTAAACTTACACGTTTAGTGTACATTATTAACATAGTTAAATGGGTTTTAACATTAATTTTATGGTAAATATGGGTATTAGTGCAACCTAGTCGAAAATTATAATAAAATAAGAATAAATTAGTAAGAATTGTAATGTCTAAAACTACTATATTATTATTATATATCTATAAATATGTGTGTAAATAAAATAGTAGTAAACCTGGAACTTAATATATTTAATAAAAAATAAACAAAAAGAAAAAAAGCCTAGTCATAACGTAGAGAGGTAAATACCTCTATTTATCATAAAATTATTCGTGTCACAATCCGTTTAACTATATTAATAATATAACAACAGTCACAAGCTCTCAAAGTATGTCAGTAGCACATTAGAGTGTAGTTTTTTTTAATAGAGTAGTAATATACATCGTATTTTTATTATTCTAATTCCAAACGATATTATTTAGGAAATATTAAATGAATGATCTTATGAATCCAAATTGCTTGTGTATATGTTGTGTTTGATACGAACGGCGATTAACTATTAATAATATAAATATGTTTAGGTCTTATTCCAAAACCAACTCTTTTTTTAATAAAATTTAAATAATTATTTCTATATAACTATTCATACGTATTAAAACTGTAATGTATAAAAACTATTATGGAGAACTTTTTGAACTTAATAGAACCATAAACAATGTTTGTTAGAATTTTTGCCTACTTGTCTGTGCATTTATTCGGGCTTATCCTAGAAACGACTTAACCGATTTGAGTGCGGTTTGCACCTATGTATTGCGGTAAACTTCAATTAAAATTGAGGGCTTGCTTTATTCCAATCAATTTATAAAATAATTAGTTATAAACTATTGCTGTTCCAAATACTATGGCACGCGGGTACGAATTCACGGGAACGTACTGCATGCTAACTGTAATTACTACTCTATTGTTTAAGTATATATCAAATAATGATATTATAATTATTAAAAGTCAATTATAATTTAATATATAATAGTGTGTTTGAGTTTTGTTTGTGTACAATAAATAAAGAAAGGACAAACTCAGTTTTAAAAATCGAATTATGTACCTCAAATATATTTCATGTACACACTTGTAATATTATTCAATCGATCATATTAAATTAATATATGTAATTCGAGATACACAATCGATTTTATAAAACAACAACATTTATATGAAGAACTGTTGATAACTAAAAATAATATCTAAAGTTTATATATGAAACTGTAAGATACTAAAAATATTTTACATTTTCATTACTAAATAATCAAGTCTGTCGAAGTACTAAGTGTCACTCTAACAATGTACTTTAATTTATAAAAGAACCAAGTCAAGTTATAAAATTAGTGAATACACTTGATAGAAAAGAAATCGAGCCATCGATAATAAATTATTTATATTAATTTTCATAATAATACCAAATCAATTAACTAAATGTTTTTTTTTTGTTATACACGAAAAGTGTTATTAGGCGAAACGCGAAGCGCGGAGCGATCTTAACATGTGACCTGGTGTGTAAACAACATACCGGTAACAAACCTAGATATACGTTTTAAACAATGATCAAATACTCATGTGATTTCATTTCTTTGCTACCAAGTGTAGTAACGTGCACGGTTTGTTTAACAAAAGCAGCCAACCACCTAAATCTAAAAACCTGAGCGTATGCACCTAACTGTAGTTTAAACTCTTAAGTTACATGCAGGTCTAATTTGAAAAATTCCAGTGTTACTACACTACAAAAAATAACCAGATATCTCCATTATTTTACACATTACATTGGTACGAATTAGTTCTAAATAAAGATATAAAAAAACTTTATTTACTACAACATAAGTGTTTGGGCGATTTTCAGATAAAACCTGGCAACACAATAACTGATGTGATACAGTGATTAGAGCTCATGAAAACTCTTGCTATATATAAAGCAAAACTATACCATATATTTTGTGTAATTGATCCATTTGTGATACTCCGCTCGATACAGCATGATGCGAGTGACAGAAATATAAATTAGGTACAAATCTTAGCTAGGTAGGTAAGTTATAGCTGGCAAGCACAATTCTTGAATTACTAGTTAATGAACTTTACGAAAATGAAACATTATATATACGAACGAAATATTAGCACAATGTAAACAAACAACAACAAATATGAATATTTTACTCTTGAATACAATAGAAATGCTATTGTAATTTCTAGTAAAATGTTTCAAAATAACGCACACCATGCTATAACGGGTGTAGTATATAACATATACATAAATTCTATATACCATACCTCAGTTTATGCTGTTAGCAATATGCAAGTGATGTGCCACAATCATAACACTTCAAGACGACACAGCAGTGAAACTAAAGACAATTACAACAAAAAAATGTTTTCAAACCGTGCATTGCAAATCAGAAATATACCAGCGTCAATCTCGAGTACATTAATGTAATTCACATTAAAATATTCTAATTAAAACAAAATTAATAGATAAAAACAAGAAATATATTAAATAGGCGCATAGTAATGCAATAACAGAACTATGGATTTCGTCGAATCATGCACAAACTCTTGACTGAATATATCTCCGTTTGCCGAATTAGTTGGACGGATCTTAACGTTTTAAGCGACAGAGTGATAGGAACAAACCTATAGTAAAAGCCGAGCGTAGGCGCGTCATATTTATGGATGTTTCTAGTGAGTTGCGAGGCCATGTTAGCGCGCTCCTTGCCGGCATTCGGAAGGGTTTGCGACGACAGCGGCGAACCACTCTTGCTGTCGACAACACGGGGCTTCAGTGGCGGTCGACAAGTGGTCACGCAATAAGAGAAAGACAGACAGAGAGAGAGACCTAATACGGCGCCATCATTACTTAATTTATTATATTATTTTGTTTACTTCCGCTAGAATTAGAATGTGTGACCACAAATATTCAGCGCGGAAACTTAATTACCTTTACGACCTTCCCTAATGGTGATCAAATTTCGTTACCGAGTCTACACCGATATTGCAATAGGTGTTTCGCCTCTGAATGAGGCATCATTATATAATGAATAGAGTTCGCGAGTTGAGCTTAGAAGGATAATGTTAACTTTGTTTGGTTGCCAAACACTTTCATGTACAGAGTACCAGTACTAGTGATTAATTACATAGAATTATTTTAAAATATTGATAATAATCAATCATCAATCAATGTTTATTCTGCTTGCTTTATTATACTATTGATAAAAAAATATAGACAACAACCACAAAGTATCATTGACAGTGCAGTGCCGTACCATAAGACAAGCACTGCTTCATTTGGAACTAGATGGCGCTGTGTAAATCGTCCGGAAATATTATTATTATTATAATGAATTGTAAAAAAATCTACTACACTATTAAGTACCAAACATTGAATAAATGATTTTCGAGAATCTAAATTTCAAAATTTTTATAATTATCATTGGGACCACTGTCAACTGCCACATCAGCCATCAGCTCAAACCTCGTTAGTTACAACTGACGATAAATATTTACTTCGATGAGTACCGAACCAATGTCAAACCATAGTCTGAATGGCGGCCCTTATTGTTGTTTAGACTTAAACCCTAAGAAGTGGAAAGAGATAGTATAACCACTAATCGAAATTACATATATATATAACTCAAACGCAATTATGAGTACAATTCAGTACTTGTTGAATAAAAACTTAAATATATATATTTTTCCTTTGTGTCACTTAAAATTACTTATTTTAAACGGGTACTAATACCTTCCCGCTTTTAAACGGCAATGTGCGGAACGAGTTCTATTACCTGCCCCGTTTATAAGTGGCAATCCTCGGAACGAGTAGGTACAAATACCTGCCCCGCTCATAATGTGTTATCTATATAAATGTTAAACACAAAGTTTAAAAATAAATATCTTGAAATTCGTGTGACTTTTTTTTAGTTACGCTTTAAATTGAAACTCTCTTTTAGAGATAAGTCCACCTTTGCTCACATGTTTGTATAACCATCTTTTTATTTTATAGTGTTACAAGTGAAATAAAGTATACTTATAAATGAGTAGTTAATAGATCATAACTAATAATACTGTCTATTAACAATTTGCGTTTAAGTTATATAACTAACATATAAACTATATAACACTGAGAAGTTAAACACACCGAATTACCAATAAATATTTAAATTAAAACAACGAGATTCTGTGTGGGTAACGTGACGGTGGTGTGTGCGTATTTATATGTATGTCACTCAATTAGTTACCAATGATTCATGACTTGTTAATTGTACCAATTGTTAAATTTATTAATTTTCATCGAGCACTTCTTACTTATGTCAAACTTTTTAACAATATAATATTTGTTATAGAGTTTGACACCTGTCAAAATTTGAAAATAGAAATATGTGTACCAAATAATTCTACTAATTTATGAACTGTAATAAGGTAAATTCAACTCGTATGAGACCCACTGTCTTCTATCTCGTTTATGCTCTAATTGAGGTAGCATGAACAACCACAGCGTTACGAGGGAAGGAGATTGTTAGTAATGTGGACTAATAACCTCATTGCTACCATTGTATCATGTCAGGTTGACCTCCGTGTAGTTCCCCCTGGAACCCATCGTGATAAATTCATGGTGAACTTACCACGATGGGCTAACTGACCTGACCTCATACTCATCTTATCATCTTCCACTGGTGCCCTGCCAGCGTAGTCCGTTAGCGCAGGAGGGTGTACCATTCTATTATCATCCATAAGAAATCACAAGATGAATTCAAATTTAAATTGAATTTTAATATATCTTTAACACTGTTTATTGGTCTCAATTATAAATTATCCTTTTAAATAATACTTCTTTAGGTGCGACAGTAGCTAAGATCAATCTATCTAATATATCGAGTAAAGATCAATCTATCTAATATATCGAGAATGTATTATAAAAAACCAATTAAAATGATGTGGATACCAAACTTAATGAGTAATCACCTGGCATTCTCGCCGCTCATGAGCGATATATGACAATTCCAGCCGGACTCTAAGCCCATCTTCTCGCTAAACACCCGCGAGCGTAGTTCATTTTCTTTACTGAAGTGCACAAATCTAATGCATGCGCGCTCCAGTCGTTCAATTAGCTCTACCATATCGCTTTGCGCCTGGTACTGCATTGTTACCATTCCTATAAATACCTGAAAGATGTATGATTGTAAGTTTTCCATATCACAGAGACCAATAAACAATTTAATGGTAATTCCTATACATATATTAATACAGGTTCATCTAGTAAATAAATCAATTTAGCAATAATACATCATTAAATATATGTTTCTCAAAATTTAGTTAGACTACAATTTGTACATACGAATTGTAGTCTAACTAAATTTTGAGAGTTTAAGTAAAAAGAGCTGTCCCATATTTTAAGACAAACTGGCGACAACTATTGCGACAGACAATAGGTATGTAATTATGACACTTATATGTAATTTTAAAAAGTAATTATAGATTCTAAAATTACATATAAGTGTCATGGAACTAAAGATTGTTATTTACAGGGTCTTTTTACATTTAGTATAATTTTTTGCCGACTGTACAATTAAAAAAAATAAACAAACAAGCGACCTACTTGGTTACACTGCATGTCAAAGTACCCTTCGGTGTTATTGACTTCTTCATCGGTCACTTCATTGAAAAGTAATGAATCTGTAATATATAGGACATTACTTTGTAGTAGCAATAAAATTAAACAAATATAAGATATAAGTGCTATCTACGCCCAAATAAAGAATTACGATACGGTTGGCAACACTATCGGAGTCAACACTCTATGACTCTGTGTAGCTCTCTATTGTCCTGTGTGATCTGTGACTTTAAACTAGTTAAATACTATGTACGTGTAAACTTTATACTTTTCTTTTTACAATAAAATAACTAAACACTACCATCGTTTCATTGTAAATGATCGTACAGGTCAGGAGCAAGCTGTCTTTGTATATAAAATTATATATGAATTTTTAAGCATTTTTCTTTTTATGTAACTGGAATAGAAATCAAGTCGATGGTCCACCTGTATGCGATAACCGTCGCCTACAAACATAAATAGAACTACGGACATCACGTTATCACGTGATACCCGCGATATCACTCATGTGTTGCCATTTCACAGAACTAAGATATCTTGCCACGTATCCTGTGATTACACTGCCTTATCTCCAGCTATCAACGAAATGATGGATGGATTATGTGAAAGATGATAAGAATAAAAGGAGAGTATGCTCAGATATGACGGCCGATAGAGATCAGTGGATGGGAACGAAATACTGTGCCGATCCCAAATAATGGGATACAGGCAAGGCAATGATGATCTCCAGCTATCAACTGAAACACATCTTATAAAATCTACACAGCTGTCTGATGCTACTGCATGTTAAATGAATAGTGGTTTGGTAGTAGTTTACGTTATTTGAATTGTTGTAAATGCAATGCTGTTGTTCTTCAATGGTAAGGTTAAAACTAATAATTACAAAAGATAACTGTGTAGAAAATTTCCTTTACACTGGGGTCGCAAAAATATAAGTTACAAAGTGACTTGCAGAATAAAAAAAAAGGTTAGATACCTCTCTCTACTCTGTACTCTCTCTGGACGTACTACTGGAAGTACTAATTACAATCAGATACGTGGCACTGATGGAGGATGATAGAATGAGAATAAATTCAGGTCAGTTATTGGTTATGATTTCGAGGGAGTCTGCGTGGGGTTGAGCTTGTGTAATATTAATAATATTCACACTCACTAATTAGTTAATAATGGTATGCCAAAATAACATGGAACGAAGCATTCTAAACATTAAACTTAGAGACAAAATCAAACTCACTAATATAAGAGAAAAAACCAAACTGACAGATGCAGTCAAAACCATTAAGAAACTTAAATGGAAGTGGACAGGACATGCAATAAGAAGTAATAAAGAGAAATGGACTAAGGATGTTATAGATTGGTATCCAAGAGATGATATAAGGGCAATGGCGGAATCAACATGGAAAAGGAAGGCATTGGACAGGGGACCCTGGAGTCTTTTGGAGGAGGCACAATGTGCTTTGTTAATTACTAACAACACTCCCCACCCCCCTCCTCCCATGCTTCCGTATTAAAGATATTCAGTTTCTCTAGTTTCAGCTTGGTACACCTTTAGTCTAGTATATGAGGTGCATTTAACATACCGGTGGAATGAAAGTGCAGGGCTGGTGCATCCGCCCACTGCTGCGAGAGTGGCGCGTACAGTTGACGGGTGTCCACAGGCAGTTCTAGGTACATACGCGCCAATGAAGGTGATATACTGCGCGTCAGTGGCCTGATATAAATATAATAAAAATGTTGTTATGTTCATATGTGCATATAATCAATATTAACTGTAGCGTATTTTTTTTTTTATAAAATTACAATTCAATGAACTGACTTGTAGGCGAAGGCAGTGCAGTAGGCTGTGAGTGAATTCCTCTGGTAGAAATCGATGATCTTCTTACGATCGGACGGCGAGATGGGTGTGAGATCACGTCCGTTCCAGTAGTCCACACAAGAGTCCAAGACTATGTCTGCAGTACCCTGTTATATATGTGCATAATGTGTAAGGTTTTTAACTACATTCTAATTAGGAATCTATTGACGCTAGTCTCTAAAGTATTTTATAAGGTTAAAATATTTAATTTGAACAAATTGCTACTTATACAATCATTGGAATTCATTAGTATGCTTGTTTGTATTGGTCTGCTTGTTTTCTATGATTAGAAAAAAAAAATCTGTCAATTGTTTAGTACACAGTAGAAGTTCTTCTTAAAACACACTTGACGCGGGCTACTATTTACAATCTCTACCTCTACAAGTCGGGGAAAGTAGAATGTTAGTAATATCAGGTTGACCTCTACGCAGTCCACCTGGAAACTATCGTAATAAATTCCTGGTGAATACTAACTGACCTGGCCTCATGCTTATCTTGTCATCCTCCATTGGTGCCCTACCAGTCTAATCCGTCACCGCAAGGAGGAGGCCATTCTATTATCATTCATAAAAAAACATCTCTCCTAGTCTATGGTAAAGTTCAACTCTTATGTAGTGATGTAATCTAACTTATCTGGAATTAAAAATGTTGCATTATTGATCGATATAAATACCTGCGACAGCATCTGTAGCTGGTGGCGTGCGTCCTGCACTAGTACAGCCAACATATGCGGTAGCGGCACCTTCACACGCGTACTCAATTGTAGCGAGCGTACGAACCGCGTCTCGCGCCGGATCGTCTCCGCTTGCTGAGAAATATTATAGAATAGAATAGAAAATTTTAATAAATAGAGATGTCTTATGTTTATAAATTAATAATTATTAACAAAAAGAACAAGACATCTATAAGGATCAATTTACGAGAAGATTCTCTAACAGCGACGGGACTTTTACCATATCTGTTCATACTTTTCAACTGATTGCAAGACAAACCTTGGATAAAACTATCTGGGCTCCCTTTTTTTTTTTGCTCAGTTCGTAACTTTAAATAAGTAATATACTAAATTATTTAAAAGAGCAAAACGCAAGTTTCTTGCTTGTTCTTGTGATGAGCACTCTCACGATGAGCTTAAAAAATAACTATGTCTACTCAAAAGTGCTTAAATATAAGTTAATTTAAATAAACAATTTTCTATGTATTTTGCAATTGAACAAATAAATAATATAAATATTACCAGTCTTCTAAATATCGGCAGACACTCTTGTACAGTGTAGTTGTCAGCGACAGCGTCAGTGAATCCAATCTGCTTAGCCAGCTCGCAGAGGCATCGTCGATTTGTCACTGGCACCAAGTCTTCACTATAATGACATATACACCTTAAGTATCATAATTTACTTTATATATATTCTGTATTTAACAGATAATAAAATAATTAATTTATAGACAATGAGAGCAAAGGTGGATTTATCCCTAGAAGAGATCTCTTCCAGTCAGCCCAAACCAGTCGCACGGGTAGTAATGAGAGGGTAATAATTGGCGGAGAAAATAAATACAAAGTCAAAAACTACCAATTAAGAATTGTAAAATCTAAAACAAAAGTAATATACATACACATAAATATAAAATAAATACTTAACATACACAAACTTTCATAATATTCGTGTCTATTAAAAACGCGAGTATAATAATATAAGAAAGATAATAAATAACCTGTGCAGTGCCTCCGCGGTGAGATGCGCGCAGAAGTGGGCGTAGGTGTGCCTGGGTGCGGGCGCGCACGTGTTGAGCAGCGCCGCCAGCCCGAGCGGCTTCAGCCGCGCCAGGTGCTGCCGCCAGCGCTGGTCGTCGAACTCCACGCAGAACGGCGCGTTCTGGTCGTGCGTCAGGTCCAGCACCTGCCATCAGGGACACCAACTTCTTAGGGACCATCCATTAATCACGTGAGAACGTTGAGAGGGGGGGGGGGAGGGGTTTGACAAAAATCACGAAATATGTCAAGGGGTGAGGGGGCGTCTAGTAGACTAGAATAGAAAATCATTTATTCAAATAAACTTAATTTCAACATTTTTGAATAGTCAACATTTTTTTAAATCTACCGCTTATTCGGAAAGCTGTCTCATCACAAGAAGAATAAGCAAGAAACTTGTGTGTTGCTCTTTTAAACAATCCTTGTAAGTTCACATTTTACAAGTCGAAACGTGTGAATACAAACTACCAACCAGCACTAATTTATTTAGGCTCAAATATAAAAACACAATAAGATTAAAACAGTCGTAGTGATAAGAGCAGACCAGTCACTACAAGCAGCACTCGTTCACGAGTATGATGGATGAGCCAGCCATCATTGCGCTCGACCATATTTTAGGGAGCCCAATGACCCGGCCCACCACGCCGCCACATGTCTGAACATTTTAGTGAGCATGACTACTCATTCCACTCGACCACGTCACAGCTACAAAGTAAGTAAAGTAAGACATCACGTGTATTTATTTTATGCCAATCAAAAATCTGCAACCATTTTGTCTAGACATTTTTAACATGGTCCTTAATTTCAGAATAAAATAAGATTATACTTTATACCTGTATTTAAAAATATTCTAAAAATTTTTAGATTTTTTGTAGATACTAAAAATACACATGATGTTGGGTGGCGGTGGGGTGTAGGGGATAGTTAGGGGGGGGGTTTAAAAATGCTTAAAAAAAGATCACGTGATTAATGGATAGCCCCTTATCATTCCATCGAGTTAAAAAAAGGTATGACTACTGGGCCCAGAGAGCAACTTCTCAGTATACTAATGTTTTTTAAATCTATGGAGATAAAAAAACAATAATTACGACTTATTTCTTTTAAAATCTATGGATTGCTGAGAAGTTTATGCTTAGCATGTCATCAATTAAAAAAAAAATATGAGTACTGGAACGAGAGTGCAACTTCTTAGTATAATAATACTTATGTTTTTTAATCTATAGAGCTATAAAAAATATATTCCGTTTGACTACTAAAACGTGCCTAATTATAAGTTTATTTGAATAAAAAAAAAAATTTTATAATCAGGTGTTTTTATTGTTTTTGCTCTTTAATAATTACTAGCTATCCCGCGCAACATTATTTTTACTTTGACATTTATCATTAAATTTACATAAATTATATATTAATATAATGATGATAAATTTAGGTATACAGTAAATAAATGTTGTAAATTATGAATTGAATAGACAAATTACCTCAACAATAGTAGATGGATCTGAAGGTTGTTTGCTCTCCGCTGGCTGTTCCAGCGTCGTCTGACTCTGACGACCCATTGAACCGACTAAACTTGTTTTGCTTGAATTGTGTGAGGAGGGACTCGAATTACGAAGAAAAAATACTTTCTCCGCTGTCGGATTTGGCCAAGACAATATGCCTTTTTTGTCAACGCAGCAAAGAGCCTATAAATTAATGTATTATTATATGGTATTAAAAGTGTAAGAGTACCAACAGTATCCTAGACAACATTGGAGGCAGACTGGACTGTTTATACGTGAACCATCACTGATCACAGACTGATTAGACACAATCCAAGCAGAACTTGTATTACGGGTACTAGATAACTGATAGATATACTTAAATACATTTTATTTGTAAATGTAGAAAACACTCAGATCAATATAAACATTTGCATAATTAATACAAATATTTATTTATAATCAAACCCACTACATAGGTATTAAGACGATGTGCTAAACTGCTAGACCAGCGAGGTCATCCATATGTGTGTGGTATTAATAATATTGTAAACATGTACAATATTTATTTGATAAGAATACCAGGTGAGTAACTTGTCAGTTCTTCTCATCTCGAAATCATTCCGAACTGACGCTAGATTTGACATATCATAGGAGTCTGTAATAAACCTACATGAATAAAGATATTTTAAATTAGAATTTGAACATGAGTGTATTAATGATTAGGAATCAAATAATTAGAGTAATCAAATTATTACCGATAACGATCCTAACACGTGTACAATGTTAGCAGTTCTTGACACCATATCTTCTTTACCAGCAAGAATATTTACAAAAGTCTTCCCTAAGGATTTGAGGCTCTCCGGCTTCAGATTGGACTCGCTGAGTGCCTGAATAAGCGGGTCGCTGGCGTCCTCCGATATCGAACAGGACTTTGGACGGATATATTTCTGACGTGTTTCGGAGAGAAGTTTAAATCTGTTGATAAAATCATCAGTCATTAATTTTTCTAAAATGGAGTGGTTTGGTAAGTAGAAACAGTATAAGAAATATTGAAGGAGAAATACTATTCATGGTGGTATAATGTTAAAATATTTTTGCAAATATAGGCTAATTTTGGTCAGCAAATTGATAAAAAAAAACTAACGACAAATTATTAATAAAATATATTTCAATAATTTTACCATAAGTATATCGCGTATCTATAGTATAGAACAGAACAGGATCAGAACAACCTGCAGCTAAATCATACGCGAGTCTAAGGAATATTTATGGTTCTCTATAAATGTACCCGACTTCCCTTTTCATACTTTACATTTTTTATGATTATTAAAGAATAGAATAGAATTGCAACGACATATTACGATTGCAACGATACTCTGGAGGAAACAATTTGTTTGTGTTGTAAATGTAAAGTAAAAAGTTTTAAATACGTATTTAATTGCGGCTCGCGAAAAATTTAAATTAGAAAAATATTTCGAATTATTAAGGACCTCGGCCACCCCTGGTATAGTTAGAATATAACAATATAATAATTAGATTAAATTTAATCTTCATATTATCTGATTTAATCATGTAGCTAGCAAATAAACATATAATTGGTGTATAGTGCACAAGAATTAATTACCTAGCCATACCGTAGCAGTTGAGAGTGACCCAAGCAATAGGGAAGATGATTTGTAGCAGTGGCAATGAAGCGGCTATGGTCTGCAGGAAATAGATTTCGGTCCAGTGGGTGACACCCGGCAAGTGGTACACGTGACGTACGAAGCTAGCCACCACCACCATGGATATCACCAGTGGTAGTACTATCCCTTCCATTATTTTTACTGTACACTGCAATAATAAACACATATAAATTGTAAAAAGTCAATGTATAATCTATTGTATTAGTGCTCTCCACACGCTCAACGGCTGGACCGTTCCACTGCAATAATAATCAGACATAGATAATAAAACATCATTGTATGTGGGTACCTAAGTCTCACCTATTTTGTTGTATTTAGGACTCTATTAGAGCTCTTTACACGTCCAACAGCTAGACTGTTACTCGCTATAATAACCAACACAGTAAAAAGGCATCGTACGTTGGTACCTCAGTCTCATCTATTGTATTGTATTTTGGACTCTATTAGCGCTTGATACGTTTAGAGCCGAGACTACTAAAGTAACCAGCCAAGCTCCTCCAAGAAGCGAAGAAGCCTCCTGGTGCTTTCACAGTATTCTCAGTCTTATCTATTTTAGCCTCGAAGCAGTTTGCTTTGTATACTTTGTAATATAGGTTGTAGAGTTTAATTAGCCAGTGAAATTACAGGATAAGAAGTATGACATCTTAGTCCTCTGGAATAAGATGCATATGATGTCCATGGTGCCGTTCATGTATATACACGAACAATACCACAACTATAATAGCTTTTTTGTAAATCCAGTTACATTATGATGATAAAGTTTGTTTAAAAAATGTTTCGTTAATTGACGGCCTCGGTAGTCATAGCGGTTTAATATACCGCTTTACTTCTGATGGTCGCGGGTTCGACCTTAACTTAGAACTTTGGTCCTGTGTGAATCTTCCGAGGATATTATTATTACTAAGTTTAGTGAAAATAACCAAAGAAATATAAAATTTAATATGAATAGTATAACAAAGAGTCAATATAATCAAAGAGAGAGTCTCAAACTGCAAATACAGAAAATAATGTACGTACCAAATATCTTTGTTTCTCAAACACTGTAACAGGTCGGGTGGTTGCCTGTTCCAATGCTAGTTTCAAGTTTTTCAAATAGGGTGTCTCACACATACGATATGCTTTGTTTTGATGAGGCGTGCGTATTTTTGGCGTATTTAAACTTTCCTTTTGCTGCAAGTAATATTATTTTAAAATAATTTAACATACACAGTGTAATCTCATGTGAAGTGAATAATTTCTTTTCTCATTTACCTTCACACATGAGAACAAAATCTATGTTTATAATATTATTTACAATTAATAAAATTATTTTACAAAGGAAATGAAAATACCTGTGAACCAGGCTGGAAAATCTGTCCAAAGAAAAGTTCCGGGTCATCTGGCTGCAGACCTTGGCAGTGTCCTGGCACCTCCTGGCCTGGCCTTAGGACAATGACGTCATCTTTGACCAGAAGTGCCCATGGTAGATTCACAATGGTTGCTGTGTATAAAAATCTATATTATTTTATCTATATATAATAATATAAAATATAAATATGATTTTAAATAAATTATTTTTATGAATACCGAATTCCTAAAAATATTTTTTTTAAAATCATATTTATAGTTTCGGTTCGGAAAGTAGAGTATTTGAGTACAAATCTATAATAAGTAGGTACATACATATAAGAGTTTATCAGTTATATTTTTTTGTTCTACTAATCTTCGGTCCACCAGTAAAACTACCAGTGTAATCACACTGGTAGGACCGGTGGAAAACTCAACAAGTGGTAAAACCCTTTTTAAATTTGATAGTAAAATTTTTGAGTAAGATGATAGGCTATTATAGCAGAATACAAATTTTAGGATCAATAAGAACAAAAGAAAAAAACGGAGAGAACAAAAAAGAAATGGGGGCGCAGTGGAAGGCTAGAGCCGCTGACATTTAATTTAAATTAAATGGTGCCTGATTCCGCAGACTAGTACTTCCCATATTATAGAAACTGATAATATAATTTACATTCGTATTTTCTTTTATTACCATCTCGATATGTCCACTGCAGTATCACACACGGTGAGAACGGAGCACATAAATGAGGATAATGTTCTTGGTCCCATTTTGAATTCTCTATAGCTTCATCTAGTGTTTCTGTAAAAAAATATTTATCTACGTTATCTAGCCGGAAAGTGGCGCAATTTCATATCTATATAGCTTTGTTGTTAGTATACATAGGATAAACACAAAAAGTAGTTTCTAAAATTAGCACATACAAACATGAAGATGAACATACAAAACTTCAAACAATCATTCTGATTTATATTACATTGATAGAGTTAAAAAATAATAGTTTCTCTCTTGTGCCAGACACACAGACAGCAATCACTTACATTTTTATTGTTTGTATATTTTGATTTCCAGAACTTTAACAAAAATAGGCCTAATTAAAAGAGCAAATAAAAGATAATACCACTTGGTACCATAACATTTTTAGGACACTAAACCAATTAGTGATTTTCACAATCTTATTAATATAATAAATGTAAAAGTTTGTAAGTTTGGATAGAAGTTTGTTACTCTTTCACACAAAAACTACTCAACAGATTTTTTTTAAACTTTACAGTGATTCAGCTTATTAGGCTATAAATTTCATACGGGTGAAACCTCGGGCACAGCTAGTAATATAATAATAATCTCAGGACAACTCACACAACACTATTTAGACCCATGTTAAGCTAGCTAAAGCTTGTATTATGGATAATAAACAAGTGATATAAATACATAGATGTTTTTTTAATAAATACATACATATTATACATTGAAACACCCAGACCGATACAAACAATCATAATCATGAATACAAATGTTTGTGCTGTGTGAGGAATCGAACCTGCGACTATTGGAAGTAAGGCGGTGTGCCAAACCGCTACACCACCAAGGTCATCATATAATAATATTGAACAATAAATATTGGAGTTGTTAATAATATTAGAATTACTAATTTTTTAAGTTTTTACATTTGATTACTTATGATGGTATCATAAAAAATATGATAGAAAAGCAATCTTACCTAATACTTTTTTAACTCTGTGTGGTATCTCATTTGTATGTAGATATTCTTCATTATATGCTACCAAAAAGTTTATAACCAATATGATGAAGAGATACAATGCCTCCCACAATAAATAACTATGAGCTTGTACTGATTCACCCACGAAATATGTCAATATGAGGAAAAGTATAAAGATCAGTGTTATAGTGTAGGCTACTCCTGATAGCAGCACCTTCTCTGATGAAAATGATATCACATTTCGTATAAGTGTATACCTAAAAAAATATTTTGAAATAAATACAAAAGAACATATGTACCATTTTATACAGCAGATCTACATCTAGATTATTATTATATATGCTACAGAATTTAAAAAAATTACAATCTCGCTGCTATGGAAAATTAATTATTGTTGTGTACAATTGTAATATTAATGAAGTGGAAATAATAGGATTTAACAATTTGCATAACATTCACTCATATATATATTCTGATATTTCTTTTAACATTTACTTGATGAAATAATTAAGTTACTTTGAACATTCATGATTTAAAGTAATTTAAATATTGTAGTATTTAATATTACATATAATAGAAATCTGTTTTTATTCTATTGATGAATATTTGAGTTATTTTAAATCATTAATGTTTGAAGCTACCTATTTTTAACACACTTATTTTATTGTATATCACCCTACAACTTGTACTACACTACAATTGTAAATTTCTATTGCCATACAATAGGCATACATTTCTGGTGTATTAGAGTTGCATATAAAAATATTTAAATTCTTTTTTCTGATTTTTATAGGTACACAAAAATTTTTGTATAATAAAATTCTGATTATTTATATACAAATATTTCATTATACACTTTTTCGTAGGAAAGATTTTATTGTCAGGATTGTGTAATGTTCCTAAATACTCTATTCGAATTGTTACTTATTCTAGGATTTATTCAGAATTAAGCAGTACATAAATTTTAATAAATGTTTATAAATAAATAATATTCATAGTAACCTGACCGATTTTTTTGTTTATGTTCTTCTAGCACAACACGTATGTCATTGCGTAATTTTATTAATGCAGCTTTAGTAGAATATCCTAAAATCTGTTGTTTCTCATCCATTTCTTCAAATATCGGACATTGAAGTCATGATTTTAAATTATTTTTGTTATATATATTACAATCATAACAAATTTTTGCACAGAATCACAGGTCAGGAAGATCTCAAATTTGTCATTTTTGTCAACGACATTCACGGACACAGACTATGTCATGGAAGCAGGGTTGCTAACTGTAATAATTAATAAGTGATTAGATAAATAATATTGCATGTCTCTTATTTAGTAGCTCATAAAAAATATTTAGTATTAGTAACAAGGACGTTTTGAAGATTGTCATAGCAATCGATTGTAGGGTGATGCTTTCTGACACCAACCTTAAAACTGTTTGTACAGCAAAAGTGACGCCATTTACGTAAAATATAAAAGATGAATATATAATTTAGGTTTAGCAAGGACTCACTGCTATACCTGATTTTAATTAAGCAAGTTTACAAATAATAAGATTAAAGAGTTGCGAATTACTCATTACAAAACGTTCTTATAGTAAAGCAAAACTTGTTGCAAAAATGTATAATATTATTTAGAAAGATGAGAACACATTTTATGATTTCTGAAATATTTAAAATTATAACTCGGAAAACTAACAATGTAACGAAGTTTATATTTAGGAAATTTCGATTACGATTACGACGAACTGTGATTTCTGAAAGTGTGGCAACCCCAAAGGCAAGCTCTATGGTAGTGACTTGCTCTGTGATAGACATTTTATGTATGTATGAGTGAAATGGATAGTCCAAAACGAACGTAAGTACATTTTGTACGTCTACGCGTTACTCTTGGTCATTCGTTTTGTAAAACTTGTAGTTGTAATCAAAAATATAATTGAATTTTAGGAAAACAATAGATAAGTTATTATACATTAACAAATAGTTGCATTGAAGATAATGTTATACGTTCTATTTGTGTGTGTCATCGTGTTGTGACTACAGTGTTCCATCGACATTGGATGAAAAATACACAAAATATGTGTCGATTGCTTCGTTTATTGCATAGCGTTATCCTATTCGTAATGGTTTAACAACAAACACGTTCAACAACTTCGGCAGCTATGGCTTACGATCAATTACATAAACGGACAGCAAAATGCAGCATTTCAAGAAAAGGACCAAATTTTACACTACGACTGTGGTATACCTTCCTTATCAGCATGATTAGTCTACCGAGTATAATGATGTCTTGTTACCCTAATGGTTCTATCGATGTTCGATACGGCAATCCTCTGGAACTATATTGCAGTCGTAAAAACACATCTGGACGTCTCGATATACTGCATGGGTCACAAGTTGTCACTGACACTACCAGAGTTAACGACACCACAATAAAATTGTACATTGAAAAACCAAACATGACTTCAGCGACGTATTCTTGTAAGACTGATGGTGAAACATGCTTCTTCCGTGTGCTGGTCGACTTGCCACCCAGGAATGTCACTGATTTCAAGTGTGTATCTAATAATTTAATATACTTGAACTGTTCATGGACGGCGCCCATCAAATTTGCTTTAATTAAATATGAATTAAAAGTGCTTGTTAACAATGATTATATGTTGCCATGTGAAGTAAAAGTAGCAAATATTTATTCACATTATTGTGTGTGGACGAGTGTAAAAGATGCTAATTACACTATATATAGAGAAGCTGTGGATATATACTACTTTAAACTTATAGCCAAGAATCGTTTTGGCTCATTAGTTCAGGATTTTGAAATTGATCACTATTCAGTTGTTAAACCTGGTGCACCAACCAATGTTAGGGTTATTACAAAGATGACAAAGAGTCACAGTGTACTGTTGCAGTGGGAAATTCCTAGTATTATAGCTCATTTGTTGAAATGTGGTGTGGAGCACAGGATGGAGTATCAAATAGCCAAAATTGATAGTACTGATGAGTTTCGCAGTGTAAATGTCACGGGTCTCTCAAATAATAACATTACCTATAAATTTTGGCTTAAGAATTTGCCATATGCACATATGCAGTATGAGGTACGGATATACATCAGATCAAAGAAAGCAATCAAAGAAGAGTTCTGGTCAGATTATAACTATACAATCTTTTTCACGGCTAGTGAGAGACCTAGACGGCCACCAGATCTAATAACTGGTGCATTTACTGAAACACAATATGATCTTGAATCCTCATCATATAGAAACATTATGGTTTACTGGAGGCAGTTGGAAGAGTATGAAGAAGCTGGTGAAAATTTTACATACAAAGTTTATGTAACTAGAAATAACAAAACTGAGATTAAGTACCCAAACAAGACTTTAAGTTTGAGCTATATAACACTTGACAAAATTCCAAAGGAACCAATGCAGATTTCTGTGGCATCTAGCAATGTGAATGGATCCTCTATTAATAGTAGTCATATTTACATACCACCTGAGGTTGATAGAAATTTGAAAGTTACAAGATTCACACAAATTGCATATGAGGGTGGGATTTATAGATTATCATGGGTAACAAATGAAAACACAATGAAAATGGATAACTACACTCTTTTATGGTGTCAACACAATATTACCAAAATTTGCTCAGGACGTTTGAACTTCAAAGTGTTAAATGGTGATCTTAATAACTATAAAATAAATGTTACTAATAATTACAGATATCAGTTTGCTATATCCGCTAATAAAGGAATGGCCACAAGTGGAATTGTTTGGGCTACCTGTGACATGTCTAAAGATACACTTGAAGTATATAGTTTTCCAGTTTCAATTCAAACAGAGCATACAGGGAAATCATTTGTAGCAATCTCATGGTCCTTCAGCTGTGAATTAAACCAAGAACTGAATACAATTAAAGGTTACAACATTACTTATTGTATTGGTGTCAAAACTCATACTGAATGTGATCCAACTTATAATTCTAGTAGCATTATTATTAATGATTTACATCAAATGAAACTTAACATAACGGGATTACGTCCTTTTAAGACTTATCTTTTTACTGTATCATTGGTCACCATTTATGGAACAAAGAAAATACCTACAATCCGGTCAGTAACAACTGTAGAAGACACGCCAACTCCCCCAAGAAATATAAAGATTTCTGATGTGGAAAGCAATTCATTTGTATTATCATTTGATCCTCCTGACCCAAGAAATGGAATTATTGGTAACTATACTATTTATTGCAATGGAGTAGAGCCAAAGGTAGTGGAAGTAGAAAGTGACAGCAATGATGTATATAGAAGAAATGTCACTTTGACAAACTTAGACCCTTACACTAATTACACTTGTACAGTGAAAGCTTGTAATATTGGTATAAAGAATTGCTCTCAGCCTGCACCACAGAATGGTATATTTGTTCGGACAAGAATTGGTGCTCCAAGCCAAATCCAAACTGTAAATATTCATAGTAAACCTGATTATGTTACATGGGATTTACCTCAAGTACATGGTGGACATATTGATTACTTTGAAATAAGAAGAACTATTGATGGTAAGAAGCAGAATATTGAGAGAGCTAATAATTTGTCATATAACTTAATGTTATGCTATTCTGTGCAAAACAATGAAACATTTGAAATTAGGGGTGTGAATTTGGACAATGATTATCATCATGGAGTCATTGCTCTTGATGAAACAGTGGTTACTATACCTATGAGAAGTGGAGAAAAAGTGCTACAATTTGCTGGGGAATGGAGTAGACCATTTATAAATACATGTACAATAAATGATAACACAACAGTTGTAGTAGTCATATTAATAGGAATTGCATTAATATGCATAGGATATGGTTGCTTAAAGTTATATAATATGTATAAAAATATGGACATTAAACCAGTTATGCCAGAAGGATTGTTAATACCAGGTTCAGAGAAGTGTGGTTTCGAAACCTGGAATACTATAAACAAAGATAATAAATTGTCATTAGATGAGACATTGCCTCTGACAAATACAAAGGCTGTAGTAGTTCCTCCAGATGTTAAACAAAAAGATAACAGCAATTGCAATTCTAGTAACCAAACAGAAAGTAGCGGTTTGTCAGATAACCTTTACGGGAACTTGGATAGACAGCCTTCTACATCAGATGATGATTCAAACGCATCTTTCAATTTAGATGATGGTGCTAAAATTCAACATTTCACAAAGGATGATGAATACTCGTTTACAAATTCGGATGATAAACTTTATCATGACAGTTTTAACGAAAAGCCATTTATCGTAGATTCTCAACCTGTACTGAAACCAAGCTCTGGTTATGTACAATCAGTTCCAACTCCATTGAAGCATCCAACACCCAAACTTTCAATAGAGCCTTCAAATTCGAGTTACGTTAAGGCCGGCCTTTCCCCGGAAATATTTACCACTGGTGTACTACCACCTATTGTGAAAAATCACCCACCGACCTCATCAGGGTACGTGCTTCGTGAAGATGTGATGAACCCAATGAATTTACACAAATTAGTGCCAAGTGTTATGCCATTTGGGCCAGAGAGCTTGCCGTCTACGCCAAACTTGCCACATCCTACAAAACAAAATCCGAACAGCTACATTCAGTTGCAGTCATTAGACACGTTGCCTAGTCTTAAGCCGACCGAACGGAATATTGTGCCATCAATGAAGCCTACGGCTGCTGTGATCAGTCCAGGTGACCCAGTTATAAATAAGCACTTAAGTAATGTGCTATCCGCCAGCCAATTGGCCGATGATCCGCCTGTTTTAGATCCTGCGATGTCAGCGAACGCATATTGTCGCTTTTCATGGAATACGGATCCTGCTAACGATAATTTAAAGACATTTTACTCGCCAACTAGTGACTCGTATAATAATTAATAGGTAGTTTGTGTATAGTGACTTGTGATATCAGTTACGTCTGATATGATTTGTTAGGTATAACAGACTGAATTGTAAATATTGAACACTGTAGAAGCTTTAGAAAGTGAATACTAAATAGGACTTTATACAAGAAAATGTGTATGTGTTGTCTAGTGATAATCCTTGTGCCTTATTAAATTATTTTAGATAATATGAAACAAAATGAGTACGTAAGTATTTTTTTCCTTTACTATAATAGTAAATTGTATACTTTACTTTTATAACTATACAAAGAAAATTGAACTACCCTGCTTGAAGCAAGAGAAATCAGCAAAAAAAATGTGAAAAGGGAACAAGAAGTCACGCATTCCTAGATTGAACTCTGAATACATGACTTAGTGTTCCGCCTATCCTTTTTTCGTGGTCTACGTTCTTTTTACTACATGAAAATTCTGCTTGCTCACAAATTTCTAAATTTTAATATTATGTTTTATATGTAATAAGCAATACTGGTAAAATTCATTCATGAATCTCGGCAATTGTATATAGAGATCCTCTTCGTAACACCTCTGTATAACGCAGGATTTTTTTTAGATTGGTACAACACCAGATAATAGGCTTTTTATAATTTTTTTTTTCTAATAACATTTGCCAATTAGTACATTTGAATCTAATATGGAGTTAGTGGGATTTCTCGATGGAGATGGACATAGTATTTCATTCGGGTTAATCAATATGTACATATTACAAAAGCGTAAAAAGTGACGCAAACTAAATTGCGCGAACAGCTAATAATTTAACATTAATTTTTAAGAATGTGAGGTTTTGATAGGTGTATTTATCCTAAATGTAGAATGATCAAATATTTTCACTCTTCTAAGTAGTTTGATGATATGAGATATGTAGTACATACGGTATAAATGCGGAAATGTCTGTTGTCTGTTTATTACTTTTCACCATTGAACGGATTCTAATTATTGCGTTTGGATTAGTCACAAAATTATGCATTTAAAATTTAGTCGTAATTTTTTTTAGTAACACTTCCATATATTTAAATTGTTACAGTTTTCATTAGAAGTTGTGAGTAAATTATATAATAATGGAAGGTATTTACAAAATAAACTTGATCGCATGCGACTTGAGCGCAGAAGAAACTATACTGCAGATCGCGGATACACTTGAAAACCTGAACGGGGTTATAGATGACGTATTTTCTCGCCTCTCTTGCCGTATAAAGCAGAACGTGGACAAAACTAGCAAATTGAAAAACAGAATAGAAACATCAAGGATGAAAGTAGAAAAGCTGACAGGGCTACAGAAGGCTATTAAAGTGTTCTCGTGTGCTAAGTATCCTGCATCAATTGTGCATGATCATTATCATTCTGTATTTGGTTTGGACGGATACCAACACCAATCTAAGAATGTCACCCTGTGTGGTAAAAGCCGCGGACAATCTGGCAGGAAGGAATCGCAGGTTAGTTAAAACTCAAGAGTCCTCGGTATTGGTATAAGTTTCTGTTTAATAATATAGAATTTTACAATTGATGAACAAATACTAGAAATCGATTAAATAAAAATTTTGTTTGATTATTCATCCAAGAGTACTAAAACACAGGGTCACCTACATTATTGATTTCATTGCTATTCATTTGCAGTTTCCAGTTTAAAAGCAAACATGTTTATTATTTGTAGGAGAAGCTTCATTTCTATCACGTAAAAGTGGCGGAACCTAAAAGAACACCTAAAGACGATTTCGACTTCCATTCTATTATTGACAAAGTGACAACGGTTGGGGAACTCTTGATATTCAACACCGATGAAATTCCATACTTTGGTGCACCACCGAGCAAACCAGCATATGTGCCAACAGTTAGTACCAATGTCGCGAGCAAAAGCTTACTGGAAGCTGCACCGACATCTATTGTGAAAAGAGATGTATTGAAAAGAGAAGTGGATGAATATATGTATGCTCCAGGCATTGGAATGGTAAGACATCTATTAATTAATAAACTGTTACTAATTTACAAAGTTATTCAAATTCCAAATTAGTTCTATGAATCTATTATTTATGTATTGATTTTTAAAACTTCATCCGACAGTATCTATACATTGATATGATTTGGATTATTGTTCTGTATTTCAAACATTAGACATTCTACATGTGTAAAATACATTTATTAAATTACAGTTATTGCATGAATTACAAAAAACCCAGCGTAATTGTGATTCTACACAGAAGGAATCAACTATATTTTTATTGGATTTTGCTCTAACAATTCATGTTTACCGTATAGGTACCAGAATTAGAGATGCCACTGGATTTGCCGCATTTGCCGGGTATAGCCGGGGATGTCCAGTTCTCTATAACAACTGAGGGATCCATAGCCCCGTCTGTGGTTACATCCCCTGTAACCCCATTGGTAACTCTGCCGGAATCAGAACTACCCGATTTGAAGGAACTGCCTGGCGCTGAAGATCTTCCCGATGTGAAATTGGAAACGGCTATATCAGAAATTCCCGACGCTCCAACAATACCTGCCCCAGTTCCTTTAAGTTTGCAAGTTGCGCCTCCGCCACCCCCACCGCCGCCGCCGCCACCACCGCCAACAGTACCACCACCACCACCGCCGCCAACATTACCACCACCACCAGCAGTGGAGTCTGTGACATCTAGTATTAACAAGTAAGTGTTTCTTTATTATGTACTCGCTGCGTCCTAGGTCACGTTGTTGATACGTGGTTGGTAATTGAATAACGACGATTAAGACATCACATCATTCCTTCAGTTCACGATGATTATCACATAACATAATTGTTTTTTTTTTGTAAAGATGTCCATCCACTTAATTACTATCTCCGCATTCCATGCTATTTTATGAAATGAAGGGTCGTAACTGTACGTACCTACAGTAGTTTTTACAGTTGACGCTAATACAAACTCATAAAGACAGAATGTTCTAATTTTGTCACTATTCTCGTCGTTTCTTTCCGACTTTCGGAATATTCCTGATACTCCTAATAAACTAGAATGCATACGATCATCTGACTAGACAGAGTACCCCTGTCCTTGCGCATTTTGTTTATATATAGAGAGTTTGTCTGTTTATATGAAAACAATGTACGCATCTGCAGGTTATAAAAGACTTATTGTGATCCTTTTTTCTAACTATACTAACGCTGTTGGTCAACTGGCAACTCTTCAGTAGGGGCGCGTGACGATGGCATTCCAAACCGCGCTAATAAAGCGACTGAAGGGTAAATTCTGCCTGACAGATACGATTTTAGACTAAGGGCATCGCTAACGGTTCTAACCTCGGGCTAGGCTGGCTGAATTGGAAGAGGGATTAATAGGTAGGACAGTAGTATCACTTACCTGCCCTACCTATTAGAGGATAACAGGTTTTGAAATGGAGGTTTCATGATATTAACTTAATTTTCAATATACTCAGAAAAGAAGTTCAAATGTCCTATTAAAGCTTTCGCACCAAATTCTCGAAATAATAGTGTTTACAAGTATTTGAAGAAAAAGAGACCTGAACAGCTACTTTAATTTCTTTCCTTACTATTTGTAGATGAGTGGTGTGTACAAAACTTTCAAACAAATTCGTGTTTACTAGATCTAATATATAAAAATCTTTTGTCATAGTGTTTGTTACCGAACTCCTCTGAAACGACTTGATCGATTTTCATGAGATTTTTTTATTTATATTTGAAAATGAGCTACACCTCTAGGCAATAAGGGTGGCACTATCCAGAACTAATTTATATAGCAAAACAATGTTGCCAGATCAATTACTATTTTTATATTTAAACTCCTATTTGACGGTCTAGCGGTTTAGCAGACCGTCAAATACTTCCTATGGTCGCTCGTTCGATTTCTAACACGGTACAATTATTCATGAGTATGGCTATTGGTATTGTTTTTAATTAGTACTAAGTGTGCATTAACAAAAAAAAAAAGAATCTGAGTATATCTATCACATGTCTAGTACCCATAACACGAACTCTGTTTATCTTGGGATTAGATCGCGCTGTGTCAATTGTCCAGGGAAATTATTATTATTATTAATTCTACTTTAAAATTCCTCCATTCCTCCATAAAGTTGCAAAGCAACTTTTTTATTCGATCAGAGAGTGACCAGCCGGCAAGCAAATGTGTTCAACCTGCCCATTTTTTACTGCTACGCATCCCAGATACTTTGTTATCTTATTTCTTGCCACGTTTTTTAAACCGTACCATGTGTATGTTGAAGTAATATATTACAAAGGATTTTTGTGAAATAACATGTTGTATTTCTGGTATTATTGTCTGTGCTGTTAATTAAGTAATCAGTTCATTGAAGCAGGAAAAACTAACAGTATTATTATTATTATTATTATTATTATTAACGCAGAAACATGTTTGTTTTCAATCACTAATATTGTAATAACATTACATTATTATTGCTGGTAGAATATATCCAAAATACCAATGAATATAATAATATCAGTTCAATATTAGAATGGGATGTCTCCTAGTTCCGTTATATTAAAAAAAACTTAATTGCCAATTTATTTAGATAAAAAAAGCTAGCGAAATCACTTTTAACCTCTCCATTTTTCTATAAAACACCCTTTGGAATTCGTATTTTTAGTGCACATGAGTGATGATTTTTATTGCTGTTTCTGGTGCTAAAATTTTTAAGTGGGTTATAATGAGGTTTTTATTCAAGAGTATTTTAGTTTTAAATTTTAATAGAAATGCAAAAAACTTGCAAAGACTCCAACGATTATGATGAACAATAGAACTTTTACCTGGAATGATTTGGGATGTTTGCCCTTTTCTTTGTTCTGTTTAATTTAAGATTACAATGGGCTCTTTTTTAGAATATTTGAATATTATTTAAAAACTCGTTCTTCAGATGCTTTTACTAGACAGTTTGGTAGTGTTAGTTTTATTTTCAAAGTGTTTCTTCAAGATGACTTTGTACAAAGTCTTCTTAGATAATTTTTATACGTCTATTATCATCCTAAATCAATGAAAATGTATACTGTGCAGTGTTTGTACTTAATGTTCAATTTATAGTCCCCTTATCTCTTATTTAGTTCACATATAGAATATTAACAAGATAACTATCTAATAAAAGAAAGTAGGTTTGTGTTGAAAGGTGGAATTGGTGTAAATGTAAAATTGTAAACGAATTTTAACTGGATAAAAGAACATTTAAACCACTACCACGTTTTATATACGAGTATTAGTATTTTACATTTTTTTTTATTGACATTTACAACTCGTCCCTACTTTGTAGAGATGCAATTGATTTCCGAAAGTTTAAAATACACACTAACAATGTAGGTACGCTTCTTATAATCGGGATTAAGAAGCCTTATTGCTTGTAATGTATTAATGCCAAGTTGAACTCCACGTGCTCCCTCGTGGTAAATACCTGGTTAATCTGATTACATCCTCGTCCTATCATACTCAGGCCCAGACGACGTGGAAATAACAATTATTTATTAGTCTATATAAATCCACTATACAACAGAATAATCGTTCCACAGGAAAATGGTTGGAACATTTTAATATTCGATATAAACATTTTAATCAATTGTAGCGAGCGGGATATGTTTACAAATACGTATTTCTACGTAATATAGTCTTCAGTGGAAACAGCCGTTTTCAAAACAAACCGCGTGCGCGTTTCAATGAATAATGCGATACGAATGTTAGTTCAATTAATAAAGGAGCTGTCACTGACTGTAAATCCTCTTTCGCTGAAATATTGCACTTTGTTAATGTATGTTTGTTTATTTATTTACTCTTTATTCCACAATCAACATTAACAGAGTAATAGTGTACAAAAGGCGGCCTTATCGCTTATGCAATCCCATCCTGACAACCTATGGGTAGAGGAGAAATAATAAAAGTATGTTTATTGCAATTAACAAATTGTCCAGATTTAGTCAAATCCGCCCTTAGGCATTTATACCTAAAATTGAAAATTACATAGTACATTCGGTAGAAAAATTCTAAGTCTAAAATCCGTCAGAATATGTCAGTTTATATATCAATATACATAGGTATAAATCAATTTTGTTCATAGACTTAAATCAAGCGAATATGATATAAAAGCTGTGCTTAGTACAAGAGTGCTTGTTATTTCATTCTGTTAAGTTTTAACATTACCGTCATACACTGACCACCACTGTCACGACTGTTGTACCAAGTGGGGGTAGTCAGAGGCATTGTCAACTGCCGGTGTTGGGGGTAAAATGTAGGCATGTAAGTAAGTATTGCATTTACATGCCTACTAGATTATTATTCTCAGGACAATTCACACAGCGCCATCTAGACCCAAGTTAAGCTATCTAAAGCTTGTGTTATGGGTAGAAGACAACTGAGACATTACATAGTTTTTTTTTTTTCATAAATACATACATATTATAGATAGATACGTTTAACTCAGGTTATTCAATCAACATGGCAGAAGCGACCCTACCGAGGTCTCTCAGATATTTTTTTATTTTAATATCGACGTTTTTCTTTCACCGGAGTCAGAAATATAAAAATAGACGCAATTTTTTTTTAACATTAATTAATAGAATCTATGCGGTGAATCACAGGAAACGAAAGTATCCTACGTTTTTTTATTTATAACATTCTTGTATGTATTTGTTTGTCGCATGAAATGTGACTCAGTTGTACATGATAAAGTACCCACAAAGTACTAGAATTATCTACTCTTTTGTCATTTATTTTAGAGTTACCTAAGAGGAAAATCCATAAAATGTATAACTACTAAAATTTAATTTTATGAAAGTTATGTACATATTAATAATAACAAACCCTATTCATGCATTAAAATACCAACTCCTGTTAATATCAAGCATCGGAACTCTTTTGATATGAAATTATTTCAATATCGTAATATCATATAGTTAACATTGTGACCAGCACCTTATGTATGGACTAGATCTGGATATTTAACGGCCTTGGCGTTCTAGTGGTTTATCACATCGCCTTACTTCCAATGGTCGCGGGTTCTTCTTCTTGCACGGTCCGAACATTTCTCTTTCACACTCACACTCATTCTTGAGTTTCTATTGATCTGGTTTTCTATTTATATTATGTAGATATTTACAAAAAATGTATCTATGTATTTATGTCATTCGTAACACAAGATTACGACTAATATAAATACATAGGTACATATATAACTTAGCTTGGGACTAGACGGTGCTGTGTGAATTTTCCTGAGATGTAATGTAATCTATATTGTGTATGTTGGACTTTATTTCCGTATTTGTGCGTGTAGAGCTAAGGCGAGTAGCAGCTCCACCCAGACGTACAGAAGTCTACCTGTGTCTTTACAGGTTCCACGGAGCTACATCACTATTAATTTTACTGAGATATTTGTTTTTATTTGGATGTGTTATTTGATTGTGTTAGTGTTATTACCTACACCCACGTAATTAACGTCGCATCGATGCCATGATAAAGTGAATGCGTGGGTGTAATAGCCCGGGACGCAAAATGATTGAGGTTGAATACACGCCGGCCGACAATCGATCGACCTTCTGCTTAAGTGGAATTGATCTCAAAGGAAATATCCTCGGAAGATCGACCCACAATAATTCATTATTCAGTAGATAATTTTATAATTTACTACGTATTACAGCAGTCAAGCAGCTTGTTTTGTAAGC